TCCCGCGGCGGTTTTGGCGATTCTGCGGCCTCGCGGCGTCCTCGACGGTGCTGGCGTTCGACGCGGCGGCCAAGCGTGTGGCTGGGGCGTCGCTGATCGTGGCGGATTCTCCCGGGAGGGAAGCTACATCGTCCGAGGTGGCGCGGAGCGGCGGCGGCGGTGGATCTCCAAGGATGGCGGGGGCGGCCTCCGGACGCGCCGGTTCGGCGCATTGTGGGCCGGCGCATGCCTCGCCAAGTGCGCGGCGCTCTGTTGCACCGCGCCCCGTGGCTTCGCCGGTGGCCAGGCCCGCTTGGCTGCGCCGGCGCCATTGTGTGAGGGGCCGTTTCATCTGCCATTGGGGGGTGTCCTTGGCATCCCCGCCCTATGCCGCGTAAGGCTTCGCCCGCCTTTGGTCCGCGGCGCCGTTCGCTGGTGGCCGATCGAGGCGCTGGAGCCGCTGGACCGCCAAGGCGCGACTGACAGGAGGGGGACGCGGCGCGATCGGTGGCGGACACGGCGGTGGCGGGTGCATCCGGACACGCCGCCGTTATTGGTAGCGTAATGTGGGCCCGCGCTGGCCCCCTAGGCGCGCCGGCATTTTGCCCCGATCGCCAGAGATGGGCGGCCAGGCCTGCCGGCCAGCCACGCCGAGGGATGGGTGCCGCCCGCCCCCACTGGCGCCTTCCCCCTACGGCCGCGTGGTGCCCCGTTCGGCCGCCGTGCCACCGCGCGCCGTGCCTCTCCCTTCCGGTCCAAGTCGCCCCACCATGCCTCCGCCCTTTGCGCTTCCCCTGCCGAGCGGCAGTGGAGCGGCGGGAGCTGGCGGGAAGCCGCGGGAAGCGGCGGGAGCTGCTGGAGCTGGCGCATCCACGTGGGCGGCCTGTCCGGGCCACTGCATTAGTTTTGAATGATGATTTTCATGCCAATCATCGCCCCAATGGGGGGGCTGACTGGCGGGGACTGCGTGGTGGTGCCGGGGGGCTGGAGAGTCTTGACTTGGAAATGAGAATTGACGTGGTTTCAATCGCATGACCTTCATTTCGGTTGCTTTCCTTTAGGTTTTGTGGGGTAGTGGGGAGTGGTTTGGGCGTTTGGGGTGAAGAAGCTTGGTGCTCACCTTTGTGAGTATCTCCTCTAGGGCGGGCTTGGAGGACTAATTTCTTTTAGGGCTTCTTTCCTCTGGGTGTCGGGAGGGCTTCATTTCATTCCGCATGGAACTATATCCTGACTTGGTTTCTATTGGCGCCCCTTATTCTGTGTTCTTTTCTTTTCGTGGTTTCGGTGGTTTTCTTGGGATGGACCCATTCCTGACGTTGGCATTATGTCTGCTGTGGTATTCAGTGCCTACATACCTCTGGTGAACAGGCTTTGGCACTGTTGTTGATGTGCATGTAATTAATGGAATTACACACACACACACACACACACACACACACACACACACACACACACACACACACACACACACACACACACACACACACCCACACACACACACACACACACACACACACACACACACACACACACACACACACACACACACACACACACACACTTTCTCGCCGACCGTTTCCTGCTCGCTTTGGGCCCCCGGGCCCGCTGCCCTTTTACTGTGTTGCCATGGATTCTGCTGCCCCTTCTGCCCAGCCTGGGTGTCCTGCCGATGCCCAAGCCTTGGTGGTCACTGCGGCACCCGTTGCGGAGGCATCGGGGGGTGCAATTACGTCGGCTTCGGCCCACGCGGACCGCATCCATGCCATGGTGGCTACCGCGCTGACTGACCTGCGAGGCGCGACCAAGGCTACCTTGATCGAGGAGTGCCACGTCACAGGACTCCCTGCCAATCGCAATGACACCAAGCCGCAGCTGCTGGCGCGCTTGGAGGCCCAACTGTCCGCCCTTGGGGCGGCGGCCGCGGCGGGTTCCGCGCCTTTGCGGCGCCCGCCGGTTCTGGCGCCTGCGCCGCTTGATTCCCGCGGGGATCCTGCGCGCCACGGTCGCCTGGCCACGGCCCTCTGTTCTGGCCGCCTGATCGCGCCCCATGCTTTGGGCGCTTCGGACTTTGACGCAGCCCATGGCTCCGCCGGCTCTCGGCGCTCCCCAAGCCCATCATCGCCTCCTGGCAAGAGGCCCCGCGCGGATGCTCCGCCTTTTTCCCCGGGCGACCAGCTGCCCGGCCCTTCCCCTTCCGCCCAAGCCCCCCCGCGGCCGTCTTCCTCGATGCCCGCCCCCCGTGGCCGTTGCGCGCCGCACTTACCGGACCCGGTTGAAGCTCGCCGGCACTCCCATGCTGCTGCCTCCATTCGCCCCGCCCGCCTCGATGAAGTGCTGGACCTCCAGGCGGAGATCCGGCGCCGGCAGGTCTGCCTTCGCGGCCTGCCTGACTCGCCCACCGAGACCCCCAGCTCGCTGGCGCAGGCGGTGGACCTCGTCGTGGCGGGCCTGGTCGGACGGAGGGGGCACGTGGCGGATGCTTGGCGGGTGGGCCGCTTCGCGGCGGATCGGCCGCGGCCGGTCATTTTGAGGTTCCATCATTTGGGGGATAAGGTGGAATTGCTTAAATCGAAAGGCCGATTATACGCAGCCGATTGCCCGAGGGAATTACAGGGCCTGCGCCTGTACCACGACCTCTCGGCTGCCCAGCTTGAGTGGAAGCGGCAGCTGAGAGGGGCGTATGACAGGTTTGTGGGGGCTAATGTTCGCGCCATTTGGCGCAGGGGCTATAGGTTATTTGCGTTTTTGGAGGGGTCGTGGGTAGAATTTGTTCCTACTGCGGTCCTAGTCCCCTAGCCTTTTGGCTATCAGCTCCTGGGACATGTTTTGCTGGGGTTTGTTGCTTCTGGTTCTGGTGGCATTCTGGGTTCTGGTGACCTTCTGGGTTTTGTTTCTGTGCTTCCTTTCTGTTTTGGTGTGTGTCTGCTTCTTGTGGTTTACTTTTTGATGCGTTGTCTGCCTGGGGTTTTCTTGAGCACCCCCTGCGCTTTTACCTTGGGAACACTCTGTGGTCTTTCTGGGATATTCCATGCTTTCCTTTCGTTTTGCTAGCTCTCTTGGGACACTGCTGTTCGGTTTTGATTTCTGCCGTGGACTCTAGTGCCTACATACCTCTGGTGCATGGGCTTTGGCAGGAACGTTGCTTTGTTCTGCATGTAATCATGGAATTACACACACACACACACACACACACACCATTCGTGTGGGCGCCCGCTGCTGCCCGGCGTTGGGCCCTCGGGTCCTTCGCGGGAGGGGGGGGCTGCAGCCTCGGCTGCGGCCCCACGGGGGGGTACCGCACACCGCGGGGCTCTCCACCCCCTCCCCTACCCCCCTGCTCGGTCTGCGCAGTTTTTTCTCTGGCCCCCGGCACCTGTTTTCCCCGCTCACACGACCCTATGTTGTGCCTCCGCGGTGAGCCATTCCCGCGGCGGTTTTGGCGATTCTGCGGCCTCGCGGCGTCCTCGAAGGTGCTGGCGTCCGACGCGGCGGCCAGGCGTGTGGCTGGGGCGTCGCTGATCGCGGCGGATTCTCCCGGGAGGGCAGCTGCATCGTCCGAGGTGGCGCGGAGCGGCGGCGGTGGTGGATTTCCAAGGATGGCGGGGGCGGCCTCCGGAAATGCCGGTTCGGCGTATTGTGGGCCGGCGCATGCCCCGCCAAGTGCGCGGCGCTCTGCTGCACCGCGCCCCGTGGCTTCGCCGGTGGCCAGGCCCGCTTGGCTGCGCCGGAGCCATTGTGTGAGGGGCCGTTTCATCTGCCATTGGGGGGTGTCCTTGGCATCCCCGCCCTATGCCGCGTAAGGCTTCGCCCGCCTTTGGTCCGCGGCGCCGTTCGCTGGTGGCCGATCGAGGCGCTGGAGCCGCTGGACCGCCAAGGCGCGACTGACAGGAGGGGGACGCGGCGCGATCGGTGGCGGACACGGCGGTGGCGGGTGCATCCGGACACGCCGCCGTTATTGGTAGCGTAATGTGGGCCCGCGCTGGCCCCCTAGGTGCGCCGGCATTTTGCCCCGATCGCCAGAGATGGGCGGCCAGGCCTGCCGGCCAGCCACGCCGAGGGATGGGTGCCGCCCGCCCCCACTGGCGCCTTCCCCCTACGGCCGTGTGGTGCCCCGTTCGGCCGCCGTGCCACCGCGCGCCGTGCCTCTCCCCTCCGGTCCAAGTCGCCCCGCCATGCCTCCGCCCTTTGCGCTTCCCCAGCCGAGCGGCGGTGGAGCGGAGGGAGCTGGCGGGGAGCGGCGGGAGCTGGCGGGAAGCCGCAGGAAGCGGCGGGAGCTGCTGGAGCTGGCGCATGCACGTGGGCGGCCTGTCCGGGCCGCTGAATTAATTTTGAATCATGACCCTGATTCCCCCATTGTGGGGCTGACTGGCGGGGATTGCATTTGGTGGTGCCGGGGGGCTGGAGAGTTTGGCCTTGGAAATGAGAACTGATTTGGTTTCAATTACATGACATTTATTTTGGTTGGTTTTCTTTCAGTTCTGCGGGGTAGTGGGCGGTTGTTTGGGCGTTTGGGGTGAAGAAGTTTGGTGCTCACCTTTGTGAGTATCTCCTCTAGGGCGGGCTTAGAGGACTACTTCCTTTTAGGGCTTCTTCCCTCTGGGTCTTGGGTGGGCTTTATTTTATTCTGATTGGAACTATGTCCAGACTTGGATCCTATTGGTGCCCCTCATTCTGTGTTCTTTTCTTTGCTTGGTTTCCGCGGTTCTCTGGGACGGACCCATGCCTGAACATTGACTTATATCTGATGTGGTATTCAGTGCCTACATACCTTTGGTGAATAGGCTTTGGCACTGTTGTGATGTGCATGTAATTAATGGAATTACACACACACACACACACACACACACACACACACACACACGCAAGCTACTTCGGAGCGCACTGGCAGAGTCAGAAACTCGAAATTGGACCTTGCCAATATTCCTGTTTTTTTGCGAATTTTTCCTCGCCACCCGCTCATTTATCGATTCATCATGACTTCATCGCAGCTGCCCCAGCCCACCCCCCGCACAGCACTTTGGCAGGGGGGTTTAAGCCTGGCCCAGCGCCCGAATGCGACTTTTGCACAAAGCGTCGGCTCACAACACGCACGTTTCGAAGAACACGGTTCAGGTGCGGCTGCGGAGGGACCCTCCTCCCAGCGCCCGTGCCCCCCGTCCCAGGATGCGCCCATCGCTCATCTTGGCGTGTCCCCGCAGGAAGCATGTCGTATGGCGGAAGAGATGATGAAGGCCGCCAAGGTCGCGGTTACGACACGGGCCTCTATGACGATCGCGCCTACGATGAGAAGATGTCCAAATTGTGAGTGCCCGCCCCTCCCCTCGGCCGCCTGCGGGATGCCCGGCCCCCCCCGCTGTCGCACTTTCCGATTTGCTCCGACCCGGTTGTTGACTGTGGCTACCGTGCGCGACGGCGGTGCGCTGCAGCCTGGAGGGGAATGAGGACGAGTTCTACACCGAGTGGGAGGAGTCCTTCGCGTCGTTCGACCAAATGACTCTCAACGAGGGGCTACTCCGCGGTATCTACGCATATGGTGGGTGCGCCAGAAGTTGGGAACATGACGTGAAGCTGGCGGGGCCGGCGGTCGCCGCGGCGGCCGCGGTGCGCGGTGCCTGCGGCGACGTTTGCCTCCGTCGGGGCCGCTCCCGGTCGGCGATGGGACGCTTTGGGCGAGATCGGTTGGCCGTGCCGGGCTGCGGCCAAGCCGGAGTCGATGGCGGCGTCACCGCTTTCCGTGCAATGATGGCGGTTGCCCTCGGGCGGCTGAGTCCAAAATGGCGACGCCTGTGCCGCCATGGGCCCCGCGGCCCTCGGCGGGTCGCGGGCCGAGGCCTCTTGGCGTCCGTGTCCTTGCCGGCTGGCCCCACCACTTGGTGCCTAATCTATCAGTTGGGCATACTGGCCGCATGCCAGTGCTGGCGGATTGCGTCGCTTGTACGGCCCCGGCGACCGCGTCTGGCACCCTCGTGGGCTGTGTCGCGGTCCTTAAGAGCGGAATCCGCCGCCTGTGCCCAGATCTCACACACAGGATCCGGTATGCATAAACGGGCTGTGGGCTTTCAAGTGGCGCCGCCACACGCCTCCAACACATGCCTCAGCCGCAGCAGCAACGCCGGCGTCAGGCAGCGCCCGATCTGAAGCCCTCCTCTGGGCCCCTTGCCTTGCCGCCGGGGCTGAGTGAGTGGGCTTGGCATGCAGGCTTCGAGAAGCCGTCTGCCATCCAGCAGAAGGGGATCGTGCCCTTCACCAAGGGCCTGGACGTCATCCAGCAGGCCCAGTCGGGCACGGGCAAGACCGCCACCTTCTGCGCGGGCATCCTCAACAACCTGGACTACCAGCTGAACGAGTGCCAGGCCCTGGTGCTGGCCCCCACGCGGGAGCTGGCACAGCAGATCGAAAAGGTCATGAGGGCGCTGGGGGACTACCTGCAGGTCCGGTGCCACGCGTGCGTGGGCGGCACCAGCGTGCAGGAGGACATGAGGATCCTGCAGGGGGGTGTGCACGTTGTTGTGGGCACCCCAGGCCGGGTGTTTGACATGCTGCGCAGGAGGGCGCTCAGGGCAGACTGCATCAAGATGTTCACCCTGGATGAGGCGGATGAGATGTTGTCGCGCGGGTTCAAGGACCAGATTTACGACATCTTCCAGCTGCTGCCGCCAAAGCTGCAGGTTGGAGGGGGAGGGGCGGTTCCCAGTAGCATTGAAGGGGTGACTGTGGTATTCTAGTGGGATTGCCTTGCTCAAGGCTAACAATAAGCTGAGATTGCTCTTGGGGACAATGGAAGGTGCCTTTTGTGGAACGCCAAGAGGTGGTTGCACTTTGAAAGCTGGCACCAGGCTGTGCTGTGGAGTTTCAGGTACCACAGTGGCCGCTGTGCAGATGTGCAAACATAGCTGATGGTGGCTGTGGTAGAAAAGGCGTCAATAGAGCCATTCCATGTGTTCGCCACGCTTGCTTCATTGCTGTGTTTTCCATGCTCACACTCGAACGTCCCCCAAACTGTCAGGCTGCGAAGCAGGTGGCGGCAGCTGTGCTGCCAGAAGCATTTGCGAGGTGACCAGGTGGTCCTCCACACTGGGGCCACGAGGTTTAGTGCCCAGCTGTAACAACTCGTGTTATCTGCAGGTTGGAGTGTTCTCAGCCACCCTGCCACCAGAGGCTTTGGAGATCACAAGGAAGTTCATGAATAAGCCGGTGAGTGTGTTCTGCCAGGTATTGGGCATCCATTTTGTTCTTTCAGCTGTCTAATCATGAACAGAAATCGCACTGGCTTCTAATAACAACTATTTGTACTTTATGTCAGGTAGTTGGGGCCCATTTAAGGATCTGTAGCTGCTGCCCATTTTCACAATTTTACTTGTTTCACAGTGCTCTGCTGGGGCTTCTTGCTCGATGTCATCGATTCTCTGTGGTTTAGGTCCGTATGACTGTTGTGAAGTGTGCTGTGGCTGCATTTCAATTCCACCTGTTGGTTGGTAGTTTGTTGTGCAATGGTACTTGTCTGAGCAATAGGCACGCTCAGTACCACTGAGCTTTTGGCTTCAGAGGCAACTGCAAGTGCAGAAGGATTCATTGAAGGCATTGTGTTTTATGTTTTAGACATGGATTTTCGCCAGAGTACTTCGTTTGCTAACATTGTCGATGTTTGTTTCTATAAGGTTCGTATTCTGGTCAAGCGCGATGAGCTGACCCTTGAGGGTATAAAGCAGTTCTATGTGAATGTGGAAAGGGAGGACTGGAAGCTGGAAACTCTGTGTGACTTGTATGAGACTTTGGCCATCACCCAGAGTGTGATATTTGCCAACACCAGGCGAAAGGTGAGCCTTGGGAAATTTCAGATATTAAGTTGTCAGTTGCCCAAAGGCAACTGAAGAAGCTGTTGGCCTATTTCAATCAAACAAAAGTCTGTGGGATTGGATTTCAATCCCAGTGACTTCATACATTGGCAGCTTACCTGTTACCTGCTATCACTTGACAAGTTCTGTTGGCATAATACTCATTGTTGTACCCTGAGTCTATTTTACTGAGAGATTCCTGAACTGTCTTCAAAACCAAAACTGGAAGAGTATGTCAGACACTGCAAGGAAGGGGTGCTCTTTGCATGTCAAGTTTCTTCTTCCTTCAGCAGCTGCCACCAAATCCCATTGTGTTGTGTGTCTCTGGGTTGTCAATCAACAGTGTTTGCTTGGTAGGTGGACTGGCTGACAGACCAGATGCGGAGCCGTGACCACACTGTGTCGGCCACCCACGGAGACATGGACCAAAATACACGCGATGTGATCATGCGCGAGTTCCGGTCGGGTTCCTCTCGTGTGCTTATCACCACCGATCTGCTGGCACGTGGCATTGACGTCCAGCAGGTGTCGCTGGTCATCAACTACGACCTCCCTACGCAGCCAGAGAACTACCTCCACAGAATTGAAGGAGTGGTCGTTTTGGCAGGAAGGGTGTGGCTATCAATTTTGTCACCAGGGTGAGTCTTGGATGTGCAGGGTCTGCAGTGCTGGCAGAAGCCACCACTGCTTCTGTGCTGTATGCCGATGCCTCTCAAGTTCCCTTCTGGAAAGGAAATGGTGGGAAGGGGGAATCGAGCAACTGTATGATAATTTTTCTACAGGTGTTGTTTGAGTTTCAGTTCTTGATCCTGATTGTGGGTACCGGGCTGCAGAGACCTTGGATCCTGCTATGGGCTGTACCTTAGCATAAATATTAGTTTGTGCACTGAGGCAGGAACATAGGATTCTATAGATGTTTGCTGTTTCAAGATCTGCAGCAAATTGATTCAGTGCTGGTGTTCCCTTGCATGGAATGTGTCCCAGATCAATGCGTCAGGCGCTCGTAGATGTGCAGATGGGTAGATCTTGCCTTCTGCATGTTGTTGTGGAGATGTCCGCCTGCACAAATCTGTATGCATGGCTTAGTGCTTGTGAAGAAGAGATGTACAAACGCAGTTGCCAGCAAATATCAGGTTGTTTTTTGTGAGGCTTGAAGCTGTTTCTCTGTGCTTATTTCTTCTTGCAGAAGCCATAGTGCCGTGCAATTTTGTTTGTCACACATTGCCCTACAGCCTACAATCCATTTTACAGCATCAAGGGCATATGCTTTGAAGAAGCTGCTGGCTGTGTTGATGCAGTCTCGTTGCTACCTCTATCTGCCTGCCAACCACCATTCCATGCCTGCTGTCGCTTCTAACTGCACTCAACAGTGATTTCATGCTGCTTGCAGGATGACGAGGGCATGCTGAAGGACATTCAGAGGTTTTACAACACAGTGGTAGAGGAGTTGCCCAGGGATGTTGCAGATTTGATTTAGGATTCTCTGCAGGCTTGTGGCTCACCCTCCCAGTCTGGTCGCTGGATACACGAAGCAGAGTGGTATTTGTGCGGATTCGTTTGGGTTACACTTTGTGGTGGTGGCTGGATTTGTGCCATATACTGTGCACATTGCTTGGCACCATTTGCTGTTGAACCGATGGGAGTGAAGGGCCATTTGTTGTCAACTGTGATAGCAACAGGATTGGGGAGTATTATTGTTGGTTCGTGTGTGGCCCTGTGGACGAATGTTGTGGTGGAATTGTTGTCGGGTGGCACAGCCCATCCATGTGCCCCCCAGGCAGGTCCGACCTTGCGAGCAGAAAGGTAGAGCTTTCTCTGGTCTGACCATTCGCCACTGTCGAGCGCGATGGCTGCAGCTTCACGTGGCAAGTAGACTAAGTCCTATTGGGGGAAACTCTGCGATCTGCCCATTTGTGCATCCGGTATAGTCTCAGATCATGTGTGGTCAAGCATTGCTCACCGAACGAACTACGCAGGCTGTTGTAGGCGTAGGCTTCGAATTTGGAAACGGGTATTGACTGGCATGGTTCACCAGGCACTGACACCCAGCACCACTGGTCTGCCGTGTCTCATGTCATCAGTTGCCGCCACCAGTGTGGCCATTTCTTGAGGGGATGGTGCGCTGTGGGTGGGGATCCGCAGGAAAGGACCTTCTCCTACATTTCTGCTCAGTCCATGGGGCGCTGAACTGTTCAGTTGTCGCCAAGGCCAGCCAGACACAAACCTGCGCTTGGGCCTGCAGAACACTGGGCGCCGCAGGCCGCATGCACAGCACCGCTGGTGCTGCACGGTTGGAGTCAATTCGGAATGTTTGGGAAGTCAAACTTCCCAGCCCATCCTCCACAACTTTGCACCTGCTCGCCTTGGGGCTCTCACGCGCCCTGCTGGCGGCCAGTCGTCCGCAAGTGTGTGGCCAGGGACTGCCGACGTGGCATTTCGCATCGCAGGAGCCAGAGTGTGGCCGCATCTGCAGAAAAGATCAACGGCTGCCAGCCCCGGTTGTACGGTTTCCGCTGAGCTGGCCACGCAAGCGGCAGCCAGCTCGGCAGACCGTCGAGTGCTCTGTCGATGCCTGTCGCCTGTGGCCCAAAATATCCGCCCCCAGTGGTTCCTCAGGTTACACCCTCACGTCCACGTCCCTGGACCATCACCCACCGCCGCCGACGCCCTTTTTGCACGTCCCCAGCCTGCTGGACGCCCCAGTATCCGCCCACACTACCAGCCCACGGCGGATCGGTTGCCGGGCACGCCCAAATCCCCACTGGAACCCCGCACAAACGGTCTCCAGCAGTCGCGTCGAGATGAATGAGGCGGGGTTCCTCAAAGAGGCCACCGCAGCTGGCGGCTGGGCTCGTTTGTCCGGCTTGCCGGCCGGCGCCCCAGCGGCTTTTCTCTCTGGCCCACCCAACACAGATCCCAAATCATGAACACCCAAAGTGGAGTGCTCATGTTGTGCTCAGAACGATTCTTCACTCATAAAACTCTGCTGGAAGATGAGAGTTTTTTGCCCAGTGTCCGACGCATGACCATTTGATTGCAAACAAGCCAATCGGCTGCTCAAATCCCGCAACTTCGTCTTGAGCCTCCTAATGAACGATGAGGCCCGGGCATCCACAGCCTCGCAAGGTCGCACAACTCTTGAGACAAACAGAACTTCAACCGGCTGGCTGAGTACCTTCCGTTGAATGCACCCGGCTGCAGCTGCATCAAATTCACCTCCAACGACGCCCACACATATCCACAGAAATATGAAAACCACCTCAGCAAGCGTTCTCCCGCGTTCACAGAGCCAGAAGTGGCATTGGCGATCGCTGCAACACCTCCCTCTTCAGCCAGGAGCATAACGATTTCCTGTCTCGTTTCTACTCTTCTAGTTTGTTTGTGTGCTCACGACCAACCTCATGAACGGCTCGCGGTGTGCACACGGGCTGCTCTCAGGGCTCAGCTTTCCGGCTGGGAATTCGATATCCTCACGGTGCTGTCCTCACACCAGCCTCGGACTTGTCACTCTATTCTCTTATTTCAATTCGCAACGCGGCACCTCGTCTGCTTCTTCACCAATCAGACTCTCCAGTTTGCGGTAGTATCCTTCATGCGGCGCACCATCCAACCACGTTGCCCCCAGATCAACGTTGAATTGGTGGTTCACAACCGTCGCAGTGTCTTCAGCATGGGCAAGGGACTTGCTTGTGCGTCCTTGGCCGCTTTCCTTGGGACAGTAGCTCCTTTCACGACGTCTTCTGCGTTGATGGTCGTGACCCTGACCGCTTGACATTCCAGCCGCCCCTTCAAGACACGCCAGGACGAATCGTGATCGTGTGGTGGTCGCTCCACGAAGAGTGATGACTTTGGGGAAGGTGCCAGCACGTTATGTACATGCTCATGTGCACTCTTAGGGCACGGAACAAAGCGCAGCACGTTTACTTGAACGGTCCTGCAACGGATGTCTGGAGCAATAATGGTGAGGATTAATCAAACACACTCGCATGGGGCTGTTCAGTGTTTATGTCCCGCAATTGTCTACTATTTTAAGCCAAGGCCCAACAAACAACAAAAACTAAATGGATTTCGCTGGTCAATAAATTGCAAGTCCCTCTGTAATGAGCTGCACCACTTCTTTAGGGCAGACACAAGTCTCCATGAACCTCCCCAGTCCCGCCAACCATTGCCTAGATCAGGGGTTTACCTTTCGAACGACATATGTCAGCAAAGTTTTAAGTTTGTGCCAATATTCATGTGACAATTGCTTCCACAGGATTGAATGCTGTTGCTGAAATTTCCCGCATCTGGCTATATCTCGAAATTACCCATGCCATAATGGCAGCAAACATTAAATGAAACCGCAATATCCCCGTCCCAATCTTACACCATCATACCCGTCCCTTAGGTTAGAATCACCATTTTACAATCTCCAATTTGTCTTGAAAACACAATCAAGTTTTGGTCATGCGTTCAGGGAGTCATTATGGAGCAGTTCTGCATCGGTGTCGCGTTCGAATCAGGCACCAAAACAAATCATTATGTCCCGAATGAGTTGAAAACTAGAATGAATAATTTTTTTTTTGGTATTGACATAACCTGTCCACCCACTCCCACCTTCAGCGCTTCTGTTCGGTTTTACTAAATTCTTTCAAGCCTGGCAAGCTTGCCAGAAGTGTTTTTGTCCATTGAGAGCAGTTCCATATCAGAAGCGCCCCCTGTCGCCCAGAGAGCGGCCACAAAACGCGGCTGCCAGACTTGTTCTATGTTTCTAAATCTCTCGAGCACCGCAGCGGCGATTCTCTCCTTTCTGACCAACTCGAGAATGCGCATTCACCCAGAAAGTGTGAGGTGCTTCCTAATCAGAGCTTGCCCCTATTTTCTCTCGATAGCGCAGTTTCTGAGGGTGCACATTTCCAATGTAGTGAATCTTTCGTTGTTGACAAGAACCTCTGGTTGGCGAGGTCTGCTAGAGGTGAGAATCGCAGGCAGCCTATCCGGCGACTAAACAGTTCTGCTGCAAGCAAATGGTCGCTGACCCGTGCACGTGAACTGATCGAGATTCACGTGAATCTTGTTTTCGACCCACTTTGCCAGTCTTTGCTTGATACCGTAAAGTTGGCTACCCCATTTCGGGAGCCATATTGTGTGCAGGTATGTGTGTGAGCCTGGTGGCGGCACGTTGCATGAGTGACCGTAGGCTGTTGTCACTAGAACTGCCCCTCGCATCGGCACAGGAAGCTGCGCACCTTGGCGATTGTGTCGTGAGGTTGTGTGGCGCTGGAAGGGTCATGTTTAGTAGGCAGCACCTCGGTTGGAGGTATCGACGGAGTCAGAGCAAAGATGCTCCAGTGGTGCGCAACTACAGGCTATTATACTCGCTGGTAGCCATTGTGCCACATCAGCACAATGGTGGGCTCGTGGCAAAAGGCACCTTTTAAAAAGGCAGAATTCGTGGGGAAGTGCTGGCTCCCTCATCACAAACTAATGCGATCGGTGCAGGATAGATTAATGAGAATGTTGGCCGTGTAGCAAATGCTGAATGGCAGCGGAATAGGCTAAAGGGGCAGTCTTTCTACTTTGAAAATGGCTCTCATTCATGGCAGAATTATGGGTAGAACATGCAGTTTCAAGAGCGCCCCAATGGTGGGGTGCACTTGGGCGGCAACGCTCAACCAACAACGATGATGAGGTGAACTGGCGAGTGTACGAATGTTGTCCCGTATCTTGGGGTGCGCCTCCGCGGTTGCCATCGTGTGTTGTGTGCCATGACGCACGATGTTACACAACAACCTTGAATGCTGATTCGCAGGTCACCTCAGAGGCGCACACACGGTGGCGGCAACGTGCGGCGACGCGCTCGAACATGGGTTCGAGGGCCTGGCTGCCAAGGCTCCATGACGACGGTGATGATGGCGGAATCGCATGGGCTACGTTGCGATGCTTGCATGGCGGCGGTCTGCCTTGTCATGCACGGAATTTGCATGGCCCCGAGGGGCTGCGATGAGCCCAAGGGATGCTCGAATCCACGACGTGGGGGACTGCTAGGCGCGGCCTGCATGTGAAGACCTGCCCAGCGATGGGGGGCACGATCGAGGCGCTGGAGCCCGCGGCGGAGGCGTGGAGGAGCAGGCGGGGGCACATCGTGGCGATCATGGTGAAATTGATGTTGGACGATAGTGATTGTTTGATGAGACAGCATCCTGTGAATCCATTGAGCTGGTTATGATCCAATGGGTGCAAAAGGATAGTGTGTTTGATGGGGAAGCCGTGGGGCGGCACTCGGCGGTGACCTACGAGTGAGTAGCACTGATGCTAGGATCAGTGGGAATTATTAGACGCAGGGATGGCGACAGGTAACAGATCACAACAGTGATCGGTGAAGCTGATGGGACAGGCAAGGGATGATATAGGAACTTCCTATTCAGAAGCTGGCCAAGAATGATCCGAATCCTTGGAGAATATTCCAAGGATCCTCGGACAAGTGGGCCAGCCAGCCGGGGCTATAAATTGGGGGGATGCAGGGGGTTTGAGACAGCCACCCACCGTGGGATCTGACCTCCGAGCTGTTGTTTTGGACGAAAATGTAACATATACCTGGTTGCCCTTGAAAATCTTGGAGCGCCTCCCTGTGTGTAAACGTCTGAATGCCGTCCAAGCACAATCGCTGCAAGCGATCGACCTTGGAAATGTGGCAGGACCGAGTCCGAGAGCGTGGGCATGCGGCGCGTCGATTTCCGACATGAGCAACGATTGTGACGTTGCATTGTTTTCGCATGACGATTCGGGGAGTTGGATGAGGGTTTGGTGAACAGCGATGGTGAGAAATGGAACATCGGACGCTTAAGAAGCATATGGGCGTGGCGTCGAAAACGCGCTGCAATACTACCAAGCTCATTCAAGTGTGAAGCCCTATGACGATCGTACCTCTGCAAGATCGAAGAGGTCAGAAATCCGCATTACATAGTTCCTTCACAAGCACATGCAGCGCGCTCGCTAATGCCAGAGCCTGTCCAGCTGTGCATCTCTGATCGTGGCATGAGCCAGGCTGGAATGGAGCGCTGTCGTCCACCTAGCTACCTCAGAAAATTTGTATCCGTTGTGGAACAGCGTATTTATCCCTCAATCGTGGTGATGAGTGACGATCGACGACAGTCTGCGACCTGTGCTGTTGGTGAATTGAGCAGTTGCCTGATTGCCTATAAGTTGGCTGTGATGAACAACGATCGACGTGAAAACTAGGCTGACAAAGGCTGAGCTGGTCGGTGGAGACATTTTGGCTTCAATGTTCAGCCTTGTTTGCTTACAAACGCTGAATTGAGGTGCCTCGCTCCGGCAGCTCCTTTGCGAAGAAGTGGGTGGCTCGGGTCCTCACATTAGTGAGGCAGCAGCAGCAACTCACCTGCCCTAATAGGCAGCTGCGCATGGAGGCTGCTTTAACAAGCCTCAGAAAAGTGTGAGGGGAGGTATGTGCCAGGTGCAAAGACCTGCTGAACATGCCCGACGTGAGCGGGCTTCTTTGCACTCTGTGGGTGCCTGGGAGGGGCACGCGTCGTTACATGGACTCCGCAGATGCACCTGCCGACCGTTCACACCCTCTCGTTGGGGTCTAAGAGTGGGATCCCACACCTGGACTGTGGGCACAGTGGATGATGCACACCATTCGAAGACTGCAAGAAAATGCGCTCTGTCATCGCCGTTTCTCTGGGGCCAACGTAGCCTGCGGCACGCCACGCGTACCACCACCTCCAGCCATCCACCCGAAGTTCACACCGCATCCCTTCCGTCAGTCCCGTCACAAATCGACCCCTCCGCCGGTCCCCCGCGCTTCTGACAGGGCTACGATACCCCGGCAGACCAAGCCGGTCCAAAGTTCCGCACCGCTTAGTCGCCAGGTGTGACGAGTCCCGTAAGCACGGACTCCCCTTCACCCCCCTCCCCATTCCTGATTCCCAATCCGAGTCGTGATCCCTCCCTGTTCTTCATGCCCTGCCCCTGCGCCAGAGCACGCATGACCGTCTCCCCTTCCCCCCCCTCTTCCTCTTGATGCCCTTCCTTTGCTCCCACACTCGCTCGCACTCAAAAGCCACAGGTCCCCCCACCCGCCCCTGTACCTCAGCACCCGTCCAGGTTCCATCGAAGCGAACCCCCGCCGGAGTACCACCCGCGGGCGTCCGACCGCAAGTACAGACCCGGACACCCTCGCCCCGGGACGTCCGCAGCCCCTGGTGCCCGTCCCGTGGCCACGCGGCCTGGCCGAGGCGACCGCGCGAGCAGCGCGTGGGACTTGCGCGTTGGGCGGGACATCCCCGCGGGGGCGGCGATGATCGCGGCGGACAAGGCCCGAGGGCCCCCCGTGGCCTGGAAGTCCTCGCCGCTGGACATTGTCAAGCACCCCTGGCTGTGTGAGTGCCCCACGGACGGGCGGCGGGCCCGAGTCGATCGCCCCTTGACTGGGCCCAGTTTCGCTGCAGCTCTGCGGGAGCCTTGTGATGAACTCATGACGATGAATGATTGGTGTCCGGTGTTGCCGGTGGGACATTGCAGGTATCGTCACCCTGTGCGCGCCGCCCACGACGTACTACAGGATATCGGAAGGTGGGATGGGGGGGCGCTTTGGTGGGAGTGGGCGGCTGGGGTTTGGACTGGGTCCACGTGGGGCCCGCCCCGCGCCTCGTAGTGCGTGCGCTTGCGGCCCTTAGGCTGCCCCGCATCGCCAAGGCACGGGCGGTGGGCGCGCCCACGAACACGGCTGCGGGCAGAAGGGAGAGAGGGGGGATGCTGCGAATGCAGTCTGTGGGGGAGGGAGCGCATTGAAAACGTCGCTTTGCTTTGGAGCGCTGGGGCAGTCGGGTGCGGGTGCCCCGCGTCGCAGCAAGTAGTGCGCCGTGTCCCATGCTGGATCGCCTCTCCCCTTGGGCGAGGACAACGCGAGCGTGTTTCCATCCGGCGCCGTCGCGATGAACCCCTTGGGGTGATTGCTGTGTGTGTCTGCCGCAGAGATTGACGAAGTGCCCGCGCACGCGTGGCAGGCTTTGTTTGGGGGATACTGCTGCTGCCTTGGTTTCCCAATTCGCACAAAGTTGCGAAAGAAGTACAACCTGCAGGTGTGCCCATTTCAATGCTGTTGGAGACTCCTTTCCATTTCTGCGCCTTTTTCCCCTTTCTCGCTCGACAGTTCAAAGTCCCAGATCAATCCTCTACGCACTCACACACACCACACATCTCCTTGGTGGACGCATGCATGGACTGGGGGCACTACATTGTGCTTGCATTCACCGCCTGACATCGCCAGCTTGGTGAAAGGGCCTGCCTTGTCTTGTAGTGACAAGTACGTAATCGATTTTTTACTCACACACACGTCCTCTGGGGGTGCTTCTTTGTATGCTGTGGCTTCCTGGGATTGCAACACATCTTGACACACACACTTCCCTTGCCACCCCTTCACAGCCCTGGACGATTGCAGTGAGAGATGGGCTCATTGATTGTGCAGCCGGTGTTTCTCCATCTTGGCTTGATGTTTTGGTCATGAAAGGCGTACCGATAGGGGATGTGCCAGCAACCTCAAACCTTGTGTTGTTGCTGGTTGCAGGGGAACATCGCACTTGACTTCTGCGCACACTGCCTGTGAGTATACAGTATTGTGTGAGCTGTCCTGTGGCTGTGCTGCTTCTTTGGCTCTCTGGCTGTGTTGGCTGGGCAAGTGTTCTGCTGTTGTACATGTGTCAGAGCATTTGCCAAAATTCAGCTCTGCTCTCCAACAGTGATGTCCCGATGGTGGTGCAGCTGCCATTGCTTTGCTCTTCAACACGATTTCATCGAGGTCAAATGTTGGAGAGAGAGCCAGGCAGGGCCTGCCACATTGCCAATAATGCCCACCAACTTGCCGCCCCAGCAGTCAGTGGGACACCCAGCTGGCATGGTCCCCTACCAGGTGCCTGTTCAAGGGCTGCCATCGGGAGGCTTGCTGGCTCCGCAGGACAGCGCACATTCACAGACACCCAACAGTGGGCCTCAGGTTCGGCAAAGCACAATAGAAAACAGGTTTTCCCGGTTGACAGATGCACTCCCCACACACAGCGTGGAATTGAGTCGACAGCAATTGCCGCCAGGGGCGCGTTCGGGTGACTCGGTGAGTCAGATCGTCATTGATTGGGCATTGCGTGTGGATGCTGCTGTTGTTGGGAATCAGTTTTCAATTTGTTTAATTGCTGAAGGGCGTTGTCCCCTGCCCACACTGAAAGTTGTCCAAGGCATTCATCACCGAATCGCACCTGTGAATAGGGTGAATAGTGCAGCTCTTTAACTAGAACATGAAGAGAGGAGTTGAAATGGAAGCTGCCCCTGTGATGCCAACAGACTATGCACACATAAATGCCATCAGGAACATGCATTCAAGTGCGTGTTGCACATGACAGGTGCACACGTTTACTTGTTCTGAGTACGTCCAGCTCATCATTGCCAATTACCATTAATTTAACCATTGGGTGAGAGTCCTGTTGTTAAGAGTTAATCTTCTGCCACCCTAAGTGCCTCAGGGCACTTGCTATGGGTACACCATACCTGTGGTACTGTCAGTTCTGTAGCATCTGACAGGAAGACTTCCTGAACTCTGGTTCAGGACCCAGTGACTTCGAACGCAGTACCAGCACCCAGTATCAATGATTCAAGCAATGCCAAGTCTGGCTCACATTAGTGTTATCTGTTCAGCAGGCGCTGAGCAACAAGAAACTCCATATTTCGATTCTTGACCATGCCTGAAGTATGTCTGTGCCCTCAAATCCTGTCTTACAGTCTGGGGCACCAATCATTGTCTGGCTGATACCCACGAAAGGGAAAAGGAAGAGAATGTGCATGTCTTTGTGTGCCCAAGAGTGCCCCTTGCAGTTGTCCTCCTACCCACGCTAAGCATGCAGCCAGGCATGCAGAGAGTAGCCCCACGGCAGTTATGCATGCAAGTGCACAAGGCGTGCGCTCTCTGGCCTTATCCCGTGTGTGCAAGGGTCGATCTTCCATGTGTGCACTTGATGCGTAGGCCACCAGCCAGGGCAGGCAAGAGAAGATCGACGGAGTCATCATGAACGCGGAGGCCATCGACGCGATGAGGAACGAGCTTGTGGACGACCTCGATGGCGGGGAAACATCGCATGCTGTCCCTTCCTCCGCAGACCCACCTGGCCCTTCCTCCGCAGACCCACCTGGCCCTTCCTCCACAGACCCACCTGGCCTTTTCTCCACAGACCCGCAAGGCCCTTCCTCCACACACCCACCTGGCCCGAGTCCCAGGCCGGTCGTCGTCCCTCCACCCATGCCGCAGCTCCAACCCTTTCCCCCCACGTACCAGCACCAGACGGGCATGCAGGAACCCGTGTCTGGCAGCGACAGCGAGAGGGCCCTCCTTTCTGGCAGAGGGAACATGGTGCAGGTTGGCACTCTTGCTGGGCCCCCAATGCATGTGAGCGTTGGAAGCGCCGCCGGCATCCAAGTCAATCAGTTGCACACAACAACCCCCAGAGGGCAGGAGTATGGACAGATCCCACGTGCCATCCCACCAGAGTACCCAGGCTCCGGACACTTCGCATCGCAGACCTCGAGTGGGCACTATTCCGGCGCTGGGAGCGGCCACTTCTACCAGGGGATGGGCCGCTAACAGCGCTTCAGCGAGTGACCAGCCATTTCTCAAAAGGACCCCATGGGGGTGCTGGCATATGTGTGGTCACAGGTGGCAGGACTGCTGACAAGGTGTGTATAGTGCCATGCAGTTGGTGGGTGGTCATCAGTTACCAGTTAACATCGCACTGCTGCACTGCAGCGTGCCAATTTTGAGGAAGAATCTCTACCATCAAAGAACATTCCGCTTTGTGGTTCCAGGAAAATGATGCTATTATTCTGCATTGCACTGTACAAGTTGTCCATAGGGGAAAGGCCCTGTTCTTAGTTGGGATAGAGTGAACATTCTTTGAATGGCTTCCAACGCTGATGTCAGTGTTCGAATGGTGTGTCAATTGATGTGTATGACTTCATCTGTCGCACCAAACGCAGTGTGTCCCAACAGGCTGCAAAGTGTGCACTCTGCGCTGTTGCACCGGCCCTGAGAATCAGTACGGCAGTGAGGGTGCTTTTTTGTTGTGGAATGGCAGCGCTTTAAGCCCCACACGTTATTTCTACACTTTGGACTCCCCACATCATCCATGGTTACTGCCATAGATTGGTGCGAGTCATGGAGCTATGACGGACACAAGCTTTACACGGTGTCGTCATCGTGCATCTCTGTGAAGTGCCGCTACTTGTTGTGTGCGTTTGGTACCACATGGTCCCCTTTCAAGTTTGATGCTAGCTTGGACGAAGGGTGAGGTCCCACGCTCGTTCCCATGCTCTGATATTTCTGGCAGTGCACCGACCCAAACATCACCCAATGCAGGAGCCCATCCGCTGGTGCGAAGAAGGAACCCCTGCCTTTAACCAGAGACGGAAATTTCCGCACGATGTGCAACATGTTTAGCACTTGCATGCAACGACCTTGTCCCAACGCTTAAAGCGGAGCGCCTCTCAAGCTGTACATTCAGCGTGAGATCCTTGGCGAGCCTTGCAATCGTAGTGTGCAGAAGTCAAGTCACGGAAGGTGCCGTGATGCCAGGAGACCTGCCGCTTGCACGGTCTTGGCGCCCTAGACGAGGCCTTTTTCCAGTAAATAACTTGGCAACGCTCGCCTCCAGAATGCAGTGCCGCCCGACTTCCCTCTTGCAACAATGATGTCGTCATCAGCGTAGAAAAAGACGAAACTTCCTGTGGTACCCGGCGATCTGCAAGGACACCACATGTTGAGTGCTATTGCCCTCAAATGCGAGTGTGAACATGCAAGACAGCACGAATGCGCCCATCCTGTGGGGGCCACACGCTGGGGCGCAATGTACTGCTCTGGGGACCATGTGGTACCAAACGCACACAACAAGTAGCGGCACTTCACAGAGATGCACGATGACGACACCGTGTAAAGCTTGTGTCCGTCAGTACTGCAAAGGGCATCCTGGCGCACGGCGACAGGCCAACGACACAGCTGTGCGCATGCCGTACAGCTGCACAGCTGCAGCCTGCCGTACGTGGTACAGTGGCACGCAGGTATGTCGGAGGAAAAACCATGCAGTCGAGATGTCTGGAGGTCTCCAGAAATATCAGAGCATGGGAACGAGCGTGGGACCTCACCCTTCGTCCAAGCTAGCATCAAACTTGAAAGGTCCAATCTTCACGAGGCGGTTGCTGAAGCCAAATTTGAGGCTTTTCTGGAGGAGCAAACGAGGTCCTTGAGCGAAATGGCCAGCAGAAACTGATGTAGAGACACAGTCTGCTTGAGGCCAGAGAGAGCCAGTAAATGGGCTGTGGACATGGATCCTCCGGTGGCTTGACAATTACAAGAGCCCCTTTCCGCTGCTTGATAATAAGTGAATATGTCGCGCACAGGGAGAAGCTGCGGTCAGTATACAACACACAAGTGGCTGCCGCAACGAGTCAAGTTTGTGAACTTTGCATGGCAGGACATCAGAAGTGGCACGGTCGGTTCGCCTTGAATCGTGTGTCCTTCTCGCCCAACGCAGGGCGATTGTACCTGCTTTGGCATCCGAAAATAGCATAGCAGAAACACATTTCTTCGGACGGTGCATGTCAGCGCTGTTAGCATGGCCCACATGGCAGAGGACTGTGCATTCCCATGGCTTCCGTGTTTGCGCCCAGCGCTGCCATCCATTTATCGCCAACTCTTGTGCGAGGCGAACTCTATTTACAGAACAGGTGTATCGCCACCAGTCAGCAATTGACCGCGGAAGGGCAAGCCCGCGCTCTCTGTTGAATGGGCACGTGGCTGCATGGAAGCGCCATGAGCAGGCAAAGAGTACGAGACAGTTCAACATCCGGAAGCTTGCCTTTCATTCCGAGGGCCCTTGAGGATCCCTGAGAGTACGCGTGTTTTTCCTGTCCACTGGCGCACTTCTTTCGTGATGCACTCGGCGACTCTTGAGCAAGAGTTCAAGTAGCTCTCAAGGATGCGATGAATGCACGACATGTATCCTTTCTTCTTGGCAGTTCGCGTCAGTTTCACAAGGCAGCGATAAGGTGAACACGTGCTTAGGCCGCATCCAGCTGTGCCTCACGGGTGGTGGGACCAGAGGATGGCACACCAAATCAAGCAATCAGGTGGGCAACAACAAAAGTTCTCGATGGGCGCCCACCCCCTTCATCTCCCAGCTTCCGCTGAACTTCATCGACGCCAGCTGCCCAAGGTATGCAGTGTTTGTCGTCGTGCCTTCAGCGGTGTTGTAACTCTGTGCAGCAAAGGTAGCACATCACATCAGTTCGACTACACCCCTGTCACGAACACAATGCATACCAAATGTCCATCGTCCTGCAGGCGACAGGGCGGCATTAGAAATTCCGACACAAAAGTAGTTGAGTGGAACACATATCACATCCCCATTGTACCAGCAGCAAAGCTCCTGGCGCACGTTCCAGCGGAGCCAGCAGCCAAATGATGGCGGTGATCTCTCTGATATGGCACAAGTTTCGGTGCCAAGACTGTCTAGAAACCAGTTGGCCGATTACCAAAGAATGTGACAAAAGCAGAACACGGCATCTGGCACAAGGTGAGGATTGGCACAAGGAATTCAATGACATATCCTACACGTCACAAAGATTCAGTGCCGCCTAACTGTTTGCATGAGCTACAGTTCCTGATGAGGAACAGCGCAAAGGTCAGGACCATGCTGTGCACCGAACGTCCAGGATATGTGAAGTGCCATGAAAAATAGCACTGGGGAACAGCAAGGGCATTCTTGACTGCAATGATTGTTCGATTTTGCACTGCCATGGCAGAACACCGGGAGATCCCAGCTCTGGCAGTCCGGCCGCACGTCCACTGAGCAAAAAGCTGCGGGACAAATGTCAGAATGAACTGCAGCAACAGGGTGACTGTACAATGTAGTTGCTCATCCCCCAGCACAGCATCTTTCTGGTGCCCAACTGGCACACAACAAGTCTTGCTGGCAGTCCATTGAAGCGTAATCGAAAGTGTTGTACTGTGGTGCATGCACAAAGTAGCCGACAATGCCCCGCTGCATGAAACAATTCCTAATGCTGTTCCATGTCACACTGATGGATAAAGCAGCACCTGCCACAGTGGTGTGGCTTGTTACACATCTACTTTCAGCTTTCTTATTTCTTACCGCGACAGCAGTCACCGGAAAGTACTGTCCACCTCCTTCGGAGTTGCCTTTCACAACTGAATCCAAGACCTTGGAGTCTGCAACAATCACAAGTGAACGGAAGATCTTTTACGTCCCACACCGTTCAGCACTTGTGCATATTTGGAGGGGCACAACAATTAAGACCAGAGTTAGCGTTGATCCATTGAGACAAAAATACAAGCATGTCCCACTACTTGAGGAATGTCCCAAATGGGCCCCATCAGGCCCACACCATCAAGGTTGTTAACAGGTGTGAATGTCATGGGAGGCAAATGGGATTCAGCACTGGCATCACCACTTTTTTCTGCCTCTCAAGAGTCGTGACCTTCCAACATGCATTTTGCTCAGTGCTGCACATAGGATCTGCTCGCTTGCAGCAGTGTGGGGCAATCTCCTGCACTGGGGTGGATGGACCATTATTGTTGATCAGTAAGTATTCCATGCCTATCACAGGACTGTTCCTGATATATAATTCGAGATCACATGGCACACCTGACGCCATGCTGTGCATGAAACCCAAGTTATATTCGTTGGAAGCTCTGTACATCAGCGTCGTTGATCCCTATAGGGCAGCACACCAGAATCTGGCGTGCACCCAGCTACCATGATCAGTGGGACATCATGGTGAAGTTCATTTCGATAAAAGCAAGCAGTGGTTGTGGAGCCCACAGTTTCCAGAAGTCAGTGATTAACTGTATTGGGCATGAATCCAACTGGCCTGGAGTGTTGACTTGCTGTCAAACAACAAGACGCGCCATGCAGAGGTCAACAAATCGTTAGCAACCTGAAAGTTCCTGCTCAATGGACCCATTCACAGCCACCATATTCATATGCTCACCCAACCATGCTCAAGTATCATTTTCCCCTAACTGCCAATGCATTTTTGCTATTGCATATACCATTACGAATTCATGTCTTCATGTTTGTTTTTTTCATCCATTGCAGATATTGTGGATGAAATTGTGTCGATGCGCCCCGATATCTTTAGCGGGTTGCGAAACTGGTCTTAGGCACAAAAGGCTCCAGTTTTTATTTGCTGTGCCCTCGACATAGTGACAGCTTGTTGGCATCCAGACACACTATGCCAATTGTGATTCCTTTGTGTCCACGCCAGAGTGTACTGTAGCACTGCAAGTGCCCCACATACCAGCCTGAAACACAAGACGCCAAGTCCGCCCTCCTGGGCCCCCTCCCAGACGTTCTCCCCAGTCGTCAAACTGCAAGCAAAGCCTAAATCTTGTCACAGGGAGGTCCACATCAAAACATAAAGGATTCAATATTCGCATGCTGAATTTTGCCTGTTACTGTTGAATGGATCTGCCCAGTTGCACATTCCTGTGACCTGAACAGGCATTGCTGCGTTCAACCAAAAGCCTGGTACTGTTAGCCACACTTGACATAAGTGGGGTTAACATGAAAAGAAAAAGAAAAGAAAAAGAATAGAAAAAGAAAAGAAAAGAAAATGTTGGATCGTTGTGTTACCACATTCTTTTGTGGACTGCACACACGATGGCATTGAATGCCACAGACAAGGAGTGCAGAGGAGGGCTCTGTGAAAAATGCAAGCTCTCAAGCCATCCCATCTGGCATGGTCCAACAGGACAGCCACAGTGGAGAAAGTCTAGAGAATTAGAAGCCAGGAATCGCACTGCACCTGGAGCTTCGCCAGCTCCAGTTTCCTCATCGCCTGAAAGACTTTTGCAGGCGGAACAGATCCTTCATCGGCTGCCTGCACCAACAGGGACACTGCACACGCAACCTCTGAAGAAGTGCCTGCGGCAAATACCATTTATACCGTAAGACGACCATTCAAGGACAAGGTGCCACACACACAGCAGAATCTCAACTGTGGGCATGTGGGCTATCTTTTATTTCAAAGCATTGCATCGCGTATCGCAGCTCAGGGCCTGTGCCTAACAGAAGAGATGGTGTGGCCTTGTGCCATTTCACATGAAGGCACAGGCAATGCAAAGCCACAAAGATTGTTTGCATGAAACACTGCTCAGTCCCTTGAGAAGCTAGGCATTACCAGCGGATACGTGTTGCTGCAGTTCAGCAGAATGCTTGCAGCAACTGTGCATGGCAGTGTTGTTCCATCCAATGGTAGCAAAGCCCCAAACACACAAATACATCCACAACCGCGAGTCTCATCTTCTGAATGAGGCAATATTTGCACGTGTGTGTGTCGCCACAAACCATGCAATTCAATGCTTTCAGGATGCGCTCAGCAGCTGGCCTGTTCTAGACAATGTCACGGGCCTCTGGGAAACGCGAATGCAAAGTTGGCATTGGTTGTCTACGGAGCCCCGCAAGCGTAGTCCGCCGAAAAAAGACGGCTGGAGCCCCCTTGTCAGAGCGACAAATGGGTGCCCAAGTGTGTGCCGGTTCGTGCGGCTTAAGCAGAGCATGGGTGGGTATGGGCTCAAGCGGTAGGGCTGGGTGTGGCCTGATACGGCTCAAGTTGCAACTCTCGCTATCCACGGCCTCAGCACGGTTTAACGACAGGACGGCTTTCACCTATCCACGACAAAAGCTAGCCACGCCGCGGCTCTTTCACACTCGTCTCCATAGCGCACAAATTGTCAATGTCCATCGGTGACAATTGATATTGGTTCAGGGCATTGACACGTGCCCGACACGTGTTTACCTGCAGTGAAACAAAAGTTCGCAAACCTCCGCAATACCCGCCAGAGCCCAAACATTTTGGTGGGCGCGAACTGGTGTTCGAAAAACAGCGCAAAATCCAACCTTCTTGTCGGTCGACGGTGGCCTGGCAGCGGACCCCAAGGGTCGTCGAGCGACCTCTCCCCTTCCTGCAGTTGGCCACAGATCACCAATTCAGGCAGGAAACGCCATTCCACAGCTCCCGCGCGTGTAACCCAATCGATGCACAGCGACGAGAAACGGGAGTGGCTCACAGAGGAAGGCGATGGCCTGAGCACCCCGTTGGAGGGAATGACGTCCTGGGCCGGTGCCGCGCCGACCGCTCGGAGACGGCCAGAGCCGGTTGAATGCGTCCGGAGAGGCAGTGCGACATCCTCAGTCCGCGCGAAAAGCGGGCAGGTCGCGAAGGGCGCCGAGCTCAGACCCCGTTTCGCGAGGGCATCCGCCTGGACAGCGTATAGAGGACACGGACCTTGACACCTCCTTGATCCCTCATGTACAACGCCCAGCCCGCACAACACCGCGCTTGGGCCCCTTCCGCAGATCCGTAGTTGCGCGGAACACCGTACGATGCCTGGTCGGCCTCAAGCGCAGCCCTTCGACATCAAGCCCCACTGTCGCCATTCAAATCCCCATTGCATCTCAATGTCATCATCATCATCACCGTTCAATTTTGCAATTTTACGCATCAGTGCTACAGCCCAGCTCTGCAGCAGCCGTCCGTGGGCCTGCCCTCTTGCAAAAAGGTGTCCTGTGGACGCAATTGTCCGCCCGGCGCTGCCTGGCCCCCCCCCCCGGTCGCCGCCCCCTCCCCGCGCGGTCAGAGGCCGCGGCTGAGGAGCATGGCCGCCACCGCGCGCGCCTTGGTGGGCCGCGCCAGGACGACGGCCCTCTCCCTCTGGCAGCGGGGCTCCAGCGTCGCCCAGGAGCAGTACGCCAAGACGATGAAGGAGAACGCCAAGTACGTGGTGAAGGACCCCGAGGTGGAGAAGGTCTTGCTGAAGCAGTGGTTCTTCACGAAACTGTCCAAGTGAGTGGGCGCATCCCTGGAGTCCGCGGATCGAAACGGAGGGGAGGGGGGTGGGAGGATTGTGGGGTGGGATTGCTGCGGGCGGGGCAGGAGTGTTGCTGGCGGGGGATCGAGGGCGTGGGGAAATTGCGGTCCCCGTCGGAGTGCCGACTTGTCGATCGGCGGGGCGGTTGGCTAGGTCTGCGTGCGGCAGGAAGGCAGGGAAGGGAGATCCGCATTTCACTGCAATGGATGTAACGGGGGGCTCTTGTGTCCGCCTGATCTGTGGTCTTGATCTGAATAGCTGGGCTCTGTCCTGGAAAGTGGGTCGGTTATTCTTGAGGCGGACCTGCTGGAGGCTGTTCGCGCCTGCGTGTTGACTCGGAGTGCAGAAGAAGATGGCAGGTTGCGGCGGATCCATATCACGAGAACTGCATGGTTGGCCATGTGTAACAGCGAAAGACAGACTCTTTCCCTTTTCTTTGCGTACAGAATTCCGGCAACAGCTGCACAGGTGGAACAGGAAGCAGCTGCCATCAGGGAGGCCTGGGGGAAGCGAAATGAGTTGACTGTGCGCGAGGTGAGCATGTTTCGTGCTGGAACGCCCGCTGCCTTGCTGCATTGTTTCAACTGATTAAATGAGGAAGCTTGACACTGCAGCAGGCGGGTGCTGCTTGGCTTTTGTGCTTGATGTCTTGGCCTCTTGGCACCTTATTTGCCATCCATAAGTAGGGCACAGTGGGGAGTGCCTTCTTTGAAGGTTGTCAGATTTGGACATTTGCTCATCAACCTTCAAACAAGGCATTGTGGGGCAAGCAAGCGGTACTGCAGAAGAAATGTGCCAACCAGGAGTGCTTTGGTGTCCACCAGCAGTGGACTACATGCTAATGGAATTCCCAGCGCTTGCGTTCCTGTTGCTTTACACCACATTGCTGCATGCATTGGAATGTTAGAAAAGTTTGTTGTGCGGTCTTGGAGGGACACACACATCTGCACAAGGAAGATACAGAAGCAGACGTGTTGTGAATTGGATTGTGGCTCCATCGTTTTCCTGCTGCTGAACAAGTTGTGCGAGTCATCGAACAGTTTGCTTGGATCGACTTGACAGCAGTCTGCTGCTCTGCAGGTTGGTGTCGCCGGCATGTTTCTGGCAGAGCTTATAGGGTGGTTCTGTATAGGAGAGATTGTCGGACGAGGGTTTACTATTGTGGGGTATCAAGTGTAGCAACCCGGAAACGAGCAAAAGGCAGCAAACTGGGCGGTATATACTTGGGGGCTGTCTGAAAATCCATGCATGTGGTGAAACAAACTATCCTGGAGCTGCAATTGTGTGGTAGGCTCCCTGTAGTGTAGCAATTCCAGGAATTCTTCTGTCAGGTTGATTTGTCTGATTGATGGTCTGGAATTGCCACCACTCAAGAGAACATACTTTCGATCCCCCGTTGTGGAAGTTTGCTAGGTCTTGGGGTGGTTTTTGCAAGCGTGTGGCATTGATATGGAGGGGAATGCGATGTGTTAAGCGCCTGTAATGTCCTCAGTCCTGAATCCGTATGCCCAAATCGACTTGGGCAGTGTCCATTCTCCATCGGTCGCCGCTGACTTGTAATACGACGGTGTCCTGTGCAAGCATTTGCTCTGATTTCCATTGCTGTCAGCATTGATGGCAAAATAAAGAGGACTTGAGCAGCTGCTGCCTGCAAACATCTGTGTCTGGACACCTCATGCTTTGAAGTGGCAGTCAATTGGGTGTAACTGAGATACTTGACATTCTGCACGTTGCATTCCTGACCCATAAAGGGATAAAACGAAACAAGATACTTTGAATAACTGTTCTGCCTGTCAGCCTGCATTAAAAAAGGCCATAGCCCCCAAGGCTATCCTGGCATGCTGCTGCGAGTGCTACAGTGTATGTTGACATGTCACTGTCAAAGTTTACTGACAGCTTATCTTGGATGTACAATTTTGCAACCCATAGCTCAACAATCCACATGGTTGATCAAGCCTTCTTGTTTTGGCAGCATCGCTGAATCTTGGCTCCTATGCAACACACTGGCAAGGCACTCACTGCAAGAATTTTCTATGTCATCGCAGAAGAAACCCTTGCAAAATCATTGCAGCATAGTGGACGTTTGTTTTGTCACTCAATCGCACAAATTGCCTTTGATTGCACAGATGCACCCAGGGACGCCCTTTGTCACCATGCTGGTGCTATGGCCACTGGTTTGGCGATTTTACAAATATAGTTACAGGAGTAGGGAACACGTTGTAAGACTGCTGGGCTGGCTGATCGTGTAAGATTGGATGGCCTCAGTGCCACAGCTGAAGCAGGAGAAGAGAACATGTAAAATGCATAAAATGTATCCTACAGGGGTGTGCAAATGCAAAAAGTGTGCTGAAGCTTAGATATACAGGTCAGCTTGCCTGCTGTGGCGGACAACAAAAGAGGAGGAAATACCGGTCTGGGAAAGCAAACCCTCGATTACCGCAGTTCACCCAAGACCCAATGTTTTACCCACGGATTCACTGCGGAGGCACCAACCTCATCCAGTCCGCCAAGAGCGAGTCCCTGTGCAAACTTAAGCAATCGAGCATTGAACAAGAAGAAAAAGAGGACTGGGCAGCCACCAGCTCACTGCCAACTCAGCAGACTGCAGGCCGCAAACTCCGCTGGGCCTAAACCGCGTCCATCGCACCGGCCACTGTGCCCCATCCGTGCATGGCAGCCACGCCCAACAACGGGATGAAATCAGTCGCTCTGACTTGTCCGTGAAGATCCCTTCTTGTTTTGGACACCCTAAATCCTGACCCACTGACCCACTGACCGGCGCTGGCCTTGTCAGCGGAAGAAGAAGGGATCTTCACGGCAAAGGCCAGAGGGAAGAACATACTCTCCCCAGCAACCTGTGCGCAAAACCCCCTCAAGGCGCCAAATTTGCCACCGGGGACCGACTTCCGTGGCCTTTCCCGATCATTGCCCCTGCTCATACATCCGGCTTGAACTGATCAGCACCCGAACAAAGAGCGTTGGACGGGAAACGTTATTTAGTCGCTGCCTTCCAACGTCAGCATGGAGGCCCCGGACCGGGGCCGGGCCGCGCCGGGCAGGACCCGCTCGCCCCTAGCTAGGGGCGAGCCCCGCCCCCCGTGCGCCCCCACTGCGAGAGCGGCCAAGTCGTGGGAAGTGGCACTGGCGCCCCCCCTCCGCAGTTCCGCAGTTCCGCAGTTCCGCACCTCGACACCCATGGCCGTGGTCGCGGCTGGCCCGGCGGGCGCCGTTGGCGTTGCAAGTCGCTGCCTGTGGGGTATAGCCTCCAGGCACACCATTCACGATTTGAAGCTCAGGGCCCTGCAAGGAGCGCGAGCACTGGTGCACAGCACGAGGCACCACCCCAGCCCTTTCCGGAACTCGCGGATGGACGGACGGACCGCGAACCGCTTTATGGGGCTGCCATCCGTCCAGGCACTGCCGTCCGTGGGTTCGCGGACGACCATTCTGTTCACGGAATTTCGCGATCTGTTTCCCGCCTTTGTTGTACGCAATATTCCTCCGTACTTCGCAGACGGAAGTTCGGGGATTCCGCGATGTTGTAGACAGAGGCGCCGGCGTGCATCAGTTTCCGCGAGCTGGTTAGTTCGCAACGGACGGGTGGTGTGTCTACAAAAGGGCCGGGGCAGCGGGCCTCTCCAGAAGGCCGGGCGAGGTGCAAGACCCGCGGCGGATCTCGCTGTATGCGCGGCGAAGCGTGCTTCCCGCTTGGGCGCTTTATGGGTGCCGAATGTTGCCAGCTGCGATAACCCGATTGGCACCCGCGGGTGGCACCTATCGGTGGCCAGAGAAGGGTGGGAGTGTGTGGCCACGTTCGGCCTCCCACTCCTGCCATTTTGTGGCGTTTGCCTGTGGCCATTTTTTGGGCACCGCGGGGACACCAGTCCGCCCTTGGCGTTCGGCCCCTGTGGGCGCCGAATGGTGCCACTCGCGGGTGCCAATCTGGGCACCTGCGGGTGGCACCAATCGGTGGCTACGAGGGGCAAGAATGGCGGGAGTGGGAGGCAACTTTCGGCCTCCCACTCCCGCCGTTTTGTGGCATGTTTCGTGGCCACGCTTGGGGTACCGTGGAGGCCACAGTCCACCCTTGGGCGTTCGGCCCCTGTGGGCGCCGAATGGTGCAACTCCCGGGTGCCAATCTGGGCACCTGCGGGTTGCACCAATTGGTGGCTGCGAGGGGCAAGAATGGCAACTTTCGGCCTCCCGCTCCCGCCGTTTCATGGCATGTTTTGTGGCCACGCTTTAAGCCCCGTGGAGACGGCAGTCCACCCTTGGCGTTCGCCCCCTGTGCCAAGCGCAACTGTGGAGGGTAGGCGCCGGTGCCCCCTCCCACGACTTAGCCGTTTTCGCAGAGGGGGCGCACGGGGGGCGCGGCTCGCCCCTAGCTAGGGGCGAGCGTGTCCTGCCCGGCGCGGCCCGGCCCCCGTCCGGGGCCTCCATGCTGACGTTGGAAGGCAGCGACTAAATAACGTTTCCCGCGTTGGACCGCTTGGGGTTTAGGGTCTGAAACTAGACAACCGAGTTAGCCACCCATGCACGCGCCGCTGGAGGCCACGACGCGCCAGTGAACGCAGTAAGGTGGGGGGCGGGGCGACGGCAGACCCACCACGGGCCCGCGTGGGGAGTGCCGGCGTACATCCCGTTTTCCGATTCATGGGCCGGGCGCCCCGGGACCAGTCGCCCAACCCAGGCCTGCCCTGCGCCGCAAGCTGCGAGCTGCCGGGGGCCGTGTTTGACGCCGCTCGCTGGCATGGCGTGGCTGCGGCCGTGGCGCCACGGCTTGGGCGACGCGAGGCCGACCTCTGGGACCGCGCCTGGCCGGCGGGCGGCCGGCGACCGGCGGGCGGAGGCCTAAGGGTCGTCACCGAGTGGCCGCTGGCGACTCACAGCCCGTGTCTGTGACCGCGCAGGGTCCTTCCCGCGGGCAGCGACGAGATCCGAAAACCCCCCGCCGACCCTCTGGGCCGACGCGCAGCGAGCAGGCGAGCAGCGCCCGCGGGTTCGCGGGCCCATCTGGCGCGGGCCATCAACCCGGTGCCGGGCGCCGGTCCCACGGACGGCGAACAGGTGGGCATTCACCGGAACCCCGCCGTGCCCCCCACGCGCTTCCGAGTCCGTTTCGCGGTGCGCACGGGCCCCGACCTTGGATCGATCTGTTGGGCCTTGACGGGCCCCGTCATTACCCCGCTGGCGGGATGAATCATGGGCGGAAACCTGGCCCGGCCGGCGCCGTCGCTGGCCATCTGTCGCTTGCCGCAGTACGGGCTGTGCCCTGGGGCCAGCCGCGCGCCTCGGCCGTCAACGGCCCTCAACAGACCTCTGGCGGCCCCGCAGGTCGCTCATCAGGGTCGGTATGGCCGCCGCCGGGGGACCCGCCGCGACGTTCTTGGCCAATCCGAGCCAGCAGGGCGGCGAGGACCTCATCCGCATGTTGCGGACCCGATGGGACGACGGTGCGTTCTCGGACATCCGGGTGCGCGTCTTCAACAACGAGTACCCCCTGCACAGGATGGTGTTGTGCAGGAGCCCGTTCTTCGACCGCCTGCTCCAGGGCGAATGGAGGGAGAAAAACAGGGAGGTGAGGGGACGGATGCCTCAGACGCCATGCCGATTGGCTGGCGCCGCAGCGCGTGCCTGCCAGTCGGCACTGGGCTCCGAGCAAATGGCCTGTCCTTGGCGAGTTGCTGTGGCTGTCAGCACACCGGTGTCTGAGGAAAGAGCTGTTCGACGGTCCTTTGCCTTCCACATTTCTTGCTATTTGGGGCATCCATTGTTCCATTTCGCTCGTGCTGCAACCGGGTTTTCAACACCATCTGAGCTTTCCATAGAGCGGACGTAAGTGTAAAGAACGTCGCTCAGTGGTGATATGCCCTTCCTGTAGCTTGCTGTGTTGTCTCTTGAAGATGTGCCCAAAGTGGGCACGTCGACAAAGAGGCAAAAAAGGGGAACAGCACTGTGCTTATGCACAAGACTGCATCAACTTGATGCGGCTGTTCCTGTGCGCAGGTGGTCACTCTCGAATGTCCAGACCCAAACATCACTTGTGAGGCGTTTGAAGTGGCCCTTGCACACATGTATGCCAAGAGCGTGTGCCTAGAGAAGCACAACGTTCTGCAGGTGCTGGCAGCCGCCTCGTACCTAGACCTCCAGGACCTGTGCAACTCGTGCATCGAGTTCATAGTGGATGACATGCGCAGCTCCGAAAACTTCCTGTATTATTACGGAACATTTCTGGAGCTCGAGTTTGGGCAGCATTCCGAGAGGGTCCGCCGTGCTGGCTGGAGGCACCTCTGCATGATGGGCGTCGACCAGCTTCGGCTCGTGCTCCTGCAGCTTGACGTTCGCACCCTCAAGAGACTGCTGATGTCAGATGAGCTGTGGGTCAGGACTGAGCTCGATCGGTTCAGCCTTATCAAGGACGTCATGTTTCCAAAGTTCTACGAAGCACGTGAGGCGTGCAAGGCAGCGGGGGGCGAAGGTGGCTTGCCACTGTGGTCCTGCCCCTCACTGGGCTCCCCACGCGATCCTTGGATCGTCAGTGACGCATCTACTGCTGCCCTGGAAAAGGGCCAGAAAGACATCGGACAAACTTCTGCAAGGAGCCAAGAGAATGGCGGAGTTACTAGTGACGCACTGTTGGACTCAGCGGAAGTCAGGGACGTTGTGTCTCCCGTTCCAACGAACTCCAGGTTACAGATGGATGGAGAGGTGCCTGGGGGAGTCCAGAATGGAACTGCAGATAACCCATCAGTTCAGTCAGTGGAGGTGAACCCCGATGCAGATACTCTGGACTCTGGCAGGGAGTGGCAGCTTCTTGTGCTGGGCTCGGAGGAGCCGTCAGATGATGCCAAGCCTTCTACTGCAACCATGAAGGAGGATCCTGTGTCAGAAGATGCCGATGCCAAAGAGGAACAGGAGAATGGAAACTCTGACAACTCAGGGACGATCATGGAAACTACATATGACATGGCAGGGGACAGAACGACAGCAGCTTCAGAAGTTGTCAGCACTCTCAACTGTGTTTCGGATGTGTTGGGCCTGGAGGGGGTGAAGTACTCACACATTCAGCTGCCTGACCTGGCGAAAATTGAGATTGAACTGTATGAGATGCAGCTGAACCGGGCACATCATGCGCTGCTGCAAGGTATGAGGACCGAAACCATTCTCAATCAGAGGATAGCAGCCTACTCGGCGCAGATCAGTGCTGACTTGCAGCAGCAGCAGCAAGCTCAGCAGCAGGTGAGGGCTGGGCCTTACATGTGTCATTCTTCCTGTGCCTGAGGTGGACAACTGAAGATTTTTGTCCCCAGCCCCCTGGACCTAGACTTTGTCCATCTGAAACCGGAAGATCTGACAACAGCCTCAAACCTGACCCCTAGGGGTGTGTAATGCCTGCAATGTCCCCTTGTCCCCCAATGAATTATGTAGGCCAGCTGCAAAGTGCTTGACAGCTCGAAGCAGAGACTGCGACCTGGGTTCTTGTGGTTCCTGGTCTTGCCCGCTTCTGCGCACTGATGGACAGCAGATGACGGACAGATGGAATGGCTAAAGATTAAGGATGATTTGGGGGCTGTGTGTGTGTGTGTGTCTCCAGAACAATGCAAGGCACAGCGCACTGCCTAAAAATCTGCATCCTTACACCAGAGATGATCTTCAGGAGCTCTACTCACGGTGGTGGCTGCCCTCGTTCCGATTTGGGGTCGAATTTGAAAATGTGATGACCATCAAACCCCACACAGAGCACATTTCAGAACCTCACTTCTACGCGGGTTCTGTGTGGAAGGTAACTGCCGGGCATGTTCAGGCATCTCTGTAATGTTGTTATGTGAAGTGCAGGTGCATGTTTGTGTGTGTGCGCCCTGCTGAATTCCTGTTCGAATCTCGTGAGTGCCAGGTGACGCATAGGACAATGGTATGACATTTGTCCCCCCTTTGTACCAGTAGGATTGTGGTGCTTGTGTGCTACTGCTGGAGCATGTGTTGACGAAGACAAAGAGAATTCCTGAATGCATCTGTAGCAGTGAGGAGCCAACATAGTGCAAGGTTGGCCACTCCTGATGTGTTATCACAACTGTGTTAAGTGGGGTGCCACATGGTTTTCAAGTCAGCAATACATATGGGGGCCCATGTGCTGGTTGGGGGACATCTTGGGTGGTGCCACAACTGTGTAAAGTCAGGCACATTCTGCACATGAAAGGGCTTGTTGTTGAAAAGACGTTGTGCAAGGTGGAGGAAAACAGCTCGATGCTGTGACCTTGCTGCAGCAAGCTGTGAGCTAATGGTGAACTGTTGTGCAGTGGTGAAGGGATAGATGTGAGACTTTTCGAAGTACGCACCTTTCTGCAATGCTTGAACTGGATGCTGGCGACAAACTAGGGCTGAATTTTGTGCACCGACAGGTCCGTCTCCTGATAGATGACGCCAAGAATGAAGTGCGGCTTCACTTGTTCAGAAACCAGAAGCGCGTGCCAGACGTGGGTGGCATACCTCTGTGCTACGATGCCAGGGAGGTGGTGTGCACAAGGTTTAAGTTCCTTGTCCCAGGCAGGGACGAGACAGCTTCCCGGTCCAGCAGACCTGGCCGCTTTCAACAGAAGAAGGGCCGGGGGTGGAACGACTTCCTGCAGCTTGACAACATTGAGCGCTTTTTGACCCCGTGGGGGAGCCTCAGGGTGACAGTAATCGTGTACCCCCCCTTCGAGGATGAGTAGCTGCCAATCGAATTTGTGTCGATCATTTTTGGGGAGGGTGGTATGCTTGTTGCTGATGGCATGTGGGTTGGGGCCGCGGTGGCCCTGCCTCACATTGTACTTTGGTGTGAACTTGATGACGAGGCCAGGGCCTAGCTTAGAAGTTTTGCTTCTTGTGCCCCTGGTATCCTGGGGCAGTCGATATAGTGGTGGGTGGGAGGTCTGTGGGATTCTGTGGTTATGTTTATATGCTGCTTATGGCAGCAACCGTGTTTGAAGGTCCATTCATATTGAAATTGGCAACTTGGATGCAAGGGATTGAAGCATGTTGTCTGGTCGAGTTCACATATTCATTTGGTCCAGGCTGCTGGGCGTTTTGTTTAGGAGCCTACCTTCACGGGCGCGCTCCTGGGACTGGCGACATGGCGCCAAGGGATTGACTGAATTTTGCTGGGGAAAGACTGTGGATTTCTTTCAGGTTGCCACTTGGTTTAGACAGTGGCTCTCCTGTTGCAGGTGAAGGTGCCTCTTGCAGACAGGATGAGCAGAATAGAGGATAAAGAGAGGTGATGGTTGGTGATAATGATGTGCCGGAGATGACGGATTTGCGGAATTCCTGGTAGGAGCTGAACAGCATACTGCGCAGTTTGCACGAGCTGGGAAGTGCAGGGAAGTCTGTGAGGTGCTTAGCGACAGGACATGAGGTTTGATTGGGATTGCTGTGTGGGTTGCACTTCCTGTCCTGCTTAGGTTAGTGGGCGCTGGTGTAACAACCGCGTCGCGTGCCGCTGGCAGTGCGTTATGAAAGGACTTGAAACAAGTGTGCGCATTGAGATGCGACAGGACCAAATAAGGGGTTCTGGAAGGTGCCTGCCTTGCAGGCAGGTTATTTTGAATAATGCGATTTGTAGCATCCAAGTGTAAACTACACGCCGGCATATGCCTGTTGTGGTAGAAGACGTGGAAGGTATGTGGGGGTGGCGACACACTTCCAGTTGTCCATGCATTTATTCAAATTGGTCTGTACTTTACTGTGGCGGCTCGCGTTGCAAGTTAATTGCAACGGAGTTGTGTCCATGGGCATTCCTTGCAACACGAGACTGCAACGAATGCCGAAACAGAGAATCAGACGTATCAAACACATGCACCCGTAGCATAATCACATTGCGGGTGTCGGGCGTCTTCTATTGATTGGGTACAACCAGAAGATGTGTACGGTCGTCTCGACAATGCAAGCGTGAGCGACCAGGGCTCTGCACTTGTCATCATCATCATCATCGTGATTTTTTTACAGAACAAGGCAATGAGGTAGCCGTCAGCTTCCTATTTTGCCTGAGCAAAGCAGAGTCGGTGATTGGTTCATTGGAATCTATTGAGAAATACAAACTAAATCACACACACACGGTTTCGAGCCATTCAATGTTGCGCTCAGCGCGTCCCCTGTTGGTGGTAGTGTGGATGCAAGCTGGCCACACGCCACCTGGGCCACTGCCATCGAAATCCCGGCGATGATCCCACGAAATGGAGGCAAGATGAAAGGACACTAACCAGACGCGCCCGTCCCACTCGAATCATGGAAAATGGAAAGAATTGCGTGGGGTGCGCGGTTGCGGCACTTTCACAAAAACGGGGACAGTGTCGCACCCGTGCTCACCTGCGCGGACTCTGCCATGGACAACCCCCACGGCGCCTTCTACGACTGGCTGCGCGAACGCGGCGGCTACGTCCACCCGGACATATCCCTCTTCCACGACGCTGGCAACGGTGACAGGGGCGTCTCCGCGCTGCGGGACGTCGCCCGCGGCGATGTGCTCCTTCGGGTCCCCACGACCGCCACGATCCACATGCCCCAACAGGAAGCCGCGCCGCGCGCGGCTCCAGGGACGCGATGCAAACCAGATCCAGAATCATCTCCAGCGCCTGCGCTTGAAGGATCGGTAGGAGATCTGCGAAGCGAAGGCGGCGATGGGCAACTGATGTGGGGTGGCGAGCGAATGGCGATCAGCGTTGATGCAGGGACGTCCGGGCTGATGTCCGGCGCGGTGCCGGGTGTCGATCCCCCACTGTGCCGCGCTGATGTTTTGAGCTTTCTGGGGGTTGCCGGGCGGGAAATGAGCCCATTCGCCGTCGCCCTGCTGGTTTTGCTGGGGGAGATGGCGGCCGGGGAGGGCTCCCAGTACAAGCCGTATTTGGACAGCCTGCCACTGGACAGCAACTGTGTTTGGAATTGGAATGAGAGGGAAGCTGTAGAGCTCGAAGGTGAGCTGCGGGGGTTTGAAATGGTCGCGGCCACGCCCAGAGGGCAGTTTCTTATTTGTTGTGATCAAGGTGGTCATCAACTTCTGAATGGATGGTGGAGGCTTGCTGACTATACAGACTGTGTATCACTGTGAGACCAATTGCGATGAGCCACTTACTTTGGCCTCTTACACATCTGTTGGGGTCGTTAAGGGTGCTGATCCTGCAGAAACAAAATGGACTAAACCCTCAATGTGTTGCCATGAGACACTATTGCAATTGTCCGGTTGGCGGAATGGCAGTGACATGTCATGTTTCGATGACCACAGTCAGTGAGGATGCATGTCATGGAGAACACACCTCTCTGTTTGCTCTGTCACAATAATACCAACCAGGATTGACATTGGAAGTGATTGTTTTGCACGATGGAAAAGAGAAAAAAGCATTGACCCAGGGTGCTGATAATCCACTCTGTTCAGTTGGCAATGTGCAGGTACCTCCATACGATCGTCGGTTGGCTCTTTCGCACTGCTATTTGATGGCGCATTGAAGCCTGCTTTCGAGACTCGACCTGATCTTTGGCCGTGTCCCTGGAATTCGATGGAGAAAGCATTGCATGCAGCTTGCATGCTGCAGTCCCGTGCATTCCACATGCAGGCCGACAACTGGGTCACTGGAGTGGTAGGCATTCACCAATATTGGGGTTCTTGGCATGTGATAAAAGCGTTAGCTTGTGGCAGGCCTTGCCACTTACATGAGAACTTTGGGACTGGCAAATGATGTCAGCTGTTGCGGGCATGGTGTTCCATATATGCACTTCCCTGTTGTCTATGTACAAAGGGGCCATACTTGGGGACAGCTCTTGCAATGGCTTGACTGACCTGGTGACATCTGCACTTCAAAAAAGACAGATTTGGAGTGTGCTCTATGCCAATGGAGTGGTTGTGGGCTGCTCATTGGCACATATCCCATCCAGTGCCGAAACTGATAGGGCCAAGGTGTTGCCAGTCAATTTTGGTGAAACATGTTTTGGAACAGTGTCTGAAGGTTTTTGTTTCTCATTGGCCATTTTGTTGTAGTGTTACGTTTGCAACATGTTTGTGGGCAGGTCAGCAAAGGCTCACAGCTTTTCATGCTGCCGGGCATCGACATGGTCAACCATTCCTGTAACCCAAAAGACTTGAACACCACTCTACGCTACATCAAGGTGGACTGTTCCAGTGAAGAAGCCAATTGTTTGGGAGGAATATCAAAGCTGAATCAGGAAAAGTGCAGTACTGCCAGCAGCCATTCGTACTTCGTAATGAAAGCAGGCAAGGTGCCTCTGTGTCTACAAATTCTCTGTTTCACAAGTGTGTGCGATCACAGTCGGCGGTAAAGGTTAGGTGCACGTTTGAATGACACAATCTGCCATTTATGTGAACGATGGCTTACTTTGTATGGGAGCTGGGCTCATAGAAAAGCATAAAATAGCACTGGAGCAAAGTTGCAGCAATGCTCAGTGACTGCACACAGAGGAGGTGCAGACCATACAGGTTCTGCATCATTCCATAGAATGTCTGTAGCCACTTTTCATGTGTTTGGGCAATGCTTTGCAGATTTTTTGTCAAAAGCAATCAATGCAGAATGCGCAGTGGCAGGCGCAGTCACACATGTGAACCAAAACAAGCACCTTGGTGGTCTCCTGTTGTTTGTCTGCATCGAAGGAAATAAACCTTTGTGTAGCGTTCTTGGAATTGAGGCAACGAAAGCACCAGCACTGGACAATGGCCATGGAGCCCATCAGACACTGGATGTGTAGTGTGCTACAGGCATGAGAGGCGAAGTCTGTATGAGAATTGCACTTCATGGCGATGTATGTGGCAGGGTATCGTGTGTGTACTCAGGTCTATTCAATGGCTTGCACACTTGCGACTGACCCATTTTCTTGGCTGGCTCTATGGTCTTGTAATGCAGCTTGGTTGGCTGTACAGATCTGTCAGGTTCAGATTGCTGCACACGGGCATGACATCCAAACATTACAATTGCACTGCACTGCCACAAATGCCTTGGCAATCTCTATGCATGTTAGTTGTCATGCTCTTTTTGTCTGATATCTGAATGTGCAACAATTATATTGGTTCAACAGAGCAAGACATCAAGGCAGGCGAGCCGATCCTGCACTCTTACGGCGACCTGAGCGACGGACAGTTGTTGCAGGTTTATGGATTCATAGGAAGCACTGACGACCATCAAAACCCACACAATTGGGTTGCTGTGCCCTGGAAGATTGTGAAGGAGAGCTGCTGTGACATTGCAAAGCGAAAGGTACCATCAGCCCTGTTGAGTGTTGATGGTTGCTCCTTCAGCCATAATGTGAAGACAGCTACGTCATGGTCACATCACGTGTAATTACTGAGGCTATTGACGAAGGCATGCTGCATCTAATATCATAGTGTCTGCTCTGTGCTGACAGCTGCGGCTGAGTTAGGCAGCACCATCGTTTTGTTTCAAGGATTGAGCTGCACACACTATTGCATAACCAAGTTGCCCTGAAATTTTCAGCAAGGACCTCACAGGTCAACGGAATGCTAGGACAATGCCCCTCTTGCAGATAATTTGGCAAGCACAGAGAAAGCATGCCCAGCATATCCAAGAAGGCATGGCTACTGGCTTTCTGAGCTGAGTGGCGTTGGGCTGGTTGGGGTCAGATTTGCCTGCACCACATACCCTGTTTGCTATTTTGACACCACTTACCAGTCATCGGTTCCCTGTACTGCAGCCAGATGTGCTGATAACCTGTGCATGCAGGATATAGTTTCATGGTACCAGTTGGATGCCCTGTGTAGTTGTCCCAGCACAAGAATGGTGGGCAGTCTCGCAAATGCTGGTACGTATGTTGCAGCGCTTTGGTGCTTTCAAATTTGCTTGTCGAGTTATTGTAGCACTTGAAAAAACATGATCAGTGGAAATTTTCATGGTCCATATGGTGTCATGCTACTTCTTTGCGGTTGCAGGATTGGCCTCTAGGTGATATCTGCAAACGTGAAGATTTCCTGTGCAATCAGAAGCTGCTGTATTGCCCCGTTGATGAAGTGCAATTTGCTGTGGCCACTCACCAGGAACTGCCCAAAGAGCTTGTGACTGTTGTACAGGTGGGATCATGTGACTATAGTTTTTTATCTGTTTTCTTGCAGTTGCGGTATTTTGATGTTGCTTATTGTGGGCTTCCAGCGAGGGCCACTGTTTGAGCTTCACAATTATGCCATGTGTTAAGCATGCCCATGACATTGACCTCGCCATGACTGTGCCGAAAATCAAATCCTTGTGTTGTTTGCACAGTTATCAAGATAGCACAGAGTGCCAAAAGGATGCCAAGCACCTGCAAAGCAAAGTTGAAATGATTGCTGGACAAACAATTGGCTGTGCTGTAGAGTATGTAGAATTGTTTTTTCTGTTTGAGTTTTGTAGTGCTTGTGTGTCTTTGTCATTGGCATGGAATCCAAGCAGTGTCTTTTGCACAACATGATGCATTTGCATCGATTTCTGTGCTTACGCACCCACTTTTGAGTTCATGTTCATATCGATCATCCCTTTTGTGCTTGGCAGATTCTGCTCATGGCAGCAGAAGATTTTGCAGATGTCGTCAAAGAATATGTGGGGGACTGCTCGTTGGAACCTGGCAATCGTCCACTGGTTATGGGTGAGCGATACATGGACAGCAGCGACTGGTCTGAGGTCGTTTGTCTTGCTCTTCTCAAGGTATGAAGTCTGGACCAAAGCTGAATTATGCCGTATAGTCCCTTGGCACTTGATGGGAACTGGGGACACATTCTGCTGTTGTCATGGGTCACAGCCACGTGTCGATCTTTATAGTGGTTCGCTTCAGATGTTTGAACAACTCCAAAGGCCAAGGTGTCAAGCGTTGCATACAATCGGGCTGCACATGCGTTCTGGACATGTAAGGAAATTGTTCTGGCGGATGCACTGCAGCTCTGGGGTAGCAGCAAGTTCCAGGGATAGAGATTCGTCGACTGACCTTCACAGTGCCTGAACGTTTGTTCTTGTCTTCAACAGACACTGGACATGTGTTTGTGCATGTATCCAACCACATTTGAGGAAGATTCAGCCCTCTTGGCAAGTGACAAGATGCTTCCCAACAGCCCTCGTCGGCTGGCTGCAGTGCTGTTGAGAATGGAGGAGAAGCAGATCCTCAAAGCCGCCCGAAAGCAAGTGCTCACCCTGCTGGTGCGGTGCTGCAACGAAGAAGATGAAGAAGAGAGTGGGGATGGGAGCCACGATTTTGACAGCGACGAGGATGACGAAGGTGATGGTGAGGATAGTGATAGCCTGGAGGACGAAGATGACGTTGAGAAGGGTACAAAAACAGGCAGAAACAAACGGCAACGTACCAATTGCTAATGGACTGACAGTGTCAGTTTGACACTCCTTGGAGAGTGCCACTTTGAGATACTCAGGAAACCAGTGGCCATATTCATGTCGATTTAAATATATGTTGATTAGTTATTCAAGGATACTTTCGCTGACCATCCTGGCAGTACCAGTTTCTTCTAGACAGTTCGGTGGACACAAACATGCTCTGGGAACACCACATTTTCTTTGCTTTCACTGCCAGACATCGCCAACTTGCATTGGATTTTATTTTCCTGTTGCAATTGCAGCCCAAGAACGTAGAGTCCAGCACAAACAGCAGCCCAGTTTGTTTCACAAAATTACTGATGATTGACTCACTGACCAGGCGCCCCAAACCAGGATGCCCTCAGTCAATCTGCCCATTTTCTAGAGACAGAAGTCCCCTGAGACCATATGCGCTGGCGTCGAACAAACCCACCCCCGGTCGTGGATTCTCTCCAAGGTAGCAAGCCCATCTTGTCTTTAGATCGGTTGGACTGACCTTCTCCGATGCAGGCGGTGGTGTGATGCTCACTACCATACATTTCATCACACTGACCCATGTCAATTCGCGTGAGCAGTTGGCAGGATGCTATCCATCTAACTGGCTGGCTGGAGCATAGTGGTGGTTGCCTGACAATTTCAACAGTAAGCGATGGTATGCATGCAGATAGCCTGTGCCGGTCCCTCACACACCTCCATCGAGACTCCCAGACTCTCGACGCCCCCATCTGTGCAGGCTGCTGGTGGCAGTACAGTTGGAGGGCTAGGCACTGAATTGAGGGTCAGTTCGTTGCTCTTTGCAATCAGGGAACGTCCCTCTGCTGGTATTGCACTATACAACGGGTGCCATACGTTCCGGCACAATCCACAGCAGTCCTTTGGCAATTCCACTTGTGATAGCCATTTTCGTTTCTCACCAGCCCCCGGAAAGAAAGTGCCTTCCCTCTTTCAGTCAGCTTGAGAGGGGGATGCCCTTTGCCTGACCCTTTCTCGATGTTAAAAACAATTCACTTCTTTCGGTCGACACGATAGTTGATTCGACATGACTGCAAGTCGGCGAGTGGAACACAATCCTGTTGCATTCCCAGGAAAGGTCGCACAATTCTTCGTCCCTTGAGAAGATATGCACCGCTGGAGTTGTTTTGTTGGGCACAAACCACAAATGCATTTTCAATGCAGGGTGGCCCTGAGAATGTAACCTGAAACGCGCCCTTTTCAAGAACCCAAAGCACATGGCTCAAATCGAATCCAAGACGCATGTCGGGATGACTGCCCTCTCAAGAAAATGCTGAATCATGCCTCAGGTCTTCTCTGGTCCCCGCTGGCAGCCCGCTCGTCCACATCTGCCCCCCCACACCACCCATTGAACAAGGCCCCACACTCCCCAAATATCTGAATCTCGCTTGCTCACGGATACGGATCCGCCCAGAAAGCACGGCACGCCCGAAGTATCTCCCGGAAGCGCAACCGCCCCACCACGCAACCCCCGCCACACCAGTGGACAACAGTCGCACGAGGATGACGGACAATGCGCAGGCCAGGGGGCGCCCACGCGCACAGATGGGGTCCCAAAAACCACCAGTTGGCGCGGACGGGGCCCCACGTGTCGGCCAGCCCGCACCCCCCCTCCTGCCCTCCACAGAGGGCGAACAAGCGTGCATCCGCGGGCCCCTGGCGCCAAGGCGGCACTCCCTTCCCCCCCCTCCCCCCCGCCCACCTCGTGGCGAGCGAACTCGGCCGTCCCCGCGCTAAAATCGTTCCGCCTCGTGCCCGCCAAGGCGCGAGATGTCCGTGCGAGCCCTGGGCGACGCGAGGGGCGTGGGGCAACAGGGGATGGGCCAGGCTCCCGGCTGCAAGCGCCCGGCCACCACGCTGGCCGTGCCCGGCGCCGGATCCCTGCGTTTGCGTGGCCAGCGCGGGGCGGGCGATGCCGACGAACGCCGCCACGCGCGGCAGATGAGGCCGGTGAACGTTTTCTCGCCGACGCGATCGCCGGCCCCGCCGGAGTCGCTGGAGGCTGGGCCGGGCGTGCCGGACGTCGTGCCGGCGCCCGGCGCTCTGAAGGGCCCCAGGGCGAGCATCGCGGAGATCACGTTCCCCGTGAGGCAGGACGTGGAGGCGCTGAATCAGAATCTGAGGACGATCGTGGGCGAGCGGCACCCGATGCTGATGGCCGCGGCGGATCAGATTTTCGGGGCCGGGGGAAAGAAGTTGCGGCCGGTCATTTGCTTCTTGATGGCCAGGGCGACGCTGGAGCTTGGGGGATTCAGGTGGGGTAGGATCGGCGGCGCGCCGTGCTGAGATGCGCTTGGGCGGCGTTTGGCGCGCGGCTGACGCGTCCCGTGGCCTGTGCCCCGCAGCGACCTGACGGACAAGCACCGGAGGCTGGCGGAGATAACGGAGATGATCCACGTGGCCAGCCTGGTGCACGACGATGTGCTGGACGATTGCAGCGTGCGCCGAGGTGTGGGGCGCCTCCGGCGTTTGGTTGGGGATGGAATCTCTGGGGCTTAAGATTGCGTCGACGGCGTCACTCTGGAGATTGTTGCATGGGAGCGGGCCCAGAGGAACCCGGAACTCGCGCTATTCCGTTTGCGTCAATCTCAACACCCTGTCAAGTGTCAATGCTGATGTGGACTGGGTTCTAAACTGTGTCCTGGCGAGTACCGGTTGTGAATATGCTGCTTGACAAGCTCGTGTTAGCGAAGCCAGTGTGTGGCTAGCCAGTGTGTTTGCCCGTGCGTCTTGCCATTCTGCCACGACTCGTCAGTGCAGATCTGCCGTGTCTGTCGATCAGGAAAGGCAAACTTGTTCCTGTGTCAAAAATTTTTTTGAAACACTTGATTCATGCCAATGTGCTTGGTACGCGAATCCCTGAAGCTGCGATGGTCTACACAGGGTGAGACAGGACCTCTCCAGCTTATCGCACCTTACAGTATGGGTGGCTTTCGCACAGTTCGCCAGGCTGTTCACCGTTTATGGGCCCATTGAATGCTTGCAGGGAAAGCAACAGTGAATACCATTTACGGAACACGGGTGGCTGTGCTTGCTGGCGACTTCCTTTTTGCACAAGCCTCCTGGGGACTGGCCCAACTGGAGAACTTGGAGGTATGGCAATGCACAGCGCAGAGCCAGCATCGTAAGCATGTTTGTGAAGATTGTGTCGCTTTCCAGCACCAAAACTTGTTCATTTTGAGATCTTGTTTTGTGTGCATGGCGGATCTGTTCCCCCACTTCGTGATCTCTGGTCTTTTCTTGTATGTAAGGCAGACGCTGCCTGGGCAAATTCTGCTGTCAAAGCCTCAGTACGCTGCATCGTATGCTTCTCGAAAACAGCACTGATGTTCATGCTAGTGCTTGCACTGCTCTGCAGGTGATCAAATTGATAAGTCAGGTCATCGCTGACTTCGCCAATGGCGAAATCAGTCAGGCCACTAGCCTGTTCGACACAGGGTTCACGATCGAGGAGTACATGAACAAGAGCTTCTTCAAGACAGCGTCGTTGATGGCAGCCACCTGCAGGTGTGCGGCTGTCTTCAGCGATGTCAGCTTGGAAGTCAAGGAGTCGTTGTACAACTACGGCAAGCATCTGGGTCTGGCTTTTCAAATTGTGGACGACATATTGGACTTCACACAGTCAACAGAGCAACTGGGAAAGCCTCAAGTGGGTGTGATGAGTGCCCAAGGGCAGTCTGCTGTCACGTTCTATTGCAGTGGTAACAGTTGCCACTGACAGCGGCACATGGTTGTTATTATGGCTCATAGTCAGACACTCGTCATTTACATGTGCTTCCATGGCCCACAGAGCTCTGCCTCCTTCCCAGAGGAAAGAAGACGTGCCTCTCACCACACCACCTCTTACAGAACCAATAGCAGCCTTTCCATTGTCATGCTTTGGAGTGCGGGTTTATGTCTGTCACAGCAGTTTTCGTGACAAATCTTGAGGCCACTTCATCCCAAAATGTGTACTCTGTCAATTTCGGTGTTAATTGTCCAGTCAGCATTCCTTGGGCAGGTCACAAGAAAGTTTTGAGTACCTGCAGTTGTAAGAACTCACTGCAATGTGGCTCTGCTCCCACTATTTGCATGCCATAATCATCTGCCCGGTCATCGACAAGGTTGGCGATATATGGTAGCACTAGTTGCACTGTTTCAGTGTTAATGCCCCATCCAAAACGCAAGGCACACAGCCAAAGGGGATAGGACTTGATTGTGTGATATTTCAGGAACATGCTCGTGTGTGGGCACTGACCAGCCTCCCATATGCGGCGAATGGGTTCCAACATAGAATGCAGGGTGCAGAGTGCTGATTCAAATTTGTTCCCACAAGGGGCAAGACTTGGCAAGCGGCAACCTGACTGCACCAGCCATATTCGCCTTGAGGAGCAAACCCAGGCTTGCAGAGCTTTTGGAGGAAGAGTTTGCTGAGGACGGATCTCTACAGGAGGCGATCGAGCTGGTGAAGGAGGGTGGGGGGATCTTGGCAGCGAAGCAGCTGGCTGCGGATGAAGGAGACAAGGTGGGGTGCATGAGCCAGCAAAGATCGCCAATTCAATGGGTGCATGTGCACAGAGTGTTGACTTTGGCTCTTCTGTTCGGCTTCTGTAACAGTTTGTGTTGAGAGAATTGCAGGTGCCCGTTTTGAGACTTCGTAATATCAGCGCACACAGTGCTGTTGTGTCATCGCATGGTAACTTTTGCATGAACCGGCAGCACCCAGATGCAGACCAATCGTAGCCTATTGCTTGGGATGCAAATAAGACGCCTGGTGGGTGAATGCGTCAATCTAGCTGAGCCATATGGACTGCTTCGATTGTTTGTCCCTCCATGGATGATGTTGGTGTGCACATGAGCTTGTCGTGTCTGTGATTTGGCTTCACTCTGTTTGTTGCCTTGCAATGCATGAACACCAAGTTCGCATGCATGTACCTGTGCTGTGTAAGCTGCTGGCTTGCCTTTGTGTTGCAAGTCTTTCTCTAAGGTGCAAGGTTGCTGTTGCGAACTAATAGACGAATGTGAATGTAATTGTAAAAGAAGATAACAGCAGCTGAGATCTGGGGAATTCACAATTGCTGCGTGTTGTCACAGGCTCGAGCGGCCTTGGGGTGTCTGCCTGACTCCCCTGCGAAGGTTTCTCTCTTACAAATGGTGGACTACGTCCTGGATCGGCTGTATTGAATTCCTTTGGGTCACAAGCCTCCATTCTGATCCATAATTCTTTGATGTCTTATTGTTTGTGCCTGCCTGTAAACCATTGGACTCGTAGGCCAGTGCCAGATCCGGCCTGACACAGGGTGCAGCCACTTCGCAAGAGCCCACAAGAGATTACACGCAGCTGCCCTGTCTTTCTCGTTTGGCTCTCTTTTGGCCTGAGCTTGGCCATCCAGGGAATCGATGCCGTGAAACAGGTTGTTGTATGCGTGAAGTGGGTGGCATCTGTCGAGGGATCATTTGCAGCCAGGGACCTCATCTAGGTTACGTTAAATGCGCATTCCAGCTTAACTCTTAGTAGGCGCGGTGTTCAGGCACTGAGGCAGGAAGTGGGCCGTTTTCGTACAACTCAGAGACTATAGAATGTTTAGGGATGTGCTCGAATCAAAGGACGAAGATGCGTGGACAAGGTTACGAATGGGGGAGGAACAGAAACAGGGAAGGCGAGCTCGTTGGACACCAGCGCTGTCGATTCGTCCTATGGGCTGTGCCCTTTCGACGGGAGGTGCACGGGCGTGGTGAAGCGAGTATTACCATCAAGCTGATGGTAATACTACAGTCCCTCGATGCGACTGTTCCGTTGCGGGGTGTTTAGTAATTCAGACAATGTGCAGAAAATCTGTTGTACAATGTTGCACGCATGTCATGCCACCCCCTTTGGTGTCTGTTCGTGTGCCATGGGGCCTTGTGAGGACGCTGGGCCGGCTTGGTACCACTGTCCCCCAGTGTTTTGTGGCCATTCACTGAACTGGGGTGGGCCACCGCCCGATGCATCCCCGCTGTGCGAATTTCAGGCAGAGGCGCCCAAGATCCAGATTTTAACTTAGGACAACAGCTGCATGACGATCGACCCTTGCAGTGGCTCTCGCGTTTCAGTGCGACAGCGTCCATGCCCAAGCGCCAGCCAGAAAGCATGGATTCTCTCCACTTCTCAAAACAGGAGCACAGGGCACGGTCCCTGCAGAGGACGATGCACCAGCCAGCCAGTCGTTGCTGCCAATTTGCGCTCTGAATTATTCAGTTTACAGGAGTTCGTCGTTGCCTAAACACGGGAATGCCCACTACAACCTATACCCCTGAGTCCATGCGTAAGATATTGCGGATCTTGGCCGTCAACCCCTTCCTATATCCTCATAACTCTGCTCTCCGCGTCCCATTCCACATAGTGCTCCACAGTCACGCAACTTGGTCTCTGCCAAGTCTAAATTGCTCGGGGGGGACGGCGGAATAATGTTCCCATACTCAGCACGCCAAACGTGATCCCAGACGTAAGCTCAATCAGGAGGCATTGTGCGTGACCCACACCACCCTTCCCTGCTGCCTAGTAAGTAGTGCCTAAGGAACCCAAGCGTTCAAGTGTCAGTTCAAGCGAGTCGGCGCCAGCGCTGCCTTCGTACTGTGGGTTGGCTGGCAAAACGCGTTCGACGTTTGTCAACAAGCGTCAAGCGCTTAGGATCCCTGTCCCCAATAAAGTATGATTGATGGCTGTCAGCCAACCACCCGGCGTTCACCCAGTTCGCGCCCCCCTTCCCGGGGCGCCCACATGGACTAACGTGAATTGGACAAGGACCACAACGGAGTCTTCAACTCAGGCGCTTTCCTTATTTCCAGTCGAAGACCAGTGGGGGGGCACCCACGCGGTGCCGGCGATTTATGCAACAAGACGGTGCTCGCCAGCAACGACGCTTCATAATAGCATCGCTGGCATCTGCACTGCACCTCCGGCCTTGACTGTGCAATCCCCACAGGTTACCTCGAGCCACAGCACAACCGTGCTCGGGCACTGCCCGCCTCTACGACTGCTAATTAAGGCTACAAGGAGGGACACTCAGCCCCTCTGGCTGGAATGGCCTTTCTCAGCCACATTATGATCGTTTCTGCGCCCCGCCAGCGAGCAGGAAGACGCAGAAATAATGAGGCACCAGCCGGGCCCACATAGGGCAGGCCAACAGCCCCTCCTGCACTGCAACGGGCTACAACCTGCCCTGCAGGATCGCAATCGTTTCCCTCATGACAATGGCCCACTCGCAGCACTCGTTCACAGACGGCGCCTTGAGCCTGATAGTCCTGCCTCGGCCCCTCATCCAACCAAGTCCACCATCCGTGATGCTGAAGACGGGGGCTTCGCCCTCTTCAAAGGAGCACCGCATGAGGGCCATGCTGAACGTGGGCACAGGTCCCGATCTGGCCTCGCCGATGAAGCCATACAGAAAACCCGACTGTGTGAGGACAAAATGGCCCTTGCTCCACTTCGAGTCACCTGCCGCCTGCATCTCCAGATCGCCCTGCCGGATAATATCCGGACTGGAAAACAGGTCACCACACATCAGGGTCTTCTCCTCCTTTCTCTGAGTCCCGAGGGCCAGTGCTGAGTCCTCGTGCATGTTGGCGCCTTCCTCCAGGTCCTCCACCTCCCCCTCTGCGCTGACTTCCCCCACCACCCTGGTGAGTTCTGAGACGAAAGGGGACACCTGCTCCTCGTACGTTGGCCCGTGGCTCCTCAGCACGGTGGCCATGGAGCTCTTGATCATCACGAGGCGGTAGGCCTCTGCGTCCCTAACGCGCTTGAACGCATCTGCCAGGAAAGCCCTGTAGCTGTGCTGTGCTTCCAGGAGTTCTGAATGGCCTGCAGCAAGGCGGCCTTCGGTCAGCCAGGGGTCCTTCTGTTTGTCGTGTGACCTGCTGATGCCTTGGTCCAGCGACATGCCAAATGCATGCGCGGCCCTCTCGTGAAGGACCAACGCCTTGGCAAGGGCACTGCGACTTGCTGCGATGTCAGATTGAATCTTGGCCGAAGTTGATGTCAGTTCATCCGACAGCAACCTGCAAGACAGGGTTCTCCAAAGTGAAGGACATGAGCAGAAAGGAAAGCCGATAACATCCACACGCCTTTGCTTAAGCTTAATCATTCCCCAGTGCTGGGCACCAAATTTGGACAGTGGCTCTGCAGTCAGAGGGGCACCATTCACAGCCCTTGAGCGAAACATGCGATTTGGTGACCTTGTATCCACTGACTTCTGCTATTTTCTGGGTATATGGCGCAGGGCAAGGCCATCTGACGACTTTGCTCCAACGACACCTGCTGCCCATTCGCTGTTCTGGTATGCCCCAAGCACCTATGATGCAATCATGCACAGCGGACTGGATAGGAAGCTCGGAACAGAAAACATCACTGGCAGGCCCTTGACTGGTAAGCACCTGTCGAGAGCAAAGTCCACTTGCAACAGCTGTGAGATATCCATGCTTGCATGTCCTCCCACCTTGAGGCCTTCAGGCTGCCCTGCAGCTTGGCAGTGCATTCAACCAGGACCTGCGATATTTGGGAGTGTGCCCCTCCCACCACCATCGGCAACTCGCTGATGCCATCACTCGCGCACTTCCAGTCTGCACTTGTGCCCATAGAAGACACAGCAGCACGGGCAGCATTCATCATGGCACGTGAGTATGCAACGTTGGCCTGGTAGAGCTTCTGCACAAATTTTAACATCTGTTCCACCGACCTGTTCAAGCACAAGTAACATGGGCAATAGGGCACATCAGCTGCTGGCAGCGATTTCCTTATGTCAAGTGCAGCCAGGTTTGAGTACTGTCAGTTGCAGAACATGCTCATTGGGCGTCGGCCCAGTGCTGATATTCTACAGAAACGTATGGCTTTGTCAGCATACTTTGCAACTTGGTGATGTTCGTCCGTATCAAGGTGGTATGGAAGGCAATCTGTGGTAACAGACTACTTGTGCATCCTTTGATTAAGATCCATGCTGGACACCATACATTCCCCGCACAAAGTGTGGTGCTCGCCATCGGCAGAACCTTCAAGGCAGCCCCTAAGGCCCAGCAAAGGACAGACCCTTCGAACCTGACAAGCAGCAGGACTAACAGTGCAAACCACTCTCCCTGTTGGATATGCGTGATGGCAGCTGCGCCCATCGCTGTGCAGATGTGGAGAGCCCCATTGCTGCCCCACCATTTCTTGAGAGCGCTTCACCAAACCCGCCCACCTGCGACCTGCTTCAAGGCGCTTCAAAAGTACGTCCACCTGCTCCATCCCAGCCTGTAACTCCCTCTCTGCATCACGATCTGCGGTATCCGTGGCGAACCGAACGTGCTCCATTTCCGTCACGCGTGACTGCGCATCGCAGCTTGACAAGTTCTCAGTTCCGTCGGACTTTCGCTGTCCCGCCAGCTCCAGTTTTGCCGCCTTTGCGAGCTCTGGATTCTGCGCGATGTCGCTCAGGGTGAACCGCGGGGTGAGCTTCGCCATGGCGTGCTGCTTCAGAGACTCCTCCACAGACAGTTGCTCCTCGACGTCCGCGACACCCAGCGACGGGCCACAAAACGACGCAGGAAAGGCGGGGGGGCCGCAGGGGTGCCCATCTCCTGCTCGCCCAAGGCACACAAGACTAAGCGCCTCCTCCTCGGCATCAAGCGAGCAACGAAATGCGAAGCGCACGGTCGAAGGTCGACGGAGACACATCCCCGACAAAAGGAAATCAGCCAAACGGATCAAACACAATGCCGAAGCCGCCCAGCGAGATGGGGCGGCCGCGGCAGCGCCAGGGGGCAGGCGCCGCAGCGACCCAGTTCCCCGGGGAGAATCCAGCAAGACGCCGCGCTCGCGCCGGGGCGATCGCTCCCCTCACCTCGTCGCCCTTGGACGCCAGGTTGGGCAGATACACATCGAACGACACGTCCTTCCCGTTGGCTGCCCGCCCACCGGCCGCGCCCCCCCGCTCCCGGAAGCCCCGCCAAGGCCCGCTCGGCCTCCTGGCGCCCGACCCGCCGTCCTGGCATCCCGCCCCCGAGTCCGCACCGTCCTCGCCCGCCAGGCACTGGAAGCTCACGTCCGTGACCCAAGATGAGGCCACCGGCGAATCGCTGTCGGACTGCGTGTCCTTGGACAGGAGGTCATCGTCGGCCGCGACGTCGATGCGCTTGGGCTTGCCCGAGGGGAAGGGCTTGAAGACGAGGTCGGCGTCGTGGCCGGAGCAGGACAGCGCGGCGGTCATCGACACGCCGGCCAGCGGGTCGGTCAGCAGCTCGAAGCGGTCCTTCTTGGTACCGATGCGGCCGCCCGCGGGACCGGGCTGGGCCACGGGCCCAGTCATCGGGACCCCAAGCGCTCAGAGCGCCCGTGTGTGAGAACAAGACCTGCAGCGCATGGCCCCACGTGGCCAATCAGACGCCAACCGTCGATCAAAGCTGCGGACGCGCGAAAGCCGGGCCCCGAGGCGATCTCTCCCGAGGCGCTGCTTGTCCTCCAACTGTGCTCGTAAGACGCGTTCGGCACGGCTGCGCCCCGACGCTGCCGGGCAGCCATTCCGTCGTACCGACAGTCATTGAGCCGAAAGTGTATCGCCCCAGGAAGGTCGCCGGGAGCCACCCGCACCAGCGCCAGCAACGGCGCGCGCATCGCGCGGATGGGCAGGGGCACCAACGGACACGCGAGAGGACACGAACACGGGCACGCATTTCCGCGGGCGCTGAGCCGGACAGGCACGCACCAGTGGACGCCTGCCTGCGCCTGTGGACGCCCACCCTGCCCTCCGAAGCGCCCGATCGGCGGCGCTGGCTGGCCTTGGACGGGGGCCTCCACAAAGCGGGGCGCCCTGCCCGGAGACGGCAACTTGTCACCGGGACGGTACAGGGGCGCCCGATGGCTGGCCACGGGAAATTCGGCGCCCCCCCCCCCCTTCCCTTCTCCCCTTGGGCCAAGGGCGATGGAAGTGGGGCCCTTGGGCGGGAGCGGTCAGCCGCGGCTGGCGGCGCGGTTCGCGACCCGGGGCAAGGTCGACCTGCGCGTCCAGCGAGGGGTTTGACAAGCGCGTCTGGGGGCCACTGGGTGCAGCACAAGCTCCACACCCCCTGTTGACAAAGCGGGGGTTGAACCAACCTCTCACGGGAGCGGGCAATGCGGTGTAAACTAGTACGAACGATGTGCGGGACAGCCCCAGGGACAATGTTAGAGGACGCGAGGGTATTTCGTCGAAGCAGAGGCTCTACGGTTCTGGGTGCGCCAGGGGAGTCGGCCCGACGGGGGGCCGTGCACGGCGTGCATGGGATTGGCCATTGGACGCGCACGAGGGTGGCCAGCTGGGTGGAGGGAAAATGGCGGGAGGTGTTAGCATTGGCCGATGTTGCCATCTGATGCATGTGCTCGATCTAATTCTGGTGCTTCCGCGGGCGCGACTCCCTGTACCTGCGTACGTGCGCCCGACGCCTCGCCAGTGGGGCCGTCGTGTTGCACCCGGTACTTCAAGTGGATGTGGGCTTGGATGTGGTGTGGGCGGCCGCTGGACATACATGTCAGTACTGCCATACGTCGGCAAGCTCTGTTTCAGTTATGATGCCAGTGTGTATTTCGTCGGTTGTAGGGCGCGGTGTCCGAGGAGACCTTCGCCAAAGTCTCGGGCTTGTTTTCATCGTCATGCTATCCCCTGGGGCGGAAAATGGCCAGCGTCCTGTGATTCCTGTGGCACAGCATTGTTGTGCAAGCAAGTTGTCTCCCTCCTTAGATTGGGATATGCTGCATGCTTCATTGTGATGTGCAGTAACCATAATCGCCTGATGACTCATTGCTGCCATGCGCGATCTTCCGTTTTCACACCATACGGGTCATCCTTGCATAGAACAGTGGAAAATTGGGCTCAACATATTGCGTCCCACACGCCTCTCCAGCCTCCATCTGCCATTGCCAGAATACCCTAGTGGAGGAATCAAGGTAGACGCGAACACGTGAACAACAATAGCGATTCGGCCATCACTATGAAAAGGCATCATTTGAAATTTGAAATACGCAGGCCCATCCATCAGACATGGGAATAAATAAGTGGAACGATGGCGTCGACCAACCAGAGAGGAGAAATTCATGCCTGGCATGCATGTTGATGTGGCCCACACGAGTCGCCTTGTCGTACTGAACACCGGCTATATTTGGATCGGGAGGGGTGGGGTGGGATGGGAGGTGGGGGGTGATGAGAGTATATATGGGACTGTGGCTTACTGTGCCATGATGGCAGGTGTGGTACTGGGACTGTCGGTAATGGCGCCGTCTCGCATCGTCAAACCAACCAACTGCAATGGGCAACAGAGTGGGCGCAAATGCACGGGATGAATGGAACCTTGGAATAGCCGAATGAACTGATGCTGACTGCCTAGCAGCTTCCCCTTGGCTGCCCGTTCTGTTGGTTTCTGCCGTGACTGGAGCGTTTCTTACCTTGTCCATGAGACACGTGACCTGGTGGACAGCACCTGGCCTCTGGCTGGACGTGCCAAGCAGACTCAAGAACGATGCATGAAGCAAGCGAGCCCTCAGTCCTGTCATGGAACGGTTGATCCATGAATTTCCTTTTGACGGTGTGCCTTGTGCGAGAGAGACTCAGGAAGGTGCAAAACAAGGCATGGGTGGCGAAGTTCAGAGGAGACAGCAGGACTGTACAAGTTGAGCGAATGGTTTTATCAGTCGTTTCCACTGCGCACTCAAATATGGAATGGGACCCAGGTGTCCAAGATGTCTTGTGTGGCCAAGCTGTCTTGCTTGTCGCCTGCCGTCCTACGAATGGGTGACCAACATTTGCTCCATTACGCTCGAGCCCCATCAAGGCGATGAGCATTGTTGAGGACTTGTGAATTGTTGGTCCCATGTATGGCTTGGCTGTGGCAGCCACTTAGAGAATGTGAACAGATCAATTCACCATGGTCCTATTGTAATGGACGTGCTTCAAGGAGGAGAGGTGTTTGCGTGTGGTCCAGGCGGTGCAAAGCATGCTGGGCATGGGCTCCAAGGTACCTTGCACAATCTCCCCCTGGTGCTCAATACATCCCTGTCATTCGTCAGATGCCTCCTTGATTGCTGCCCAAGGAACACTGCATGGTCCAGCTTTCTGGTTGCAGTGGTAGCTTGCGATGCATTGCTGAAAGGGCATTCGTACTGCCCAATATGCTGCAATAGATGAGGCCACGCGACAGAAAAGCCACCTGTTGCTATGGCCACACATCTAGCAACAACGACACCAACCACTATGCCCCCAAAACGATGCAATGCCTTGGCATCCATACCTTTTGTTTGTGTCAGAAATGAATTCTCCAGACGTTAATACTCTAAACTCAAAGGTCCAGAGTTGCTTGTCCACACGTTAATCTGGCTGTGCACATTCTGTGCCATCGGAATACTGCACCAATGGCTGCTCTCCTCTTGACAGAACTGAGGAGCTGTTGCTGGCATTTCTCCCAGTACCGCACAGAATGAGCCCAACACCAAACTGCGCCTTCTTGGCAATAAACTCCGCGCAGTGGAGCCAGTGCCATTGTTCCTTTCTTGGCCAGTGCTTGGGCAGAAGTCTTGCAACCATTGGCAGCAGAAGTGAGCGAATCGGTACATCGTGGTATCAGCTGCTGGCTCCTGCTGCCAGCAGCTGACGCCAGAATTAACTGACTCGGCCAAAGCGGCTCTGCAGTCCAATACGTGACCGAGTTTATCACGCGCATAGCCCTGCTTTGCACCGAATGGCAAGGACAACATTGCCCCAAGTCGGACCCACAAAACTGCCACCGATCCCACGCATGTCATCAGGCAAGGTGTGCAACGGCCCGCAGGCTCGCATTTGCCACGTCTGGCGCGAGGCATCACATCACTCCACTAGCTATTGACACTAGATATTGACATAGACGTTGGACCCAACAGAGTCCTGAATATGGGGCCAATACCTGCCACGCAAATGTGTGCCTCCCCTGAGAACAAATCCCCCCAACAGTCTCCGCATCGCCAGTCGTCTGTCCCTAACAAAATATGACGTCACAAAACAACGCCCCAACCTACCCTGCCGAACGCCTCAAAATTGCCTCAACCCTGGTCCGCCCGTTGCAGCACCCTCTCGCGCCCGCACAGGCCGCCCATCGCCTCTTCACCCTCAAACTTCATGCATGACTGGGCGCAGCGATCGCCCCACGCTTCCCTCCCTCACCCCTCCGGAATCCTGGCGCACTCACACGGGATCGAAACCGCCTTCGTCCCCATCCTCCGTCACATCAGGAGGCACCAGCTCCGTGGCTGGCTTGCCGGCCCCCACGACGACCTTGGGCGCCGCCAGCCGCTGTCGCCGCCTCCTAGGAGGCGCCGCTGCCGCCTCGGGGCGCGGCGGCCTGCCGCCCTCCGCCTGGGTTTTCATGGCCCTCGCCATGAGCACGGTGGTCACCACCGCGCCCCCGAGGCTCATGGCCATCACGCCGCCCAGCTGCGCGACGTTCACCCAGAGAGTGCTCTCCGGTATCTCGGGCATCTGGGCAGCACTGGGGGTGGGTGCTCTCCCGTTCTGGGGCCCCGCACGACCCTGGGGGAGTGCGTGGTTGGACGACAGAGAAGAGAAGGGGGAATGCACGGGGCTTGGACAAGAATTCCGTGGCATTGTATGGATTTGTTCAAATTCCATCGAGTTTTTGGCGGTTGATCGTGCACAAGATGAAGAACAGGGGCACTGAGGTTCGCCGGAAAACAAGTTGAACGAAGGGAGCAAAAAGGTTGCCCAAGGCTTGAACCTCGCATCAACTGTGCAGCCAGCCTGGCTCATCGCCAGTGGCCACGGGTGGCAACATTGCAATGCGGCCAATGGCCACGCAAGCACCCTCTTGCACGTCAGTTTCGGAGGAATATTCCGGGCATCGGACCTCTGCGTGGCCAGTCCGCTTGCTCAGAGGCCACGAATACCAAAATGATGAGCTTTGCAAGGCATTGTAAGCCCGGTCTTGGCGTGAGGCGGAGGCACGTGGCACCTTGCGATCAACGCCAGTTGCAGGAATCCCAAGGTGCTTTAGTAATTAGGCTATCGACATGAGCTTAAGAGAATGTTCAAACGGTACCTACTTGTCCGAAAACTTGCAGATGCTGGATCCTTGGATCCAAGGCAGGCCCAAACATGTTTCAGCTGACAATCTGCCCTTCTGTGCCCATCGCCAGCCAAACATACAACGTTCCCACTTTGCAGCCCGCCATATCCGCTGCAGTCCTGGCTGTGTCTCTTCCAGAAGACTATTCATATCCCTCACAGCACTTAAAGAGCTGAGCGGCCTACTTGTCATTCAGAACGGCCGTGCCTCACCTTGGGATTTATGCCACTCAAGAAGCCCTCCGCTCCCACGTCATAGAAAGCCAATAACAATGTAGTTAATTCCATAAGAAACATCAAGCTTGCTCAGGAAGGGGGTGTAAGCTGTGCAGGTTCAATTTGTTGATCATGAGCCCCGACGCTCCGGACAAGGCGGCAACGGGTGGCTTACTTGAGCAAATGGGCCACCACAGGGGTTCTTTCAGAGTTCAAAAGCCAAATAGGCACAACCGTGGCGCCTCACAGCACGAATGCCAGCCTATGTGTTCCCCATAGGACACCGACATTGTGGCACTCCAATCAGGTCAGTTGCCCTTTTTAGAAATCTATCTCAAGTGAAACGAACTTGAGTCTGTTTACCAAGTCTCCAATTCCTTGGAGAATATGCAACAGTGGCATTCAGGTGACAGGCCTCGGCGATAGGGTTAGCGGCATACTCCCTGGTTTCAAAGAGCAAAGTGCAGATGGACGACTTGCACCGACCGACATTCTCTGCGTTGACAAGGACGAAATCTAATATCAGCTGCTTTTCGGACATTGAATCGTTTCCAGATGCCCATGAGCGGTCCATTTTGGACTGCAGCAACCTGCTTGTCATCTGGGTGCATGCTTGACGATCGCGTCTTGAATTCCTTCATGTCCGCTTTTCATCGCTGGCACTATAGCTAGCGCTGGAACACTGTAATTTTGAGCAGACCTGTGCTTGCCACTGTGGCATACCAGGTCGTCATCTCAACAGCCCACCCCACCACTCACCCACAAATGCTAAACAAGGCAACGAGAAAAGCACGGGGGTACTTGGAACCTTTTGAAGTCACCATGCTTACAGGTACACCCAGAAACGGAATATGCACAAAATTGTCACTATGATGAAGCCGCCCCTCTTTACACCACACAGATATGACAGACCCCGCCTTCCTATAAATCAGTGCCTATTTGACAGCCAGCGACAAATCGGCTCTGCCGCCCTATTAGTACACAGCAGCTGCACATTTTCATGACCCCGTGTCCCTGCGAGCAAGGGAGGTCACCATCACACCTGTCAACATCCTTAAATACAGAAAAGCAGAGCCCAGGAATTCCCCGATTCCAGGAAAGCGGGCGCTACTCAGCGACGCCCGGCGCTATCGAGCTGTTGACGTGTGCACCTCGTTGGAGCCGGGAGGTTGAGGCATGGGCATGGCAAGCGCCTGGCAGGAAAGACATCAACACGCAGTGTTTAGGCGATTGCAACAATCCGATCGACAACCTACGTGTTCAACTGCTCGCAAAGAGGATACCAGCCATTCCCACATGTATACCATTCGTGACTGTAATGCCTTACAGCAAGACAACAAGAAGAGCTATGAGCAATCCCCACAAGTGAAAAGCAAGCTACATTGTCTATCCCACCATTTCGCGATTTACGGCTGGCGAAGCACAGATGACCCGCCCATATTAGGTGTGTGATACACTTTGCCAGCTGGTGAGGAATACACTTATAGCAAATTTGAGCGAAGAAACGGCTGGAAACTTTGCATCTTGCCTGCTGCGCACAAGGCTACTCATCATAGAAAACCCTAGTAGACAAGACAGCAGGGGGAGGGAGGGCAGTATCCGAAACAAATGATCTCACAGATTTGTGCACATGCTTCGAATGCACCTTTCAAAGCTGGCAAAAACTACAGCCTTTCCAGTCTTGAGCAAGTGGATAACAGCAAGTGGTACTTACCTGGCTGGCTTGGGCTCCAGGCTGCGATGTAGACACGCCCCCTGTGGGCCTGTGCAGCAGCTCCATCCCAGGAACAGACATCGGAAACTGCACAACGGGGTAAATCATCGGACTCATCGTTCCCCATGGCAGGGGAATGGGGCCCTGGCCCCCCTGCCGGAAGCCTGCACTCCCCTGAACATTTCCAGCAGCAGGACTAAATCCCCGAGGCTGCCCGCCATCTCGTTCCACACCCGGTGCAAACTGGGCGTCAGGGTGACCATGGCTGGGTGTGGACCGAGGGGCGCCACTGTTTGTCTGCCCCATGCCCATCGCACCGTCCAGGTGTTCCATCAGCTCCACAAATGCGCCCAGCTTCTCGTCACTGATGTGGCCAGTGTAGTACGGCAGGTGTTTCCGGATGTGGCGTTGTATGGCATTGTGTGCTGTCCAGTGCAGGGCTTGGCTCGTCAGGGCGAGTGCATGGGTCATGCTCCGGCCCACCATGGGGGTGTACCCTCTGTTTGGAGTGGAACAACTGGGCGCTGCTCTGTGACTCTTGGGTCGATGGCTCTTTGAGCGCTGCCTAAGGGGGTCTGCTGGACCTACCCCTTCCCTTGGTGACTTGACCGGTTCGACTTCAGACAGGGATCGTTTCAAAGCCCCAGACTTGGTCCTCACCAAGGCTTTTGCTTCGCTGCCTGCAGGGAGGCAACAGTGCAAATCTGCATCAGCATACATACAAGAAGATGCACTGCGATCTTCTCAGCTATTTCCTGGCATCAATGATTCATATTGGTTCCCAGCTTCTTGTGTGTCTAGGCGATCAACTACCATTTCGCCTAAAGTGACTCTGCAGGGACACCCTCATTCTTTTTGACTGTGCACTAATAGAGGTTGGCCCAGGAAGTATATTCCCTATCATTCTGTAACTAGCATGGACAAATTAAAGGTGCGAAAATGTCCACGGTGTGCCCAATTTCGTCAAGTTTCTTCCGTTTCTATTACAACTCTATTTCCATCACTGCCAGAACAAACACAGAATACTACAGCAGGAGAAGTGACAACTAGCACCAAAACTCAATTCCCACCTGTCTTTTTGGAAGCCTCGTTAGCAGCAGCTTGAGCTGCTATTCGCTTCGATGTCCTAATCCTTTGCTGCCGGCCTTGCTGCTGCCCACCAGGAGAAGCTGGTTGTGACCCCCTCAACGATGGCACTGCCTCGTCTTCATTTCCTGATCTATTCCCAGTCTTGCAGCTGCGCTTCCATGCACCCTGGCCAAACTGCATCCGTCAGCATTCCTCACCCTCAACCTGGGGCACAGTCATTTCTTCCCTGCAAATGGGAAGGTCGATGCTGCAGCTACCTCTCACCAGGGGTCTGGGCTGATGTTAGCAGATGGGGTGTAGGGTAAGGTCAGGTATAGGCAAGGTTATAGGTTCGTCAGGGGCAGGTTTCTAAAGCTCCTGGACTTGGGCGTCAGGAATTAAAATGCACACCTGGCCAAATGGTAATGGTAGCTTTGTGAAGAAGACATTCCGCACAAACAGCTCACCAGCCGCTGCCAAGGTTGCAGGCAATGCCATATACCAAGAAAATGAACAACCTCCATCAGACAAGCTATGTAGTCGAAACAAAACCCTACAATGCTGCAGGCGCAAAGGGGTTGCTACTTAAGGTGAGCGCTGTCCAGAGCAGGGCCCATCAGCTTCTTGTGGCTGCAACCAAAAGGATATCAGATCCGGGAGCATGATCAGGGGAGTCACTGACTTATTCGACAGGGTGCATGTGCACATGCCGCACCTTCCATCCAAGTCGCTTCACTCTCTCACTCCTCCTCACATGCTCCCATGTACCTTCCTCACCATCGCCAGTGTCACCATGAGGTGTCTCTCCTTTTGAGGAGCTCCTCTCAACACCAGCCTTGGCAGAGGTGGACACGCCTTCAATACCCAATTCTGGGAGGTCAACTGGGGAAGGCAAATAACAACTAGCTTCGGTGAGAACTTGTAAGGAAAATGAGGATTTTTTTCCCTACAAATAATCAGGTTGAGCATGTAGCTAGATAGTGGGTAAAGACAGGCCATGCTGCATAACACACTTGTCATTGATTCCAAGATGGATGGGCACTGGTTTGCCCTGGAAGTTCAGGGCAATCCACACAATTCAAACGCCTTGAGACGACGCCAGACAGCATCACATATTGGCATCCATTGTTTGTCACACCTTCCTCTTCCCTTCCTGAATGCTGGGCTTCCTCATCGCCAGAATCCAAGCTGAACTTCTTCTCCCCATTTGGAGGCCCATCCTCAGGCCCATTGCTGTCCTCTTCATTTGCATCCCTGCTGCCTCGTCCATCACTCACATCCTGGCCCTCCTGCTGTGGCAGAGACTCGGGCATCTGCGCTGTCCTGCAAGTTCCTGTCCCAACACCCATATCCTCCCCAGCACCCCTTGCAGCTCCTTGTTTCTGGCCACCATTGCAGTCGTTTCCGGGCGCTGTTGTGGTGGTGTGGGCCATGTTACTGCAATTTACAGGAGGTGGTTTGCGATCTGGAGCCCCATCTGCTGCATCGTTAGGCCTTGGAGCTGAACCGCAGACGTCTGTGTCCTCTGCCTCTACCACCTGTCAGCAAAGCAGCAAAACCTCAAATGGGAATCACAGCAGCTAAAAGAATGACCTTGTGACAGCAGTTTCTGCTGCCTTGTGCTGCCTCTATTGCATGTTCAGTGTCAAGCTTAACTTCTAAACGTGGAATTTGAGGGACCATAAAATAAGAGCGAAAAACTGGCAGCCGGCCTGCTAGGGGCACAACATGTGTACAGCATATACCCATTCACAACGCTCGCATTTACCTCAAGTACAGGCACCATGATGGACTAACAAAGACTCTCGCCCGGTTCCCTGCTCACGACCTCCACACCCACACACCCCACGCAATACAAGAAACAAATCTGTGTTCTCTACAACAACAAACCACAGCAGCTGCTTCCCAATGAGCAGCTGCAACAAGCTTACAGTAAACTCGATGGCAACAGAACCCATTCCAGTGTCTGTGAGGACATGATCGTACAATGGGAGGCAAATAGCCATGCTCTATCTGTATCACTCGTCTAAGACTGCCACGAAACAACACAGGAATAGTGTTTGGTGTTGCACATACTGCAGTGAGGCACCATATGACAAGCTGCATCTTTTAATTTCAGATGACATGGTTCACAGATGGTGGTGTGTACATTTGCTGCCTTTCTGTGGTCGTTTCCTTTCAAGAAAGGCTGCAGCCATGTGCAGTTCTTGTTCTTGACAGAAAATGCAAACACTGGCAAAGACACATAGAAAAGCTGCTCCCAATATGGGCAACCTGTACTCAAACAACTCTGGGATACCCACCCTGCAGACTACAACATCGGAAACGGGCACATCTTGCTCCTCAGCTCCCAGCGCCAACTCCTCAGCTGCTTCCTTGCCAACATTTCGATCGCCATCACGACGGCCAAAACGGGTACGCTGCAGCACACTATTTGCTTGTTGAGTCAGATGCCCATCCTCACACTGTGCCAGACAAAACTTCGTGAGTCACTGCCACGACAACTTTCGCACAATTGATACATTGGTATGCAGGTTTGGCACAGCAGGAAGAATGGCAAGAGCAAAGCCCCACATACTCTCAGCCATGTGTTCGTTGATTCACTTACTCTTGTCAAAGTCACTGGGCCCCCATGGAAGCTTCTACAATCAGGTGGACAGATTCATATCAACAATTCAGAGACCACCATGCGATTGACATTCACATCAGACCAGTTGGGACATTCTGCAATGTCCATGTGGCTGGCAAACTGTTGACAACACATTAAAAACCAGCCGTCGAGTGTGCAATGCCAGAGAACCACTTAACTCGTGTGTCCTTTGCGTACAGAAGCATACAAACATCTCCACAGAAACTGAGTTGTCGCGAGCAGCTATGCTATTTTGGACAACATCCAACACTACATGATATGGCCAAGGGGAGTTCTTCGCCTTGTTTTGTGGCAACAAAGGTGACAACAGAGAATTAAGATCCCCACCTCCAGTGCATGGTTCTCCTTCTCCCTCCGCGAGTCCTTTTCAGTTTCTTGCTGATGGGAGCCTTCCACACCCTCTGCTGTACTTTCTACACAGCCATTGCCCAAGCTTGTCCCCCTGCCGATGTGTCTGGATGAGGGGCCGTCGATGTTTGCGTTGCAGTGCACAGCCCCACCCACTGCCCGGGACTGGGATTTGTCCTCATTGTCAGATGTCTGGCTCAGCACAGGGGCATTCTCACTGCCGTTGATATCCTCTTCTCGGCCCTGCATAAAGTAACGGAAGCGTGCCGTGAGATACAAACATGGAAAGGAGGTAAACTGCACAAAAGCGATGTCCACAGGTGAAACAAATTCCCTGGATAACATTCATTTCTGCAAGACAAGAAAGACCCTTGCAAAGTGAAGAGAACGGCAGGTGTCCATGGATGCAGGAAAGCATGCAGGAGCAGCTGGCAGCCAAAACATGTACTACCATGTGTTCTATCATTTGCAGTTATCACACAGAAAACCAGCGCTGTATCTGATTATCAGTCGTTTTGCTCAGCCAAACGAACGAACAATAATCTGCAGACCATCATAGCCTAATGTGCCATCAAAGCGTGCATCATCTCTAATCAAGCATACAAGACCATCCTAATGCCATGACAGAGTCTGGTACTTACAAATCAAAACCAGAATGTCTATGACAGATGCGGAAGATGTCGCACATGCACAGGTGTACACAAGCTTGAAGCAAATGAGTTTAGCAACACAATGGCCATGGCAGCAAAATGCATGCTCACATTGGGTTGTGGCCTGTGGGAAACTGACAACATGCACTGAGGCGTCTCTTCTGTGTATCCATTCTGTTTTGGGTCAGAGTCATCATCAGTGTCATCTTCTCCAGCCCTTCTTCGTCCTTGGGGACAAGGTCGGCCCCTCTTGGTGGCCCTCTTTTTCCCACCATGTGTACGGGGCTCCCAAGCTCCATCGCCCTGAGCCATTTGCCGCACATACACACTCAGCAAGTGGGCACACTATCCTGGCCTCAAAAGGTGAGTCCAAACTGTCCTGACCACAAGACAATTCTCCAACCTGCAATCAACAGATTCGGATCCCATTGTTGATTGACACTACTGAATCATTAGCACCCAGCAAAACTATGAGGAAAAGATACAGAATCAGAGTGCGTTATCTACAATTGGATTCCACCAAATCAGGATGAATGCCAGCAAAGAGTCCTCAAACATGAACATGTATGGTTAAAACTGGAAAGAACACTGAACACGCAGGGCATGGAGCTCACCAGATATTTCCAGTCCTTGCCACGGTACGAGCCTCTCCAGACCAAGTCTGAATCCTTAGAGAGCCAGAACGGCTTCACAAAAGATCCATCTTCAAACCCTGTGAACTCGACAAATATCTTGTCCTCATCTTCCTTCAGGATGCGTGCGCGATACCACTCCTTGCCATGCAGCACCATTGGCATCCTGGGAAATTTTTCTGTGTTCTTCCTGTCTGGTTTCCTTGCTGATTTTTCACCATTCGCCTTCGTGTCGCCTCCCTGGCTTGTGCTGGTGTTTCTTGAGCGCGTGGGCTCCTGGCCACCACCTGCAGCATCATCTAGCCGCTGGCGTTTCCTGGGATACGAAGCCGTACCTTTGCAGTTGGCACAAATACCATCAGTCTTGCGTGCCAACGCCTGCATGTAGCTCCTGCTGTATGGGCAGGGCGACTGCCAGGAAGCACACCAGCATTATGAAAATGCTTCTGTCACCAAAGATGCTCATGCACTTAGCTTGGATACGACATTGCCCAAAACGTGGCACTGGGCAGTTGGTCCTAATTCTTAGTCCTTCTTTGTTCACTAATTGTCCAGTTCGATCCATCAGCACCACACGTTGAGGGCGACCGTGGACGACAAGGCAGGGCAGCAGAAAGCACAGCACAGTGATTCTTGCCTTGTTTCTGAGCATCTTGTCTCTGGCCACCACTAACACTGCTCTTTTGCTGGGCACCGCTGCTCAGGCAATCCGTAGAGACCCCATTTTGGGACTGCCTCTGCAAACAAAACCATCAATTCACGAATGAGCAATCGTCCACAGGAGCCAAATCCTTCAGTCTCCCTTATTCCAAGTTAGCATCATTTTGCATAGGGAGCTGGTGGATGTGGGCGCAAAGTGTTTCTGCACTCTCTTGTAGCAGTCATCGACAAGGCACTGCAGCATTGAGACCACAAGGGCAAGCTTCTGGCACACCACCGAATGGCCCTCTAAAGCATATGTCAACTAAGGGCACCAACAAGCACTGGAAATGCACACCACAAACAGTGTTCCCAACGTGTCTTTCAGTTCCTACCAACAACTGTGTCACAGTCCATGAAGCATGGAATCCATACCAATTCCAACTGTGGGACATTGAACCTATACTCACCCGTAGGGCCCTTGTTAGTCGTTGCTGCTCTTCGACAAGCCCAGTCGATTGCACAGGCTCTGCAAAACCACCAGCAGGCATTGTCAACGAGGGCTGCGCACTATCTGCTCTATTCAGTGGTTGATGAATCCCCAGGCAAAGCTTGACTTAGGATGCAACAAGTCAGGAAAGTGCTGCCACAAAAGGAAGCGAACCATGTCTGCAACCAGCGAACTTTGTATTGGTCCACACCCAGCCTATCCACCTGCTGATTGGCCAGGCTTAGTCAGCATCCTTTCTTTGGAGGCGGCTGTTTCTCGCTCAAGATCACCATCATGACTCTGGCAAATCCCTCCACAACTGTGGCTGTGGCTTGGACTCGACCTGCGGAACCAAAGCATCCATGCCTCACTGAAACCACTCTGGCAAGTGGATCCACAATGCGGGCATCACAAATACACGGCCTATCAAAAATACTAAAGATACAACCAACATGTGCACAATTTATTGGTAAGTAGCAGCAGCAGTTGTGGCCTTCCCCATGCACACAGTATACACAGTGTCATAGACCAGATTTCCAGGGCCAGGTACTCACTCGCTCTCCTCTCCTTCACTGGTGCTTTCCTGCCCAGCTCCACCCCTCCCAGATTGCTGCTGGCGACTGCCTTCCTTGTGTGCCTGCATGGGCAAAGACATGCTTTGGTGCAAGACATACCCAAGACACTTGGACTGAAACCTATGGACAATGAGCAATATGGCAAGGCTCCTTTGCACAAATCTCGCTGCAGTCTATTGGCTGAGAAGGCATCCCAAAGTCATGCCTCGCCACTGTGGCTTTCCTTACATCGTTGATAAGCGCTTGTAATTCCCTCAGCCCTTTTGACTTCCTGTCCCTCCGGGTTCGCTCCTCGTCCTGACTCTTGCCTATGCTTTCAGAACGCTGGGCCACATTTGCCTTTCTGTCATCCTCTCCAACAGGTGACATCTCTGGCTCCCATTTCCGCTCCACATTATGCTCAGGTTTGAAGTCAGCATCGTCTTCGTCGTCCTCATCGTCAGGCTTCCAGCTGTCATCTCTGCTGCTAGCATCCGAGTCATCTTTCATGGGGCTCGTCGGTCTCCTCTGACGCCGGCCATTGCTTCCGGGGACCTAAGGTCCATTGCAATACGAACTCAGGACAAATTGAAAATACTGGTTGCTCTAAAGAGTCAGGATGTACTAATATGTATGTTTAGTCACAACTGGGAGGGGGACAATGGCACCACCAGATGTGCACTGCATCATCCCTTCAACACAGAACACAGACACAGAGTATACAATCATCCACCATCCACAAGGGCCCAAATAACCAGCTGACCCACAGAAGCCTTGCAGCTGGTACAAGATACTGCAGGCCAGCTGGATTCTAGCTTCATCCACCCTTCCATGAGCCAGAATCAGTGCACACGAGTCACAGACAACTTCTACAAGTATAGGGACTGCAATATCGAGAACAACCCAAGTTGGGTAACCAGCGTGAGTCCCAAAACAACATTCTCCATTCATTTGCACCCAACCAAAAAGATCGGAGCCACCAATGAGCTACATCAACAAAGCCAGAAGCCTGGCCCCCACATACACCAGCATATTGCCTGTTTCCTTTACTTTCCATTGCATTGCGACTGCTTGCAAGTCCACCTTGTCCGAATATCCACAATTCGTGAAGGTCTCCTTGGATAATGATCATGTACCATTGCAGCTCAAAAGGTACCAATCACCAGGCACTGAGCAAACCGAAGATGGAAACGCTCGCATGCAGCATACCTCAGGTGTGTAAAAGTCAGGTACCCTCCTTGTGCGCTTCCCACTGGCCGCAGCTGGAACCCTGTTGAGCTGCTGATCCAGCCTGCGAGCCAGTTCTTCATCTGCACTCATATTGGCTTTTGAAGCTTCGACCTCTCGGTGCGTGAAGGCTGCCACGGCACCCTCTTTCCACTTGCCACCTGGAGGTCAATCACACTAACACTGCGTTGGCACAGATGCACTCTCATGTACAGCCCTCTTTGACAACATGGTCCAGATGAAATGCACCCACTGTCACGCACAGGCAAGGAAGAAGTATCCACAAGTCCCCATTCACATATCTGCACATCCACAAGCCCTTTTCTGGTTGCATTGATGGTCCATGAAGCTGTGAAATAAACCTGAAAGCCACATTATTTTTGTGTGGCAACAGACCCATCAAACAATGTATGTTGGGACAAGCAGAGGTATTGGATTGGATTTTACTTCTACAGTGTAAAAGGGTGCCACCCCACCCTGAAAGCCATGACAACCCAGGGCACAAAGGAGTGAATCGATGCCTCCTTTACAGCAATGTGAATACGACACATGGTTGAACAGTGTCTACAGTGAACACAGAACATCAGATAAGAACACGTTTCTACCAGTTTCCTTGGACACCACCATGCCTGCACAATGAAGGGGAGCGATGTTGGCAGTTTCAAGAGCGCTGTCTTGGCTATCACCTGGCCACATGCCACTTGACAATGCAGCCTGCCTATTTTCTGCTGTTGCCTTGGCAGTGGCGGTTAAGAAGGGTTGAAACTGGAGGAAAGGGTGTCTGCAGCTTATTCACGCCAAACTAATCTATCGGCTCTGCAGCTGCCAAAACGCGAGCAACACCAATTATTTAGCACTCTTCAAACTGCTTACCACATAGGCAACACATATAGCAATGCACCTCTTTGCTAGAATTTTCGCTCGCACAGAAGTGGCAACAACACAACAATCATTTCAATCAGGACCACAGGAAGGTTCTGGAACACAACCTACATCCGTCGCCTTCCCATGCCCACCAGCACGAGAAGGGGGACGGTCACTTTTGCCTCCTTGACCACCCGATTTCCAGGCATGACCACACCAGGGCAGGTAATTACTTGGAAACAGCCATCCTGAGGCTGGCATTGACACTGTCCAGTAACCACGAACGCAAGCGGCAGCCGAGGGGACCCGCCGCTTGGGCTGCAGAAAATCCGCCAGGGCTTCAGGCGCCAGCGTCCGCAACAGGCGAGGGCACCGCAACAAGGGCACGGCCGAAGCTCCCTCCCCAGCAGCGGTGGATTCGCACCAGAAACCTCGCGATGCGCACCACCCTCGGCCGCGCACGGGGCGTCTCACAGCCCGGCGCGCGCGCCACTGCCCGGGGCCAGCGACACGCAGATCTGGCGGGCCGCTGGCCAGCCATCCTCACCTTACGCCGGCGACTGCCCGCCATCCTCGACGCGCAAAACGGGGCCCCCCGCACCGGCCCCTCGGCCGCGGACCGCGACGAGATTTCGGCGCGAGTTTTGGCGCTCGCTCGGCACGGCGGAGGAGGGGAGGGGTCCGGCGGAGGAACCGGAGGGATAGTCGGGCAAAGCGTTCCGACGCACGTGTCCAATTTCCTCCACACGGACCAGCCAGACGCCAAGGTGCGCCAGGATGGCAGCGTGCGCGCCCCCGAGATCGACACAGGAACCGGATTCTGCCACCGCCGAGGCGCCCGGAGGCGCTGCGGGACCGAAAACGGCCCACGCCCAGCAGCCCGGTCACTCCCCCCGCCCGGCCCCGCCCCTCCCCGACCACCCCCCCTCGCGCGCCCCATCGCCGCTCCCGCCCCCCGCGGGTCGACTGCGAGCGCCGCTGCCGAGCCGTTGCCCGCCGGCGCCCCCGCCGGCCCGGCATCCAACACATCAGCCTGCGCGCCGCTTGGTTTGACTCACCCCTGCCGCGGGAGCCGGCCCTCGGGGCCCGCGCCCGTCCCGCGCTGGCCCGCCCCGCCGATCCCGCCCCGCCGCCGGCCCGTCCGTCCGTGTTGCGGGCTCCGCGCGCCGCGCCGCGCCCGCCCGTGGCTGCCGGATCCACGCCCCCAGCGCCCGCGGAAGGATGGACGAATGCCTAATGCCAGCCGAATAGATGCCCCCCGCGTTGCCCAATCGCCAATGGGACCGGCGCCGCTTTGGGCATCGCCCCGGGTCGCCCCTACATGGCCGGGCGACCGCCCCCATGACAGGCTGGAACGCACAGAGTACGCTGCGCAAATCCGGGAATCGGGCAGGGTCGGTGCGTGTGTGTGTGTGCACCCGCTCCGCGGGCTGGCCTGGGCCACCGTGCCTTCGCCCCACGGGAGGCTTGTTGAAACGCTGGACGCCAAGTCCACGGGGGAGCCATGCGGACGCCCGCGCGGGCTCCACCCTTCGCGCGCGCGCCAGTCGCCGGCCGCCGGCCGGTCTGGGCGGGTGTCAGGCCGGTGGCGGTTCGGGCGCATTGGGCGGAGATCCGCGCGGGCAGGCGGATCGGCCGATCGCGCATCCAGTGGGGGAGGCCGCAGCCGGGGGCCAGTCTGGGCAGGGCTCCCTGCAGGGCCGCCGCGTCGTGGTCGGACCCGGCGGGGCCCGGCGGGCGGGAGGGTGATCGGCGGCGCATTCCGGGATGGGGGTTGATTCTGATGGGTGCTGTGGAGCTCGTTGCGCTAATGGGGACGGTGGGCGGCGCGGTGGCTGTGCTGGTGGGATGCGACGCCGCGCTGGGCGTGCTGCCCGTGGTGCTGCCCTTCGTTTCGTTGATAGCCAGGCAGTGGGGCGAGCGCGCCAGGGCCAAGGTGAGCTCGAATGGTGGTGTCTGCCTGGCTGTCGTCCTGCGAGCGTTCTTGCATGGATCGTGCGTGGCCCTGTTGAGATTTTAACAGCATTGAAAGCACAACCAGTGCGTAGTGATGTTCACTTGGCAACGTTCGCACGCGTTGCATTTGCCATACTGCAACAATGTCTGCCCTTGCAGTCACAAGGGGTGTCCTGCTCTGTTCATGTCCAATGAATGACTGTTCCCATTCACCGCTGGAGAGCCTTCAACGCTGCCGGTTGACAAATTTTGTTTCTGTGTGTTCATTCATGCATATCGTGCACACAGCTTGCCAATAACATCAATAGCAGGGAGACGGCTGGGTAGCCAATTACAGACTGGCCCACCCCCTTGACTGGCAGCTGTACCTAGGCGACTACAGTTGAAAAGAAGCAGGCGTACCAGTAGTATCAGGCATGACCATGCATTGGACGCCCACAGGCTGGGCAATGAATAGATGGTTTCCTAACTACATCGTCTTTGACAGGGTCAATCAAGATGGGTAGAAACTGTTGCTGCAAGCATGGGCTCGTGTGCCTCCCAGGCATGCACCCTGGCTTCTAAAGTCATAAAGTCCTAAACCTTGCAAGTGTCTGAACAGGGCTAGCCGTTCATTGCCCCAATGCTTCCCACAGTCCAGATTTGAATGCAACGTGGTCAGCCACGTTGCAAGGAAGCTCTTCTCATTGCCTGGCATGGCATCCTTTGATCCTGGATGTTTCACTGGCAAGAACTGCTGGCTGGCTTTGTGGTCCATTTCACGGCTGCCATACACCGTTTGGCACATTTCGAATGCTGCTTTGTGTCCTGGGCCATGCACAAGACAACATGGATGATTGAGATGTGGGTGAATGTGCTGCACAAACTCAATGGCTGCACTGTCAAGCAAATTATGTTTGTGAAGTTTCACAGGCTTATAATTGAATTGAATTTGTGGCATAGAAGCATGCTTCAGTGACTACGACCTTGTTGACTTCAGTTACGATTTCTTTGTATTAGCTTCCCTTTAGGCAATGCATTGCTGGGCTTGCGATTGGCCAATGCCGTGTGTGGTATTTGTGGAAGGTGGACAGGGACCTGCTGGGAGTGTCTGACCAACTGGTTAAGCAGGAGTCGCTCATCGCAAACACATCTGACACTGTGGCCAAGCTGCAGAGTGAGATGTCTGGAAAGTCTGCACGCCGGCTTCTCATGATTGAAGGAAAGCTCGGCACGCTGGAAGCAGCACTTCTCAGCACAGGTCTGCCAGGCTGGCACAAAATTGAATGTCATGGTTTTTTTGATGCACAACTGAGGGGCACATGCGCAAATGGCAGCTGCTTGTGGCCTTCATGTGCAATGCCAGCCCTGTTGGGCATATTGAACGTAGTGCTGTGGTCAATTCTGACAACAGTCAATGACTGGGTGGCTGCATGGATGTATTGAAGTAAACAGCAGAATACTTTCAGCAAGGGAGCTCTGTTTATGCTTGATGGGCTGTGCACCACAGGTAGTATAATGAAGGACAGGTAATACTCCAAAAGCGTACATTAACTATGTCACATAGGCGCACACGTGATGTTGTATTGGTCATATGTTACGTGCCGTGTTTGCAACTATGCATGGTTCTGATCTGATGTGACACAAGTCTTCTGGCTGCCAAATGTTAGTGCAAGCTGCCTTTCTGACCCTCGCCAGGGAGAGTCTTTGCATACAAATGCTATGCATGCTCTCTGTTGCAGGCAGCTGACATATCCCCTTGGCTTCAGGCCAGCGTATGCGAGAGGCAGTGAGTAGCTTACAAGGCTTGTCCAGAGCCTTCCGCGATGGGGCACAACTCCAGTATCAGGCCAGTGTGTATGGCGTCCGAAGGGAGCTCCAGGAGGCACTGCAACAGTGGACAGCTGCACAGACAGAGGCAGTGCAAGCGCTCAGCAATCGAATTCTGGTGAGTGCACCCTCAGCAAGATATTGTTTGTGCCGGTGTCCATTTTTAAAGCTCGTTGTAAACCTCGACATCGCCCAAACATTGGTGCCATCCACATTTTGGGCCAGCCTTGTTCACGACTTTGTGAACTGTTTTCAGTTCTTTCAGCTCCACCAAACATAGTTCACTTGTGCATGCATAGGTCTTGTGCCACATCTTGCAGCTTACAAGATTTATTGTGCACAGCGAGAATGATTCAGAAGCCTCCAGGAATCGTTGCTTTCCTTTAGGCCATGGAACTGTTTTTGTGTGAGATTGTCTCCCATCATTGGATACAGTATGCCATGTTTATAGAGACTTGGGGCGTGCTGTGCCCCAGAGCTGAATATGAAGGTTTTACTCGTGATGTGGATGCGTAGTTGCTTGAGGACACTGTTCGTATGGTTGAGGCGAATCAAGCAGATACCTGGGGTGATGTATCAGAAGGACTGCGATCTGTCATTCGCACCAAGGAAGATGTGGCCTCCTTGTCCACCTTTGTGGAGAACGAATTGGCGGGCGTGCTGAACAAGTTTGAGGATTCACTGGTGAGCAGTGCAGACTCCACAAGAGTGTGTTCATGGCAAGTGCCACTTGTCAGCTGCACATCAAAGGCCACCTATGGGAAACATCTTGGATGCTGACCAGGTTCTGGACATTTGCAATGCTGATTGGGTTCTGGAAACCTGGAATACTGATCAGATCGTGTCTCTTGCCTTCCTGGCTGTTAAATGAGATATTCTGCAGTGTGCTCTGTTCGAGACAATGGACGCTCGTTGACTGTGCTACAGGGCAAGTTCGATGCACCCAATATGGATCTGTGCTCGGTCAATTTTAGAGCAAATAAAATCGTGTGTCAAGGTATGTGCAGTGCAGTCGGCTATGGTGGCCGTGCAATGCTTCTCGATGGGGTACATAGAATTCAAAGTGTCAATGTTTTCCAGGTGTGCTTGCTGCTTGCTGCAGTTTATGACACTGTGTTTATGACTTTCAGCAGTTGGTGTTGCTTTTCCTCAGGCACAAGTGGCTGTGGGCAGAGAGGGAGCAGCAACTGGCACTGTTTCTATTGACCCGCAGCAGTGGTCCTCGCTTGGGGTGCGCTTGAGGTACATAGAGAATCGATTGTCAGACCTTACGTTGCAGCTCCAACCAGAAGCAAAGTTGTTGGCAGAAGGTGAGAATGTGCTCGTTTCTCCTGCAGTGGCTTTCTATGTGGGCACCATTTGCATTACAGAGTTTCTCCTGCAGTGGCTTTCCTGTGGGCACCTTTTGCATTACAGAGTTGCAACCCATATACTTTCCCTGCTATGATCTTTACGAATGTTTGCAAAATTTGTGCACCATTGGTGTCTCCTGGACTTGATCGATTTCTGCAGCCAAGGAATGTCTTGAAGTCTGAATTGCAGACTCTGAACACATGATATTCACATTTCCTTCAGTTCCTCCTGCTGATGGTCCAAAGGATCTGCACATGGTGTGCAGCACAAAGGTTTGGGTGGGAGCCAGTTCCGAATGGTCTAATGTACACCTATTGAGTCCCCGTAACATGTGCAACTTGTTTCAGTGCACTGTGAAATGATGAAACGCTATGTGTCCATCACTTCCATCGGTGAATGCAGTGCTGGCATTATTGCAGAAGGGTGCATGTTTCCCCCATCAAATGTACAGCCCCATTTCATGTGCATTGCTGTGGCCTGCCAAGTGCTTTGACTGTTTGGATTGCTGGCAAAGGTAACTTGACTACCTACGGGGAACCAGATGACCTTCCTGATGGCAGCATGCAGGTACACATCAGTTGCCATTCGCTAACTGCGATTCTATCTGTATGAGTCAGTGCAGTCTAGGTCTAGGTGCGGCTGTGTTGTGCTCAATCGCTGGCTGTCACAGAGGGGTTTGTCAGCTTGTCTGGGTATCATGGGGCTGAAGAAACTTTCTGTGAGCATCCAAGACTTTTATTGTGTAATGCTTCAACCTCTCACTGCGCAGCCGCAACAAGCAAGGCTGGTTATGTTATCAGGATGAAGCCGCTGACATGGGAGCTGGGCAGACAACTGCTGGGGTGGCATCTGTGGAGGGGGCCGATAATATGGACAGGGCAAATTTTGTGCTGGAGGACCTTGCAAGGGAGATTAGGGCACTCAAGGTTGCTGTTGAGCTCCTCAGGCCTGCCAAACTCTTGAGGGAGCCCCAAACTCAGGAGATTGAACAGCCTTGTGCAGAAGATGCGGTGGCTGCAGAGCCACTGACAAATGAAAATGGGAGCAATGGAGAAGCAGGGCCACAGCAATCAGATGCCCCACTGCAACGCCCTTTTGCACCTGAGAGTGCGCAAGGGAGTATGAGTGTTGCTGATCGCCTCTCTGGCATCGACTATCAGAAGCCTCTGGAAACAGAATCTGTGGCAGAAGGAGTAGCTGATAATGAGGAAGAAGGGAGGGATGTGCAAGGCAACAATTCAGTGGGAATGCCTGTGAGAGGAGAAGATCGACAAAAGAATGGTGCAGAGAATGTCATTGCAGAGCAGCAGTGGGTTCAGCTAGAGCGCAATGATGCCTCTGTTTATGAAGAAGCAGAAGTCGCTCAAGACAGGGTGGAAGGATTCTTCAGTGTGGGTTCAGTCAGTGAACAGTCGGTCCCTCGATATGCTGATGGCTCCTTGCCACAAGGTGATGATGATAGGTTTTTGCCTGCATTTGGGGCTGACTATCCTGATGACCCCCCCAGGTGGCTTAATGGGGACAGGCCTAATGAAAGTGAGTATTTGGTCCCTGAGCCACCAGCCCCATGGTACTCAGAAAACTATGACAGGAGGGCAAATTATGATGCGGATTACCCTGTGGCATCCACGACATCGAGTTGGACGACCAGCTCTCAACAAGTGGAGAACAGCAGTGCCGGTGTATCGTACAGCAGTGATCAGTACATGGACACGACAGGAGGAGTTGGTGGTGGCTTTCCCAGAGACGGGTACAGGAGCTCCCAAAAGGGTGCAATGAGAAACGAAAGTGCTGGTATGGGACCCATCGGGTCATCAACAGCCGCTGAGGGTATTGGCAGCAAGGTTGACCTTGAAGACTCTGTTGACAGAACCAGAGGTGATGCCCCCTCCACAAGGATACCTGACAGTGGAGTCGCCGATGGCCTAGCCCAGTTGAAAGAGGGTCGAGCGGCAATGCAATATGTGAGTATACTTATAGTGCTCGTAGTAAGGTGTTCGCACATACTACTATCTGGCCTGTGCCCTGCATTTTGAATTCCACAATTTGCAGATTCGAATTTGCATCTGCATCAGTGTGAGACTTGTGTCAGGCTCAATTTCGGGTGCCTTCGAAGTCGTATCAGCAGAAGGAGAATTGAAATGTTGCTTGCTTGTGTTGGCAAGGTGCCAGTGCTGTTGCATGCTGTTTGTTGTCAATGAAACTGTGCATGGCAAGAAAAGGGTGGGTGTTCCGCTTGAATGACCTTCGCCTCTTCTGTGATTCATCCATCAGGCTATTGCAGTGTTCCCCCTTCGCCAATTGCCAAACTCCACAGTGCCCAAATGCTTACAACATGGATGCTGGTATCCTGACACGATGTTTGTCCAATAATCAGGATCTTGGGACAGCACACCAGCTTCTGTGCAGTGCACTTGGCTACTTTGAAGATGTCCTGCAGGCCACCCCTGAAGACCGCATTGCACTGGGCAACAGTGGTAACACCCTGCTTGCACTGGGAGACCTGAAGATAAAGATGGCAGAGGCGATGACGAGCAAGGGGTCAATGGAGTCTGGGAAGCAGGCTATGCAGGAAGCAGATGAGATCCTGACGCTGGCAGGTAAACTAAGCAGTGTACTCAGCTGTGTTGTTGGAGCACTTTCCTACAGTGCTGTGCAAATGTGCGTTAAGTGCTGGTGGTGGCGCACGATGCTTTGTGGGTATGGCACTGGGTGGTCACCGGACTGCCAGGAGCGATGTTGCTCCCTGAGCAGCAAGTGCAGCATTATTGCTGCTGTGTGGTTACCTCCTAGAACTTTGGTGGAGATCTTTGGGACTTTAGTGAAGTTTCAACCACTTGTTGCTCATTCCAGGTTTGCTCATGCTTGCCTTGTACAGGCCAGCGTTTCCGTCAGCTTTTGATGCTTGACAAGGAAGATCAACGGGCATACATGAACTGGGGGAAAGCACTTTGTACCCGTGCACAGCTGGCGGACAGTCCTGAACTGTCAGACAAGCTGTATGCTGCAGCCATTGCAAAGTACAGCCAGGTGCGTTTGAGACTAGCTTAGCGGCCACTGCCATTATGGTGCTGCACCGCTGTGATCGTGGCTGAGAGCTGGAATCGTTCTGGAATGGATAGTTGCATAGAAAACTCTGTTGGGTTCCTTGCCCTGCAGCCTGTTTGATGTTCAGGTATTGTACTGAACGCTGAAAATCGCTGCAACACTGTGGTATGGATGCCCACGGCACCAGCTGCCTCCGAGCTGATGGCAACACTGCTTATCCTTTGTGATGAATTGCATGCTGCAGCTGCATGCGAAGGTCTGACGTGGATGGACATGCTTGCCAGGTGTTGTCTCTGTCACCAGACTCTGCTTCGGCCTTCCTTGCTTCTGGCGTTGCTCATCGGGACTGGGCATCGACCAAGTCGGCCCGCAGTCCTGAGGCTGGCATCCTGGCAGAAAGAGCTGCACACGATCTCAAGGTGCGAATTGATTTCTTGGTGTTCCTAAACATGTTTACTATGCCAGAAGAACCGAATTACAAGGACAATCACTGCGCTCGGATGTTCTGGTTTGTCAAATTGGGTTTACTGTGCTTGTGAGAATTGCCAGCCAACTGTCAACAGAAGTGTTCAGAGGGTAATAATGCTGTGGTAGCATTGTTCACGTGTCACCGCCAATTGGTGCGAAGCTTCTCCGCCCTATGCACCGCAAGGTGCAGTCACCAGATGAAATCCAAACCCGAAACCGAGGCTGGGACTTTCAGGCGGTCGCCGCCCTCAGATGTTGCCGCTGCTGCGGATATTGTCGGATTGGCGCCAATGTCCGCAATGATGTTGTTTCATTGTGCTACACATGTTTGAGTTACCGGTTGATACATGAGCAATTCTTCAGGTGGAGGTGGGCAGCGTGCCACGGACGTGTTGTTTCTGCTGATGCGTTTTTATCCTGCGCATAACTACCACACACGCCTGCTAGTATTAGGACACTAACTTTAGGAGAGAATGCTGCACCCAACACGCATGCCTGTCTCGACGATGTGTTCGTTGAAAAGATTAACGTGCACCGACAGTGAAATTGCAAGGCCATATTAGGCATCAGCCTGTCGCCATAAAGTCCGATTGCAACGCCGAGCGCAAAATTGCATCCACTTTTCAAACTGCTGAGTTTCACGTTCTAACCTCATGTCGAAGGACAGCAAAGCACATAGTTGCATGCAGCACCCTGTGGCCAGATGCATTTCGATTGCCGACGTCGTGTCCATCCACATATCGAAAGTTGACTTGCTCTGCATTCATGTGCCACACAATAGGGAGGAAACAGAATGACAAAATGCACAGCCGTTCAGTTCATGACCTTTCCTCCTTGCCCTCTTGCAGCGTGTCGCCGGGCTAGAATGTCCCGAGGCTGTGAAGAGAGCAGCTGCTCAGGCTCTGGAAGACATTCCCGCCATCGAGACCCCAGGAGCGCCACCAAGGGCCCCACAGTAGATCAGCCAATCAACTCTCCCACTCATCAGTTTTGGCGATGGATTATTGCCAAGCGTACAGGAAGTGTGCCTAGACGAGCATTATATATATGCGTTATTACTGGGTGGCCTTTACTGCCAACACAAACGTGCATTGGGGACAAGCGGCAAGAGCTTATGGTGCCACGCATCAGTAGCGTTGAAAAATGGACTTGACATTTATTTGTTTCGTATACGTTTCAGCATAATCTACGTCAGGCAACGGGGATGGATGGATGGTGTACGAACTGACCGAGGGAAGGCAAGTGACTTCGGTGGGGCTATGAATGACCACTCTGTGGCTGGAAGCTGCTCGTTCATATATCCGAACTCAACGTCTCTGCAGTTTTGTGCCTGCGCCGCACAACACCACCTCTCCTTTCTATGGCGCTTTTTGTTATGGAAAACGCAGCGTGGTATCCTGAACAGATTCCATGGTTTCCTGTCTGGATCTGCAAAGGAGCCTGCCACTGGGGAGCTGGATTAACCAGTCACTCGTCGTCTGTGAGTCTAAGGACGTTGGGTTCACTGTCAGAGCTCCGGCGGCCATTAGCGTCAGGCCGACAGCCTTACTTGTGTCCTCAGGCCGACAGCCTTACTTGTGTCCTCATTATCGGCAAACAGAACAATTGCTGTGGTTCCTGATGCCAATCGGCATGCCAACACCTGCAACGTAGGGCTCAGAACACACTCACGATTTCCCAATAGCCTTGTCAATAGCATCGCGCGTGCGCCCATCTGGCCCAGGGCGTCGACAGCAGAATCGCCCTGCCTGTCAGCTTGCACGCAACAGGCATTGACAAGAGGGACAGCCGGAGAAGCCCACACGGCCATCAACGCTTGGCGCCCTCCAGGAGTTGCCCTGCAGCTGGACCCATGACACATCATCACAGCCTGGACAGCGCGGGCACCCAGTGACTTGTGGGACGTCGGTGATGTGCGCTGGGCCAAACTGCCACATGTCCACACACCCCTCTGCCCATGCACCGGGTGCATTGCACCCTCCACGCATTTTCAACAGTGCGTTGCAACCATGGATCCCGGCGGTCCTTACAACTCGGGAGTGCCCTCTGGTTCCTCGCCTTGCTCGGTCCGCTCGCTCCCGTTTCAGGGCGCCAACGACAACTGCACTGACAACAAGCGCCACCTCAACCACAATGCGGATTACTAACACCGCAGCCCGAAACCCGGTCCGTGGCACCACCTGCGGGCCCAGGCCAGTAGCGCCCAAGGCTTCCCCCGCAGGCCAGCGTGAACCGGCGAACCCTCTGCTGCACATGAACCCCATTCGCCGGTCCCCTTCGCCACGCCAATACGACAGCGAGCGTGGTGCCGGAAAGCAGTCCCGGTTTGTGGCCTGCCTATTGCGCCCAACACCCACCCACCAGCAAACAACTCCTTCGAATTGGCGCATGGCCAAAATTCGGACCTAAGGCCGCCGCGTCCCGCCTTTAGACCCACTTGCCGCTGCCGCTTCCTCAGCGTCCGCGATTCTGGGTATCTGCGATGGTGGTTCACAATCATCTGGCGTCCCGGCCCTGCTCCGCTTGCGCTTGAGCGCTTCCCTCACCGGTCCACATACACAGCAGCAACGGTCCTGTCACAGGTGTACAGTGGGTTAGACCCCATGCCAGCGGGCACGCTTTTGATCCCCGCCATTGCAGGCCCCAGTGCACCGGTACTCGCGTTTCACGCAATGGGTCAATTTCAGCGTTTGCGCCGTGGCGCGCGCATCATTCCACGCAACCCTGCAGACCAAATCCGATAGCTGGTGTGCCCATTGCCCCGCGCAAAACCTGAGGACGAGGCTCACCTCACCAGTCTGTATCTGCACTGAGCCAGTGAGACCAACAGTGTACCGCGCTTGGCGGAGTAGAATGAGCTGCACTTCGTTTTCTGGATACATGTAACACCATTCCGCGCCCCGGTCTGCGCACAACGTCCCACTGCATGACTCATTCGTAGCCATGGCGCAAGATCTGCACTGGACAGAGGCATTTCCCTGTACTTGACGGGTAAATTGTGTCTGGCAGCAGCGAGGACTTCCCCATGGGCTGTCATGAGATGCTCGAACTGGGAGGACACACAGACCGTGTTGTGCCGCTTGTGCTGCGGCTTTTTCGTGGGTCTGTGCTGGTTCGCCAAATTCAAAGCAAACGGATGAGTAAAAATAGATGTTGAGATAGATAGATAAATGCAAACAGCGAATAAACCAACGATCAAATAACAAACAGAGAAAAAATAAATTAATAAATAAACAAAAAAATAATGATTAATAAATCAATTAATTAATAACAGCGTAAATCTAAATGTTCAAGTCCGCACCTTGCAAGCCTGGTGATAGTGCTCCCTCAAATTCCTGACCCTCAGGCAGCTCGGATAGATGCAATGCCAGTCCTTGCACTTCCCGACGTGCCTCAGCAGCTTCCTCCCCTCCCTGCACACCTCGCTCGCCTCGCAGGTGTCGTCGGTCTGGCTGCAGTGCTCAACGTGATGGAGGAATATGAGCCACCGGATTTGGTGGCGCACTTGTCGGTCCTTCTCGTGGAGTATGGACTGCAGGACGCTGGGAGCGCCAGCCAGTCCAGGCAGGGCACCTTCACATCCGCAAGCGTGATCTGGTGCTCACAACCAGCTATGTGCGGATGTGCATCGCAGTACACACTTTGACAGCCATGTTCGATTGCGGGCTGAATGGAGCCACGGTAGTAACTTTCTTTGCAAGTGCCCATGCATGCATGGCTTGCAGCGATGCACATGAAATCGCAGCCGAATCATCCTGGGAACTGATACGTGGCTTGCAGGCAGCACTGCAATGGAAACGCAGAACAGACTTGCGTTGCACCATGTACCTGGCTGTGGTAATGACTGCAGGTGCAGGAGATCGTCATTCGTCACTGGAAGGGGCACAGTCCAGGCAACACAAGGTTCCTACGCCAGCTACTGCAAAGAGGGTTCTCCACAATGCATCGTGCCGTTGTGTGAGAGCACGTTGTACAATCTAAGCAAGTTGAACTTGCTTCACCTTACCCAAACTTCTGTTGTACATGCTCTCTTTCCCCCTTCCCTTCTTGCCACTTTCACAGCCCCCACCCTGGTGTTGTGCAGACGATGCCTTCGGCGATCGGAACACTTGTGACAGGCTTCCAGTGGACACAGTCAGCGGGAGCTGTCCAACTACTGCATCCAAGTCCACATTCTGCACAGATGGCAGAGTAGAGGTCCCTGAGTGGCACATTCATGCCATTAAGATCTGTTGCCAGGGTACAAAGATGTGAAGAGGGTGGGAGGATGGTTTAGATACAACTACAAAGCCATTGTGCACTTCGCAACTTGGCTCATGAGATCTTTGAGCTGCGTGGCAATCGAAGTTGCAGAGACAGTGGATGTGCAAATTGCATGTTCTGATGATTGTAAACGCCTTGGTCCAGGCAGCCCACAAATCATCAGAAATCAGGCGCCAGAAAACAGAGCTGTTGGTGAGTGTAAAGCCGCAGATAGAACGCCCTCAAGGTCACTACAAAGCTGTGGTCTATACTATTGTGAGGGACAAAGACAGGGTGCTCACACAGTAGCTGACCTGATGGACCGGCATCCAGGGACAGTGTAAGCCAAGCATGATTGGTGCTGGTGGAAGGCAGGGCTGTCTGCTGAGCTTGGTGTCGCATGTGAACAGGTAGAGGCCAGGACAACTCACAGGTTTGCAGGCTGCATTGGACTTGGGCTCTGAGCAGCAACAAAACGTTTCAAATCTTCTCAAAGGTAACTGCTCAAAACAGAATTAGGTATGCTCAGTTAAAACAGGCCAGAAGTCTACATGCATTGCCATTAGCACCCCAACACACTAAGAGCAGCTCTTGCCAACTTTGGGGGAATTCAAATGAATACACCCAGCAGAAGGTGCACACAAGGCTGTCTACTTTGTGGCACTTCTGCATTGACCAGGCAAATAGCTGGGGAAGAAGGGGCGGGTTAGGGGGTGGGGGGGGGGGGAGTAGTAGTGGTTGGGGATAGTTTCACTCAACGAAACTGACCAGGTGTCAGCACTGACAACCTTGTCTTCGTTTCTTGGGTTTGGAACACTAACTCTGTGTCATCCTGTACATGAGATATGCAGGGTGCAGTTTTTTGAGGGATTGGCCAATGCCCGTTCATCATGAGCAAGAGAGACCCCTGTTTCTGTGGTTGACATTTTGCACACATCTGCAAGGTCCTTTTGTTGCTCTTGGTTGATTGAGTTATCGATTAGACAACTGGCGGTTTTAGCTCGTACAAAGCGTCTCGTCTTCAATCCATGCAGGTATTCCTGTGTCTCAAATGTCTTTGCCAAGTTAAGGACTGCGTGCTGTCATCAACATCTCTAAAGTCCCATCAACACCAAAGTGACGCTGGCTGCATTGCTGCACTTGTTCGTGCTGGACTGAGGAACTATTGGAGACAGCCTCCTCCAACCAAGCGAGGGGATCAACAGTGTCTTGTGGAGGAATGGGGGTGGGGCAACAATATCCCCTCTCCCACAGAAAAAGGCGCGCTGGTTGGGGATTGCTGGGGATGGAGATGGAGAGCCAATACTTGTCTTAAGGTTTTCGGCGAGGCCACGCCATGATGTCCTTCTCACGTCAGTTGCAATTGATTCGGGGCCAAGATCTGCCGCCGCCGAGCGCTGGGCTCTGTATTTTCACCGCCCAGTCTCGAAGGCGCCACTGCCACCCATCGTTTTGCGGAACCTGAACGTAATCTCTGCCAGAGTCGTCGACATGAAAAGACATCGCGGACTGCCAGATCCAGAAGTCCAGCGCGCAACCCCTCACCTTCCTTTCTGTTTGCCTCCCGGTCCGCAGGACAAGGCCGAGAAGCACTGTAACCAGGCGGCGAGCGGCGCACGGGAAGCAGCCGAGCTCACCACTGGGGACCCGCCTCCGCCTTCATGAGACTCCTCGCCAGGTGGCGGTGGCCGGCCTTTGACAAGCGGGAGCCAAACGGCGACGGCTCGCCCGCCTTGCCGCCCGCCCTCTGCCAATGGCAAACAGAAAATGCCACAGGGAGAAGGACACTCTGTCTTTCGCCAGCACTGTGCCCTGAGGTCCTGGGGCCAAAAACTCTGCAGAGATCCAATTACTCCAATTGTCTTTTAGTAGCTAGTTGTTAGTTTAGAAGTTGGTAAGCTCAGTGCCGTGGATCGTGGAGGACAGTGCGGGTTGCATAGCGCGGGAGGTATGCTGGATGGCGCGGGAGGTGTGCTGGGTAGCAGGGGGATGATGCCGGATTGCGCGAGGGGTGCCATTTGCTCACAATGTAGAAAGTCGCAGAAATGTCACTGCGATGTACGGCCAATTTTGCTGTGATTAGCTACTCTGCTTTGCTCAGGCAAAATAGGAAGCTGACGGCTACCTCATTGCCCTGTTATGCAACAAATGATGATTATGATGATGATTGGCTTCCTGTTGAGCTGGATAGGCGCCGGTACGCTTCGCTGGTCAATGTGAAATGCGGGAGACGTTACTGGTTGAACGACTTCATGCAAAACGCAGAGAGAGAGCGCGGGCCGCGCAAGACAGTGGCCCTTGCGTTCTTGAACCGTCCTGATGCCATCCTGATGCCACCCCCCATGATCTATGGTTATTATCTTGGTTTGGTGTTCAGCTTAATGCTTACATCAGTCCACGATTTTGGTGATTGGAGCACAGAAGACCTCAAAGACCATGGTACAAAGAGAAAGAAGGCAGGGACATCAGCACAAGCCGAACGCAGAGTGTAGAGGGCAGAGGGTGTAATGGATTCCAGCCCGTTCCTGCCAGCGCCAACAAAAGATACCCCTGACAGGGCCTGACACAGCTGGCTGCTGTGTCTGCCCTCCACGGCCCTAAAACGCACTCGAACGGGAGGAGCTGACCATCTTGGACACCGGGACGCGATGAACGCCATGGCCGCCCACGCGTCGAGCCAGTGCCCCTCCTTGGCGGCCGGCTTCAGGCCCCCGCGCCCGGCGGTCCGGCCGAGGGCCTCCAGGGCCATGGTCATCGACGTGGGCTGCGTGTGCGGGCCGCGGGAGGCGAACTCCGGAGGTGAATGGGGCGACAGCATTCGATGAGCGCCCGCGGGCCATCGTCCGATTGTCGACGGTGTGGCGTGCGATTCGTCGCTCGGGAATCGCCGCTCAGTCCGACGGGATGCATCACGACATGCGTCGGTCATCGACTCCGGGTTTGTGCGTGCCAGGGGAGGAGGGAGGCCGTCAGGTCGCCTGGGGAAGCGCCGTGGCGGGGGCGGCTGCGGGGCTGTTGCTCGCGGCGTCGTCCGCCGTGGCCGCGCCCAAGCTTCCGCCGTTGTCGACAGGTGAGCGCCAGACTTGCGGGCCCGCTCGCGGTGATGTCAAAGAGGGGGGAGGTGCAATTGCGGGGCAATGCAGGAGTGTGGCATTGAGTGTCGCTGGTGGATGATCAATCAGCGATCGCTGCGAAAGACAACTGTGTTCTGTCTGTGTTGAAATTTGGGCTTGTGCTGCAGATCCTGCGAGATGTGAACGGGCATTTGTTGGAAACACAATTGGTCAGGTGAGATGACATGGGACACGACACCGTCTGAGAACCTTTCCCATCCCATTGTGCCAGTACTTTGGAAGAGGTGGCAAGCTGGGTATGTTGATAATTGGCATGGTCAGCTCTCCTCACCTGATGCCTGTCTGTTGCCTGGCACGCTCTGCATACCTGGATCACTGTACTGGACTGTCAACATTCAGGGGCACGTGGCAGGTTGCAAAAGAGCACTGTCATCTACAAGAAGCTATTGTCATTTGAACAGAGCGCAAGGAAAAGTAAGGTACTGATGATGAGGAAGTTACAGGAGTCAGTTCGGCAGAGTATTGTTGTGATGCCCAACTTCAATGGGCTAAGCATGGCCTGGAAGATCTGGGAGCCGTGGAACAAGTCTGTGGAATCTGTGCCCGTAGTGTGCTGCTGGCTTCCAACAAGTAACGGCTGCCACCTCATGTCTGCCACATGTACTGTTTAAGATATTCCTGACATTCCTTGCAGATCAACAATAAGTTAGGGCAAATGTTGCACCATTGACTTATCAGTACGCCAGGCAGGGCAGATCTCGATGCCAGGCAGGGCAGATCTCAATGCCAGGCATGTTGGACAATGCCAGTCGGTGTCTTGCACATCCGCAAGTGTCAGCTCCCACAGTGTTTATAATCCCATGCTTGGAGCCCACCACATCTATGTTCCAGCGGGGCTTGGAGTGTGCTTGCACTGTGGAAATTTCATTTCAAGATGGGCTTTTTTGATGCAAAGAAAAAATTTGGAAAAAACGTCTGCCCTCTGTACTCTGATACCCCTCTTGCAAGGGTCCATTCATTCATGCCTGTTCACCAGCCCAATGCTTAAGGCTGTGTGGCTTGCCAGTATGTGCCAGTTTCCTGACACAACTGACAGTGCCTGAAAATATTTGTGGCTGCATTTACATCTTTCCTGTGTGCATTCCTTCAAGGCCAACGCTGTCTCAGACCAAGTGCTCGATCTCCGCAGTTGCTCATATACTGGCAAGAACTTATCCGGGAAGACCCTTGCTGGTGCTCTCCTGTCTGATGCCGATCTTGCAAAGTCGAACTTGCAAGAAATCGTTCTCACAAAGGTGCGCAACACAAAGCAGGTGCTTTATGCACACCATCTTGCTGCGTTTGGATTGCCTTCCGTGTCAAGGCATTGGTCCTGGTGGCTCCAGTGGGGCGGGATGCCACACCCAACCTCTGATGCGGCAACTGATGGGGCAGGTTGCATGCTTTGCAAGACTGCTTTGCAACTGTGTCAAACTGTTGAAGTGTTACAGTTTGTGCAGGTGCGCTACAGCTGTGTTGCAAACAATCGTTGCAGGGCCTGCTGGCAGAATCTGGCATTGATGGCAGGGGGCACTGAAAGCAACCAGCCAATGCAGAGCAGTGGGGTGTATTTCTTTCTAACCCCTCTTAGAGAGGAATGCGTGTGGTACTCAGAGCACCTGCTGCACACGCCCTCATGGCCTGCAAAAGTACTGGTGGAAGTGGTCCAAGAGATCTTCTGGGCAGTTCTGTTGGCCCATCTCTGTGAAGAGTCAATAGCACGTCTTAAGGGAACTGCTGTTGGACCATTGAATCGGCACTTGAACTGCATGCAGAATGTGGAAAAGTGAGGTCCACATAGCACAAATACACATGATCGCATGCTGAGCAAAGTGGCCCTAATAGAAGCGAACTGGTGCATAGTTCTGATTTCGTTATGTGGAGACACCTTCGGGGCGCCCATGTTTGTTAAGTCTGGCGCAAAAGTGCTCTCACAACCACAATGCCACCCTCACCATCAACCAGCGGCCCTACAGAGCAAACCCTCACCATCAACCAGCGGCCCTACAGAGCAGCACGGGCTTGGCGCCGTGATGTAGTCACTGTCTACCCGCTGCACAATGTTCAAGCCCTCATGAGCAATTAGGCAGTTGAAGCAGTCAGGCAGGCTGCCTACCAACCTGGGCAGTGTTTGTCCACAACCTCCAGTAGGCTTGCTCTGAAAGAAAGAGGAGCAGATGTCCTCCTTGCGAACTGAGTGGTGCCTATGGCATCTGATGTGCTGTCTTGGGGATTGGCCTTTTTGCAATTCAGAAATACTAATGACTGGCTATTAGTATTGCCAAGGAACAATGCCAGCGAATGGCACGACGAGCATTGTTGGATGTGCTGTGTCTATTAAATGATTGGCTGTCACAACAAATTGTTGAAGGTACTTGTTGCTCCACTCAATCCTGAAATGACACTTGGTACCTGTGATGTTATTGGTGTAGATTTTCTCGAAAGAACGGTACTGTTGTTGTGTGTGTGTTGTTCTGGCATGCAAAGATTCTTCATGAATGCGGAAACACCGCTTGCTGTGCTTGGCGCCGTTGTTCTGGGGAGATATGGAAAGCCTGAGCCTGAGCCCGCCATCCTGTCCCATGCGTGCAGCAGTACATTTGCGTGCAGCAGTACATTTGCGTGCAGCAGTACATTTGCGTGCAGCAGTACATTTGCGTGCAGCAGTACATTTGCGTGCAGCAGTACATTTGCGTCCAGCAAACGCATGCACCCGCCACATTTCCATATTGACTCGTGCGTTGGCTGCAATGCACAGGCCTACGCCGTGGGCGCCAATTTTGAGGGCGCCGACCTCACTAGCGCCGTTGTTGACCGCGTCAACTTCGATGAAGCCAACATGAAGAACGCGAAGATGGTGAACGCGGTCATCACGGGAGCAACGTTCAATGGCGCCAATTTGGACGGCACAGATTTTGAAGACGCCTTGATAGGATTCGAGGACGTTAAGAAGCTGTGCCTGAATCCGACGCTTACCGGGGAGAGTCGGGCGCAAGTTGGCTGCCGCCAGTGACCGGCGTTTGGACCGTCGCCTGGTGTCTTATACGCAGATACCTTTATTGTTTGTTGCCAGGGCTGATTTTTGTGATGGACGAACGTTGATGAACGAATGTCGATGTGATTACTCGGTCAACCGGTAGCAATGCGCCCGTGCATTGACGTCTGGGCGAGGAGCGCCCGACGGCTCCCCTTTCGGCGCATGGAAACGGTGCATTTGTGATGTGTGTTAATTCATTGCAGCGGCGCATATGTGCGCTTACTCATCCTCATCATGCACTGTTACAGGACAATGCAGCGGGTTCGCCGTCAGCTTCCTATTTTGCCTGCGCGAGATGGTGTCTACGATTAGTTAATTGAGATCCAATGTACTGTACATTGGATTGTGTTGTGAGAAGACAAACCAAACCCAGAATCCATCAATTCTGAATCTTCGAGAAGCGCTTCTCTATGATAACACCATGATAAATGTGTTTGCCAGTTTGCAAGCGGGAAAAGAAGCAGAGAGTGATTATGCACTGCTGTCTGAGCTGTTTTAAAAGCAGTGCGGAATGACTAAAGCGCTGCGCTGCAGTCATTCAAGAATCTGGCCTCAGATAATGCACTAGGTGTAGAGGTCAGACCTAGTCCAAATTGAGGTTCGACCGTACATTTTGTATGGCATACAAAACAAAAAGAAACTGATACGCCTAAATCCCCTAACCCCTTAACCTCTAAAAAGACCTAAAAGAACACAAACGAAAAACTCAAACAACTTTCATGACCTTTGTCATGTGAAATCAAGGTAACCAAATATTTTTGCTACATACAGCTAGGCTTGCCTGAACCTCAGTTTGAACAAGGTTGAGCATCAATTCGCGCTTGGTTTTCCTCCTCTGACCGTGGACAGGTTGAACCTTAATTCGGACTAGGTCGAACCTGGCTTCCCTAATGTACAGGCAGAACGCAACGCCAATCGCTTTCCCATGGTAGCCTATTGGCACTGGCAGCCAACTTGCCCCATAGGCGGCTTTGGTATCGACCACCACCCGCCAGGGCTGTCGGCAAACTCAAATACCCTGGGAAGGTGCAGTTTCACACAGCCCCCGGAGCTGGTTTGAGTTCGCGTACACGTCAAAATTTCTACCCTTTCCGATTGTCAGCCAGAAATACTCGACGAGCAGCAACTGCACAATAGCAACGAAAAAATATGCGTGTTTCGCAAATCGGCACGCAGTTGCGTGGTGAGTTGCGGATCGATGCCAGCAACAGTGCAGATTAATGTACATTGCTTCGTGCTCATGTCCCACGGTTCCGTGCCATGGGCGAAAATGCCGAACGACAGGAAAATATGTGGGGATCTGACGGCCAGGCGCAGTTGGCGCACCAATCTGGGAGCTCAGAGCGCAAGCTACGACGACGACTGAAGCACTGGCAGCGCTGGAAAAACTGCATCTAGCGTCAATTGGGTGGCCGTGCACCCTCGCCCTTGACAACGCCAACAAGAAACATCGATTGCGTATTTATTCCATCGCAGACGTCGAAAGGCTTCTGCGTGTTTCTGACAGTAGGAAAAGAAATTGGTCGAAATAGCGTGTGTTCAAACGTGCACAAAGATTGCAGGTTTGGGCTGTTTTGGTGTACTTAGTGTGCAGAACATTGCTGAAATGCACTTCATGTGTGTTCGCAGAAAGTGTTATTTAGTCCATTTTTTGCTAGTGTGAGCGACGGCACATCGCGGCCAGGCATGAGCGTGTTCCTAACATAAAAGGGAAACAATTGATGGCCACTGGTTGTACCAATGGCCATCAGTCAAATTTGTTCGCCTAACGAATCAGGATAAGCAGTGATCTAGCATTGTGCCAGCATCGCTATTGATGCAATGCCGGGTAGCGCTCCAGCAAATACCTGTGTCTCAATACTGAAGAGGATTGAGGTGTGTGACAATGTTGCTGACGCACGGGCACCCGTCCCGCACCAGTCCTGCTGGAGCGTTGTTTGGCACTGCACCAATGCCAGTGTAACAACGACATTGCATCAATTTCTGCCCACATTGAGGATGGCTGGCGGGTGGCTGCATCAGCGATGCAGCCATCTACAACCACTAAAAGATTGACAGCTTGGTCTCAAACGCCTCACCTTCAAGATGCATAACTGCATTTTTGCGGCAAATACTTATAGTCATTGTGACGGATAGCCGTCTATTCTTTTGTCCAGTTTTGGGGCGTTTCCACACGTTAAATTTACTTGAACACCTACATATGCGGGAGGAAATGTTACTCGGCAATTGTAGAATTTTCGCAAAAATAGTTAATTTAGACTTTACATCGACAAGACGTTCTTGGAGTTCGCATTCTGGATGTTCCGTCTGAGGAACAATGTCCGAGGTCGCCAACGGCAGTGCTTATTGCTTTTCAACAATTTCCACCATAAGAATTGCACTTGAAGATGCGCAATTAATGGGAATATTGCCAACATGCATTACCATTGCCCGCCAAATATGCCTCAAATGCGCAACTCTGTGCGACCAGCGGTGGTGGCGAGCAGCTGCAATCTTGCAATGTCTTTATTCGCCAAATCTGAAATCCATCAACCTTGCGTCCACCATTTGACCACACGACCACACTGACTGACATTTTGTACACGATGTGGCACATGTGGCGCTTCCCGTGCTGATGACTGTATCGAATTGTCCAATGACACGTCACTCCCCTGCGGCCCTCCCACACACCAACAATATTCTCAAGCCCATGCCGCCCCCTTCTAAAGCATGACCGGCGGAGATCCATTCCGCCTCCAATGGTAATTTCTCTTGCCCCGACAGCATGAGCGGTGACGTTTCGACCCCAAACGGCGCGACAACGGCGGCTGACCGACGCCCCGAGGAGACGGAGTCGCCGAACGGACGGGCGAGCGCGACGAAGGCCGTGGCGCCTTGGGCTGGACGGGTGCCCTCCTTCCACAGGGCGGCACCCTTTCCGGTCAAGAGACGGGTCCCCCGCGGTAGGCGTCAAAACAGCCACGACGCCCAAAAGTTCAGAGTCTCCCACCCTCAACGGTCGTTGGTTTTATCCCTGCTCATCTTGCACGGATTCTGCAACGCGATGGCTAGAGCGGGGAAGGGCTGCAGACGAGGCTGTTCGGCGCCGGAGGCTCTGGCTGTGATTGCCACCTGCGGGCGTGTGAAAATCGATGCGCGGGCGGCGACGGCTCGGCGACGGGGCGCGTCCGCGGCAGCGACTGCAGTGTCGTTGAACGGGGGCGCGTGTGTTTGTGGCCGTGCTTGGACTGGAAAGCGCCGCAGCAGCTCGTTTGCGGTATGTAATTACGCAGTTTAGCGTTCAAAGCAAAAATTCCAATGCTGAATCCTCTGACTACAATCCACACTGAGGACTGGAACTCACTGTGTCAACGCCACCCGTAATGTGCAGCAGCTTGTTGTCTCAATTTGGCTTCTGTTGCTTGCATAGCAGCAGCTTTGATCCACGTGCCAAGCTCCAATTCCGTTGGCATGAGGGATGACAATAGCTGAAGAAGCGGTGCTAGGGGGCCAGATATGTAAAATTGAGGGCATCAGGTCAGAGCCCATCAGGCACCGCAATTTCTTTCACCACGAAGAGCGAAAACGCCGCGCTTAAATGGATTGCATGTTTATTCGCTTATACATGTTTCGTGCAGAGTCCACTTGCATTCACAATGCTGTATACCACGTAGCGCGATCAATGCGATGCCGAGCAAGAGAATGGCAAAGCGAGATTAAATGGTTGAACCCAAACCAACACAGCATCTCTAAATACGTAGAGTGCGCATCTTGGTGCGTAGAATGTGGAGACATCCCTGTGGGTCACTTATCTATCTGACAATTGTCACTGGCCACTCACCTACCTTTCCATTCTGTGACAGCCGCCAACGTGAGGAGCTCACTCAAGAGCTCAAAGCTGCTTCGGAGCTTCAACGCGCTACATAACATCCGCGAAGAACGCCCGACAGGGGCTTGAAGGGCCCATGACTGTTGCCAGGAAAATGCAGGCATGGGGCTGCGTGGATTTCTGGCTGGTGTCAACTGACGGGCAGGAGCGCATACTGGTGAAGGGGGGCACGCCAGGCGCCCAAATCACTGCGCGGGATCTTGCGCACAAGACCCACAGTGTCGGCTACACGGGCATGAGCCCCGCGCAGGATAGCCTATTGGCAGAGATGGGGTGGAAAGACTGGAGTGAGCTCGGAAGGCGGCCGCGGGACCTAAGGCATGTATGACCTCTCACATCCACTTAATACTGCGCGCGTTGATAAGGAGGAGAGGGGAGGGCGGCGCCAATGGACAACGAGACTCGTTGTCAAGTACTCAGTCCTTGTGCAAGGCTGTGAGGTCAAAATTTGGCCGTGTGCTGGTCACGTTTGCGAGAGGCAAAGGTGGGCAAAGTCCCGGTCATATTACGACTTGTAATCTTTAGGGCTACGTTGCGCGTGGTGGGTGGAGCAGCACAGCAATCCGCACCGAAGGAATGAATCCGTGTATTATAAAAATTGGTTCATCTTTGTTCCGAATTTCGAATCCATCACGAGTCGTCTGGCATCCCTTCGACGAATAGTGATACGCGGCAACGCACGTGAGATTCGTGTCCTAATTGAAAATTATTTGTTTGACGAAATGTGGGATCGAATAATTGTGTTATGCTTAAAATTTAAGAGACAACAATGTGGAGAAAACAGTGATTCCCAGAAGGAAGCGGACTCCGAGAAGGGATTCAAAATTTACCCCATACGCTGCCCTCCGCCATCTGGCTCTTTCGAGTTGCCGTCTGCTCAGACGTCTGATCTATTCACCTCACGGCCCTGGCCAAGCCAGTAATTGTTGGGCTTCAAGATACGTTGCAAAAAATTTCATATATTGCTGTCCACCATCGTCATCAAAATCCGTCAATTACATCTGGCATGAAATTGCAAAACACAGCCCTCGCACCTGACAGGCGATGGTGCTGTCCATCGCGACGCCCCTGCGGTGCCGCGCATTCGTCGCTCCCTACCATGGTTTTCGCGATTTGTAGAGTGCAGCACGGTTGGATGTGGAAACGCAGTTTCCGTTAATTTGGGGCTCGCGCGTTTCCATGAATCGATGACGGCAGAGCATACTGTGGGTTGGCTGATTCTCACAGTCGGTCGCGACACTGCTGGACTCTCAGTTTGACGGTGGTAGCTTGCTAGGAGATTAGCTAATTGCAACTAGCTAATCACCCAGTAAGCCAACACCGTCAAACAATTGTCAAGTTTGTCGAATACGATGATCAAGGATTGCCACCCTCGCAAATACACAAATGTCCAATGTCCTTCGCATCTTGATGTTATGAAGGTCATTTAAGTGTTTAGGGTGTTTGGAATTATAGGGTTTTGGTACCCTAGTACCGTAGATCACGCCCCCCCCACGCGCCTCACATAAGGGCTGACGTCAGGAACGTGGGGGCCGCTATCTTGCATGCCCCTGCGCTATTTTCCGTGCCCCACGCGTTCCGCAACAGTCGCTGACTCAGTAGCGCCCCCCCGCGTGATCACGCTGGCCCTCGTACCGGCAGCAAAGCGTGCCGCCGCTCCACCAACCAAGCACATTGCATAAGGCGCCATTCACGGCAGCAACCAAAACCGGCGCCAAAAAATTGAAAGGGCGCCACAGGTCACTGCATTATGCCGCCCCACCCGCGTTTACCAGATTGATTGGCAAAGCGAACCGGCGCATATTACATAGCATTACATAACACTACATAATGCACCAATCACAGCGCCAATCAATAACAGCTATTGGGACGTCGCACTGCATCAGGGCCCCTTGGAGATATCTATGGCCTTGGTTTGAGTGATGATAGTATCGAGCTAGACACTGAGATTGTTGAGGACGTGGTGCTTGATTGAAGGAGGAACGTCATGGCAATGTTTAGTTGTAGTGAACTTGGCAACATTGGAGTGCTAGCATATGCATTGAGAAGTAAGCATGTGTGAAAATGCTATTGCACTGTGGTCGCATGTCATGTTGAAGTGAATAGAGCCGCCCCCCGCGCTATCTTGCGTACCCCCAGCGCTCCGCAACACCGGCCATGTCTGATAACGCCGGGGGCGCTATCTAAAGGCCCCCACACTATTCAACACCCCCGCGCTATCCTCCTTGATCTACAGTACCCTTCATGACCTTCATATCCAGTAGTGATAGTTATCGGACAGTCCTCGGAAGGCAAATATTGCGCAGCCTCTGGACCACAGCAACACGAACACCAGCAACATAGATTGGTATCTTGCGCATTGCAGTGTTGAATAGAGTGTACTGCAGCGGCGACGACTGAACGCGCCGCTATGAGCTCTTGCCATTTCCGTCATTTTATGCAATTGCACAGGTCCACAGTGTGCAAATTAATTCTGTAAGTACTGCACACGAAATTTTACACATCAGCTACCATCAAATTCCGAATGAACACTACAAATCAGGCAATGCACGTTGTTTCTTGGAGACTTTGCATCATATTTCCACACCATTGAAGAGAATCTTACAAACACTGCTTGGGAAGAGATGCCCTATTGTGTGGCCCGCTTTCTTTTGGGTAGCAACAAATCTCACATCGAGGGCAACCCACGCCCCGCTTGCGACCATTCCTAAAGGCATTGCGCTTGCCCAGGTTCGACGAGGCAGTGGTGGAGCCGGGCGTCCGGCTGGCGGTGATGGGCACACTGAAACGGGAGGGCGGCGCGCCGGGTGGCTCTGCCCAGCGGGCGCTGTTCCCCACCACCAAGTGGGACCACAAGACGGCGCCCTCCCGGTGGCGTCGGGGCTGGTGCTGGTACGCCTTCGGCGTGGCCGAGATCGCCTGCCCCTGGCTGCCGTCCTACCTCCCGGAGGGATTCGTGTTCGCCTTCCAGACCTCCGGGCGGGAGGTGGGCCGGCCGTCCGCCGTGGCCAGCACGACCAAGAAGGCGGCCGCCGCCGACGCCCCCTCCACCATTCCCACCAACGACCTGGATCTGGTGCGCAAGTTCAGCGTCATGAGCTTCAAGCGCCCGCCCCCGCCATCCCCCTCCCTCGACAGAAGGACGGAGGGCCCAACACCCCCGGAAGCCCCCATCGATGCGCTCGTCTCCGCCACCCGAAACCCAGCGGAAGCTGACGACACAGCCGACGCAGCCGACGTCAGCACAGATTCGCCGCCCTCCAGGGAAGTTCCAGGGGAGGCCTGCCGCCCCGAGCGCGCCATAGCCATCCGCAACAGCCTGAACTCCCACAAGACGGAGTGCCAGCCCCACTTGGAGCCAATGGCGCCCTTCCTCCGCCGGCGCGCCCGGGCCTGCCTCTTCGCGCTCCTCGTGGCCGCGCCGGTCCTGGCCGTCGTCGCCCCCATAATGTGCGGGTGGCTGCTCCTCACCAAGGCGCTGTCCTCCTGGGGAGGGGCGCCCCCGGCGGTGGCCTACGTGGCCTCCCTGCTGGTCGCCGTGGCCATCTTCGCGGCGGCGGCCTCCCTTGTGATGTCCTGCCTGGCCACGCGGCACCTGCAGGTGCAGAAGGCCGTGGACGAGCCGGCGGGGGGCGCGTGGAGCGAGCTGGTGGAGGGCCGCGTGGTGGTGCTGTACGGCACGGTGGACTTCGCGGGCCTCAAGACACAGTCGCCGCTGTTCGGGAAGGGCTGCGTGTTCTACGACACCATGGTGCACATCGCACCGTCCAACGCGAGGAGGTGACGGGCCGCGGGTTGAGAGAAGCGAAGGAGGTGGAAGAGGCCGGTGCGCGGGCGGTGGGCTGGTCCGCGCCCAAGCAGGTCGGCGGATGGGCGCGGAAGAGCTTGGGCGCGAAGGCGCATCGACAATCCGAGGTTGCAGCGTGGGATGGAATGTCCGATGTCTCGAGGAGCGGCGACGGCCGCAAGACGCCCTTTGGAGTGCATGTGGTGCTGGTGCGAGGAAGTTGAGGCGCACAGGCGCGCGTTTGTTGGCTTCCCGAGTTAGGAACAACGGACAAGCAGGGGTTGCTCGCAAAAAAATCTAACAAGTTTTGAGGGGTGGCGGTGTGATGGTTCTCGCAGGTGACAAGAGTTGATTAGTCTCATCAAGTGAAGACCCGGGCCACCCAGTTGGATAAAGGGATTGGCGGTACATCCATTTCGAAATGGGAATTCCCTGCCACTCTAGGGCGGAATATGCACGCTGATGTGGACATGCAGCTTGCATAATGCAAGCATTCGCTTCAGCAGGATCGACTGTCCCGTTGACGCCCATGATTTTGTGTCGCTCGGGCCACCTGTGGGCTGCTGAAGGCTTCCTTCTGGTCAACAGTTCTCTGAATGGTGGGGGTCCTGTTCTGGGGCCGTCTCGCAAAATTCAAGAGGTTCACGAAAACTGGCGGCGGCTAGGCGCTTGGGCAAGCGCTATGGGGCAGCTTCAGTGCGAAACGGGGATTCGGAACGTTGTAGTCCAGATTGCGGACGAACAGCTAACTGTGTAATGGATTAGGCAGCCGTGCCGGCTTCAGGGAATGTGTGGAAAGACTATACCAGCACGAAATGAGCACTGCGGGCAGCATATCGTATTGTGTGGACCTCAACTTGTCAGATTTCGGGCGTCTACTTGTATTCTGATCGGAATGCGTTGGACACTTCTCGGAAACAACCCTACTTGTGGTATCTTTCGGACAAGGAGTGGAAGCGGAGACAACCGGACAAATATACCCGCCTTGCCGTAGGCCACTGTCCATGTCCTCCTGCAATGGGTAAGGGCAGAGCACGAGGCCACAAAGCGACGGCACTAAGCTCGCTACCCGAAGTGGAAAGTAAAAGTCTGGCCGCCAAATCCTCCGGCCCTGAAAAATGGATGGTTGCCCATTCCACTATTAGGATCGTCAAGGTCCTCTCCTGCATCGAATCGGGCACGTTTCTCTGGGTCCATGAGAACTTCATAGGCCTCAGTAGCTTCTCTGAATTTAATCTCCCCCTCTGCCTTGTCCACAGCTTTGTCCGGGTGGTACTTTAAGGCCAATTTCTTGTACGCTGACTTAATTTGCGGCTCCGAGGCATCCTCTGGTACGCCCAAAACCTTGTAGTAGTCCTTCCGTTTGCTCTTCTTCAACGCCTTCGTGGCAGCGTGGTACGCCTCCCTAAGCTTGGAACTCTCTCTGTTTCTGTTGTAAGCCGCCTCCCCCTGACACACCGTCAAAAGAAACGCCAAAGACGTCACAATCAACCTGCAAACTTTCCGGGCTCTTTCCGGGCTGCCACTGTCTTCAGTGAATGCATACGCTCGGCGTAAATTACTGCATGGGCGGTTGCAACAGTGGAAGCAAGTGGTCTGAGCAATGCTTCATCAATTTTGGATGTGTCAGCCCCCATTGACACATTTTCATGGAACATGCTGCCATTTTGACGCCCAAAACGACTGCCGTCTCTGTACGCACCTCCTCTACAGCCCGTTCGAATTCTTCTGCTGCAATCAGTGCATGAATCCTCAGCGCCTCTGCCTCATCATGTCCCGTGTCCAATTCAAGCACCTTTTCACAGGCTTCAATGGCGCCAGTTTGGTTGCCACCGTAGTGCAGCGACTGGCACAGCTTCCACCTCAAGTCCACGTCATTCGGCAAAAATTCCAAGGCCTCCTCGCATGCGCTCTGTGCTGTTCGCCACTCCCTGGCGTCAAGGGCGGCGTTCAGGGCCTTCACCTTGCGTTCAAAAGCCTTTACTTCCTTGAACGCATTCTTGGCGTCCTTGTAGTCGGGGTCGTGTCTGCAACAGCACACACAGCACTGAGCTAAATTGCTGCAGCCTGCTTTCCAAGGGGACTGCTTTACTTGTGAACGTCAGCTCACTTGAAAGTGTGTTGGTGTACAGCATGCAAAGGGTGATAGTCATATCCATTGCAAAGAGACGCCCCCAAAAGAGGGCAGGACAAGAGGAAAATTGACGCATTTCACATGTGGACTGTTTGCGTCTCTGTATTTCTTCATGTGCCGAAAGTGTACCATAGCGCACAGATGGAACAAACGTTCCCAGTGGCTGCTCCCAGCATGCGTGTTTCAGGTTGTGGACATATTTGGATTCCATAAGCATCAAACAGAGACCTTAAACATTCCGATATTGACATTTCAAACATGTGATAAACAGCAGCAACAACTCGCTTCTGCTTTTGAACCACCCCAAGGTCAACGATCCTTACAGAAAAACATGTCAGGCCATACAAGGTGAGCCCTCAGCTGACAAGCAGAGCTTTCTTACTTGACCTGCACTGGATCAAGCAAGCTGTAAGTGGATATGCAAAGTCTGTGAATGCCAGAAGCCCATGGACAGTGAAACTGAAACGGCTGGCCATCACAACACACTCGCGTTCTTGAGCATGAGCCCACCTACCTGAGTGCCTCACCAAAATGCTGTTTGGCCACAGTTACGTCACCCAGTTGAACATAAGCCATTCCCCTCAAATAGAATGCCTGCAAATTCCTCGAATCTGACTTCAGAATTCTTCCAGTTTGAGAGACCACCTGACCGTACTCCCCCTCTGCAAATGACATCTGAGATTCCAACAGTCTGGCCGATAAGCAATCTTTTGCGATGCCAAAGAGCCCATTCATGGCATCTCTGCAATGCGACACAAAGCAATCATGTCAAGCACAGCACGAAGACCAGCATGAACAGATACTGCTTTCCTTCTGTTGGGGCACCAACCAAGGGTTGAGAGTACATCAGATTCACAAGAAACTGGGCTGTGCAAAGGGTGTGGCTAGTTCGTTGTGCCTTCCAACAGAGGCTCCAAGGAAAGCAAACTCAGCAAGCTGGTCGCCAGTGTGTTGGGTAAGGTAGTATATCTGCAATCTTACCTTTTGTTTCAGTGTGGAACCTGCCACCTGTAACTGGGCAGCTGCTAATATCAACCATGCATCTGCCACGCAACATTCATCTAAGCTTGCTGCAGCTCTCAAACTGGAGGGCTAAAAGACTCTGAAACGTGCTCTTGGCTGCGATATTTTCAAAACAGGAGAACTTTTCTTAAGTGATTAAGTCATGTGGCCACATGCGCACGCATTTGCAACAAGCTGACCTCACCGTGCTTTCTGAAAATCGCCCTTCTCATGCCACTCCTTCATTGCCTTTTCAGACTTGCGACCATCAGAGATCTTTGCCAACTCCGCAGTTGCTGTCTTGTGACCAGGTTTCAGTTCCAAAACAGCTTGATAATCCTCCTCAGCACCATCGAATTTGCACACCTCCAAGTGTGCCCTGCCCCGCTGGATGAATCCCTGCCATGCACCATTTGTGACCTAGTTCAGCTAAACTGCTCAACATCGCTTGAAGCTTCCAAGGGCTGTGTTTTATGGACCTGAGAAACCAGCTGCAGTCAAAGCAGATCCCACTTAGCCAACTGTTCTCTCAGTTTGGTATTCTGCTAGAGTGTTGGCAGCAGCATTCAGCACATTCTCGCGCACTCAAGACCCAGGCACAGAGGCTGGTGCACCAACTCGGCAGTATTCTCCTCCCTGTGGCATCTTGGTTGGCCCTGCCTGCAGATTGTTGGGCTCAACAACAATATCTCTTGAACTATTAGCATTGTGGCCTAAGTACTGCAAAGGCATTTCTCCATTTTCCTTGATGGTTTGTGTCTGCTCCCTGAGCACCACGCCAACAACCTGTTTCCTATGCTTGTTGGGGATAACCAGCTGCAAACTCGCTCTGCTGGCTGCTGCATGAGAAAATGCAGTTTCTACTGTCTGGTCCAAAGATCATTTTCATCCTGACATTTGCAATGTCTGCTGTTCTAGACATTGCATGCATCAACTGGATTATCAACCATTCCCATACTGTCCATGGGTTCCAGATGAGATTCTGCAGGCAGTATGGCAATATGTGGCAGCCCCATTGCCATTGCGACGTCTTGGTAACACCGTGTAGCTGTGATCACCTTGTAGTGTGGTGTGTTGTACAGTTCGCTGTTTTAAGGTCCTTGGTTCTTGTGGCCACCTGCCTGCACCACTGACAGGTGGTCTGCACAGGCAGATCAACAGCAATCTGTAATAACCACCGACTGTGACTTTCAGCCATTCTCTGTCATGCAGATACCAGGCCTTGCTTTATCCATTTGGATGCTGAATGTAGTGATAGGTCTTACAGACCTGGTGTGGGTATTCCCCAACACTAATCCCACTTGTTCCCAGTAGATTGTGAAGTGACCTTCAAGCAACAGATCAGCATCAGTCACATCAAGGGCATGGCTGGGGCAGTTTGGGTCCTTTCATCTGATTCCGTTGGGGTTTGGGGGGCGGGGATGCCAGGGATGATATTACCAATCTATAAAACTGTAGGTGTTGGCTCAGATTGTGCCTTTACAATGATCCCCAGAAATTTGGAGATACAAAAAATGTCGTACAATGGGCGTCCAGTGTCCTCCCCACACACACACACACCAAAAAAAAAAGATTCGACATCTTCGACACCTTGGTGAATGTTTTGAAAACAATGATGCACAGACTCCCAATCGCACTACAAGAAGGCCGCATGAGTAAACCCACAACCGTCCCCGCACCTGAACATACTCCCTGTCGAGCTCCATGGCGCGGTCCAGATCCCTGAGAGCGTGCCCGTGCTGCCTCAGGATCAAATACGCCGCGGCCCTTTTGCTGTACAGCATGGGAGACTTGGGGTCGAGCTCTATAGCGGCCGAGTAGCTGCTCAGGGCGTCCGAATACTCGCCGCTGGAGACGCTCCGGTCGCCGTTCTGAATCATGATCTGGACGCCATCGCGCTGGGGATCGGCGCAAGCGCCCAGGTTCCACCCCAGCTCCAAAATAATGGTGGATAGGACGGCTCCCCACAGCGTAAGGCCCGTCGAAGACGCCACGCCCGGCACCGGCGACAGCTGCGGCGCGAGCATCGTCGCGCGCTTGATGCGCTGGGCGTCCCAAGCGCTGGCTCTCTGCGCTTGCGGTAGGGCGAGATCGCAGCGCCAAGCTTTTAGGGAATCGGTGACCGCTGAGGTCGCCCCTGGCCCAAAGGCTCCAGCTTCCTCGGGGTGGCAGGACACGGTTGGAGGCCGTCGAGCCCGACTCCTCGGGCCAGAGGCCTCCCACCGCAAGGGGGAAGGCGCGCGAACTGAACCCCAGGAGGAAGGCTGCCTTCGGGGCACTGGCGAGGGCCAGCCGTCCGCGGGCTAGGCAGGCACTGGCCGGTCAAGCGACAGCTGTCCGTGGCGAGTCTGGACTCTGCATGGGCACTGTCCGTTCGGCAAGCGGATAGGTAGGTCAGTTGGGGGCTGCACGGAAACGAGCACCGAAGTTCAACTTCGTCGCATAATGGCCGGCATTGTCTGCGGGCCTTAAGCACATCGATGTGCAACTGTATCGTCGGCAACGATATCGTTGCCGGAGCTCTCACTGCGCGGAATGGCCCGAGCCTGCCACGGACATCACAAACACGGGGCGAAAAATTTATGTTGTAAATTCTTGAGATTCCGTACTTGTGTTCGGTGCAGTGGTTTATTGACATAGGCATGACAGCCAAAACACCGTAGGAAACAGCTGCATCCGTTGCTGGAAGGAAATGCGCAGGTCAGGTGTCAGTCTTGAATTGCCCTCCTTGTGGCTGGCTTGAAAGGCTGTAGGATCACCGGTAACGTCAGTCGGAGCGCTGACGCCATCATCACGCCATGCACATCATCCCAACGAATTCTTCACACGCAATGCACAGTTCACGCTGCCTTAACATCTGAGCACTCGTTTACAAGGGGGCTCCCATGGCCCCCGCCCTAGACCCTACCAACCGAAACATCGGTTTCAACCCTCTCTCTAGCATTAATATGACATTTTACGTTCGCACATAAGTAACAACGCCTTGATTTTTCTGTTCATTTTTGGTTTGCAAATATTGCAAATCTTGCACATGGCCATATGAATGACCTGAATCATCATGAATGCAATATTGAATTGGTGTTGAGAAACAGGAATTTTCTCTTTATTTTCCTGTTCACGCTGCCTTAACATCTGAGCACTCCTTTATGTTTGCAAGAACGTCGAACTTCCGCGAATACGGAACTATTTCCGGCTGAGAAGCTCCAAAAGCGCTTGATTGGCGCGGCAGCGCGCAACCCCCTTGTACGACCGTCCATGTCACTCTCCGTACTCCTGACAGCGACAGGAGAGCCTCGGCGAATGGACCGCTGCCAGCGCGATCAATGCCCTGCAACACCGTTCGGCTCACGGGGCCTTGCGCGAGCCGGCTTCCTCCCCCTCGACACGAGGTTGCCGCCAGTGGGCGGTCCCGTCCCTCTTCCTGTTCGCAAACTGGACGAGGGCCAGCCCCGCCTGACCGACAATCCAAGGCTAGAGTCGCGGGCAGGGGGGCTCTCCGCGCGGTGGTTGCGCGGCGGTCAGCGGCGGTCAAGTGCGCGGGCGCGGCCCCCTCCTCGGGGCCCCCTGACATTCCTTCGAGCGAGTCCGCGCGCCGGGATCGGACGGGGGGAAGATGAGCGGCCAGGGACATGAGCTCACGTTCGGCGACGAGCAGATGGTGGGTGCGCCGGGACGGTGCGCCCCCCGCGGACCGCAGATTCGCCCCCCGCGATTAACTTTCGTCGCGTGGCGACCGCCCCCGCTTCCAAAGCCGGGCTAATTTTGAAATCGACAAAGCGTGGGGGTGCCGTGTAAGTGTGCAAGGTGCGAACCCCCCATGCGGTCCTCATCTCCCGGTGGCAGAGCCTCAGGTTGCCGCCGAATTTGGCGCCCTGGCACTTGGACCCCTCGGCCCATTTGGCCGGGAGTGATCAATCGGGCGCACCGGCCCTGTCCCGTGCAGGTGAACGCGGGTGCGGGCGGCTGGGGAAAGGGGACACTGGGGGAGGGCGCCAAGGGGCCGTTGTATCCATCCGTTCAGCGGGCCGTGCCCCCGGCGCAGCAGCTGTACCCGACCGTGACGCCCGCCAGCGCAGCCCCCGCGGCCGCGTCGCCCACGGGCGGCAGGCGGCCGGAGGGCAAAGGGATGAAATCGGCGGGGAAGGGGCTTGGAAGCCAGAAGGAGCGGGCCGAAGAGGAGGCATGCAGGATTCGGATATCCGTGACGGCCCCTCTGAAGGACAGCGGGCCGTCCATCGTGCCAGGTGAGGCCGATCTGCTGTTCGCGGGCGTGCACCGGCGTCGCGTGTGTGTTGGCGGATGGGTTGGATAGGGGCAGCTCCTGATGCCCGGGCCTGTCTGGTGTGATCCCACTGCCAGTGGGGGCAAGATACCTTTCGGTATTCCCATTCAGCGATGGCGGCAATGGGTGGCATCAGTTGCGTGTCCCTGGGGAACGTTGAAGGGAGGCTAAGGCATTGGAGCTCGGGGGCTTGGGGAGTTGTGTCGGTTGGATGTGGCCTGTGTTGATGTCTGGGTGCGCGGATGCAGGTGTCAATGAGCCGTTCTACACGTACCTGGTCAACACTTCCACAACGCTCATATCGTTCGGACAGCCAGAGACCTCTGTCAGGCGCCGCTTCCGGGACTTCGTGGACTTTGCCAACCTCCTCAGAGTTAATTTCAGGGGGTATTTCATACCACAAAGGCCCCACAGGAACATCGTTCAAGGCAAGATCAGGATGTCGCCCTCATTCATAGAGGAGCGCAGGGCCAACCTGGAGAAGTACCTGAAGCAGTTGGCCCAGCACCCAACCATATCTCGCAGCGAGGTGGGCCACTTGCGCGTTCGGCAATCATGCGCCCGTTCAGACAACAATAGCTGCAACATAGTGGCTCCCTACTGAGTGGGACATCTTCATTCTGACCCACACGACAGTACCCCCAAGTTGACCTCATCTTGATGTGAGTGCCGAGCGTTTCCTGTCCATCTTTGGGATAAAACCCTCGGCTGTGTGGCCCCCAGACTGGTGCATTGCTTGGGTGGCAGTCAAAACGCTGCGCTCTGTGAACATAGGAGCTGCGCACCTTTCTGGAGGCCGAAGGCCACCTCAGGGAGTGCACTGGCTGGATTCAATTGCACCCAGTTCAGCCTTCTTGGCTTGAGGGGGCCAAGCGGCTGGTGCGACAGATGACTGGCCAGGATTGGGTCCCCACACCCACAGAAGTAGCCCAGCAGCCCTCGGCGAAGCGCCATGTGGTGCGCGCCCTCCGAGAGAGCTTTAAGAGCATCAAGGAGAAGAGGCAGCCAACAATGGAATACCCGCCTCGTGAAGCGAAATTGAGGGTAGGATCTTCACTGCAATGTTGCAGTGATTTGAGACAGGCGCTCTCTACATTTTCTCCTGTGTGTGTGGACAAGGAATAGACAAATTTTCTGCAAGGAAATCCCATCGCATGGCTTGCCAAGTTCTGGAAATGGTTTCAGCACAGCCATCAGCCAATCTGTCATGGTTTTAAACTGTTTCCTTTTCTCCTTGTATGCTGGCATCGATGCCGTGTCTGGAATCAGTATATTGCAACCCTGCCACTGAACTGTGTTGGGATCTATCTGTCTGTGGTGAAAATCTGCTGCCTTAGATACACTGCTGTTTTGAAGTCTAGTTTGTACATTTCTTGGAAGCGCAGAGTCATTTGCTAAGGGTCTTGCCCGCAGTGTGCCAATGTAAAAGCACACCACAAAGGTAATATTCATATCTGTTAACGTTTCACAAGAGAAACAGGTCATACAACGGGCAACCCCTCCTCAGCAGATGTTTGTGAAACTCCTTTCATGCTGTGAAACACTGGTGCTGAATGTCCAATGCAAGACGAGCACAAAGCACAAGCACTACAAAGAGCAAGAAAACAGATACCACAGTTGTGTTCAATGAATGCAGCAGTGTCATCAATAGGTTGCTCTATCTGCCACTCTCAGTTTGAGTCTGCAGGGATGCTCTTTGACAGCACTCATGGTTAGGATCAAAGTTGTACTTCGGGCCTTACTTAACTGCACTGGCATGTGCCCACAGAGAGAGACCGAGGCCATGGATGACTTTCAGCACACAGTCGACCATGCTTGGAAGTGGGTACGTTGCTTCGTTTCCCTTTGTGCTGGCTTGGTCTGGCAAGTTTCCGTGCTCCACTATTGGGTAGTGGGGCCGACTGGCGGACCACGTTGAGATGCAGGAGTTCGGTGCTGTTGCAACACCACTGCTGATGTTCTGCTTTGGTGCTCTGGCCGCAAACTTGACGTGCGCATTGCCTCTTGTGGCTGTTTGCGCAGTTGTGGCGCAATGGGATGCAGCCTCCACTGCTTCTCCAGCCACGCTAACGGCCTACCTGTGCTGTGCTTGTTTCTGGCAGGCGAGTTACTGGATGGGTCGTTTTGAGTCCGTGGGGCGAGGACTGAATGACTTTGGAGCAGAGATGAATGCTCTTGCCAATTACGAGTTCGACTCAGGATATGTGAGGATTCCAGCAGCGGCAGCAGTGGGGCGGGTAATACTTCAGATGGGATTATAATCTTTCTGTGGCATGTATGGTGTGTCCCTTCCGTTGTGTGCTGAATGGACTCCAATCCAAGTGCTGGTCACTGTGAAAGCCCTGGCAGATCCAGTTGCACTAAGCATTTATTGATGTATTCGCCTGTCACAACTTTTCGCATGCCAGAACATTTGAGAATCCCCTTGTGGCGCCCTGCAGAGCTGAACAATATATTCTTATGCGTGTGACAGCACAAAATGCAGCTGGGACAATGGGTGGTGGACTGGATGATCTCGTTCGTTTTTTTCTTGTAGGAGTTATCGATGGACATCAAATGTTCGTGTACAGCTTGCAAAATTGACATGTTGAAGAATGGAATTAAGATTGACACAGACTTGGTTCTGGTGGCACAGGGCTGTGTGGATGCCAGTGCATTGCATCAGCAGTTTGCCAACCAGACCATGACACATCTCTCGCACATCCACGAGTACCAGGAGCGCATGGGGAACGTCCTGAGGGCATTCCGCAGCCGAGAACAGGCGCTCATGACACTGCACACACTGGATACTGACATCAACAGCAAGAAACAGCTGCTCACAGAATTGGAGGTGACAGTAGGGAAGGCCAACAAGGTAATCTTTCGTTGAAAATGTTGGCTGTGTCTCAAATGCGACAGGCTGTGTTTGTGGGCATGAGCTGAAATTGGGCTTGTTTTGGGCATCCGTTGGTTCCAACTTTAGCTGAGCAGGAGGGGCCCAGCGGCAGCACGCAAGGCCCATGTCCAAATGTCGGACACAAGCAGCCACCCAGGGAGACATGATCTTGTGGCAAGTTCATTCTTGCTTGAGTGGGGTCAGCATGGATGAACTTTCAAATGTCTTTCATGTACAAGAGCGTCATGAACGTGGGGTTTGCTGCATGTTCATGTATGCACAGCACGTTTGGGATTGTAGAGCAGCAGCAAATTGGCAACCGTTCTGGATAGCATATAGTCCTGGATGGGCCAATTGATTCATCAAATGGCGCCCAAGGTGCCCTTCCTGTAGCTCACGGGTGGTTGATAGGTGGATGAGGGGCTGGTTGATTAAGGTGGTTAGTTATTGGACGGAATGCTCCAGGCATCTGCAAACTAATCATAGGCAGCTCGTATGCATGATGTGCAGGTATTGAGCACAGAGCATGACCTGCGTGCATTAGAAGCATCCAAAGCTGCTGCCCAGACGTCGTATGACAAGCTTGCAGCAAACAATGAGGAAGAGCTTGCAAGGTTCAGGGAGTTGAGGAGCAAGGACTGGGCAGACATGCTGGTGGGTCCCAAACGCAGTTGCCTAGGGATGGTTGATCATTGGCAGCATGTGCACCCA